ATACTTTGTACAGTAATGTTTAAAACAAAATAAATCACCTAAGCAAGATGACATAGAATGATTCAAATTCGTCAGAATTACAAATATTTAATATTATTAAAATTTTAAATCCTTTCATGAAACCTTTTTGCCTCATTGAAAACTTCATACTTCCAAGCTCATTTCTCATATATATTGGTGTTTTGCAAGTTGACTTTATTCAGGTGAAATCAGCAGTCTTCTTTTTCACGTTTCCTCATGAACTGTTTTTTTTTTCTACTTTCGGTTTAAAAGAAACGATCCTGATATAAATTATTTAATAATTTACAAGTTAATCTATCTTACACATTGGGCTAATTCTTGCATAATCAATGCAATCAAATAAATGTTTTCTCATGTTATCTTCCCTCTAACTCCAAAAAACGTTACCTGGCCAGCTGTCTGTGTGCTTTCAAGCGAGAAGTGATTTCCTATCCTGACTTCACACCTTTGCGTGCATTAATAATAAAGGGACTAATCAGCATGCACTTGTTATAAACCAGCTGTAAACAGAGCAACTAATTGAATCTCGCCACTCTTGGGCATATTTATTTAATTTTGGCAACCAAAAAACAAACAAACAAAAAACATGGCGCTGGAAAAAGGTATACTGCTGCGCCATGCTAGCTTGCTTTAGATTTAACACCATCAAACACTTGCACTACGTGTTGAAACGATTTTTGCATGGAGGTCGCCATTGCTGGAACTAAAACTAATACCGAAGTGGATGACGGAAATCACGGAAAATTCCGGAAAATAAATATGAAAATTGCCAGAAAAAAGTTAAGGGTTGGGGATCTAAAATAGCAACGGTCGGGTAACGGGAACCACACATATTTTTTTATTTGGCCTAATAATATTCCATACATGATTGAGCTGTCACCTGATGAACCTTTAATTCTTTTCTATTTTTTATATGCTTTATATGTATATGAATTATAAGAGTAAACGTAAGTCCAAAAACTTATTTTGTGACATCAATTTCATACCTGTATTTGAGTTGCCTTTTTGAGGATATACCAGGTAGATTATTCAAAGTCGATGTACATGTAGTCTTACATGCTGCAGTTCTCTTGTACTTTAGCTATAAAATAAATTTTAATGTATACAATTGTGTAAGATGAAAGAATATTTCAAACACTGAAACAGACTGAAACCTTAACAGACCAAAACTTTAACCAAAATATCCTCTTTAACATGCTCTCTAAACTGAAGAGTATGGTCATATAATTGCAGTCATATGAATTTTGTTCAATGATAAATGCAGAGAGAATTTGCAGAATATATAAAGAAAGTCTTATCGTTGGGAAATAAGCAGGTCCAGTACAATCTCTTAATTTAGCTATATAGCTTGAAATAGCTATATAGCTTTATTAAGCTATTCAAAATAGCTTAATTTAGCTATTTATATGCAGTTTTTCACAAAAATTATTTTGGTAAGAAATAGACAAAAAGTCGCATGTATTTGACCATTCATATATGTGCTATGGGCTATCGAAACAACAAGCAAAATCAAAGATATCTCCAACTTTGCAACTTTTGAATACTTTTAAGCAAAAGATAAATTTCTATTATTTGAGTAACTGTCCACTACCTTGTGTGCATTGAGGCATGGATAAGTATGAATGGTTCTCATTGTACTGAATTATTACCAATCAATTATCTTCTTGACCATAATTGGCCTCCTTTATAATTTCATTGAAGAAGTAACTGTATCAATTGCGCATGTAGCCTAAAAACTTTTAGAACTTTGAGTACAAAGTCTCTTTTGTTTCTATTTTCCTAATTATCTCCCCTTGTTTAAGGGTCACAACCCTAGTTTTAGTATAAACGGAAGCCCTTGGCCCAAGGATACCCTGTGACAAATTTGACAATAATTGGCCAAAAGGTTCTTGAGTTATGGCCCATATTCTAAAAAGTTTACGCACACCGCACAAATGGCCATAGCATTAGCTCTTTGGGCCTTTGGCTCAGAAGAGCTAAAAATGAACCTCTTACATTGATTTTTGGTTGATATTTTTTACAGTTTTTTTATGAACAATGTACAGTATTTTCACCCAAATTCCAGTATTTTGAGGACTGCTGTACAGTATTTGGGCCTAAAAATTATTACATGAATGCAAGGAGATTTTAATGAGTGAGTTTTATAATGCATCAATTTCAGATGAGTTCAAGGTTGAGTATCATCACTGCACCAAGGTGCGACTTTTTGTGCATGCTGAGAAAAGTACACATTTAAGAAAAACTGATATAAAATAGCTAAATTAAGCTATTCTGAATATAGTTAGAATAATCTAACTGTGTCTCGGGACAAGCCCTCACCACAGTTAGAATACGTCCCATATACTTGCAACGTAGCAAATCGGAGTGGATCCACTCCGAAATGATTTTGAAGAATACAAAAGGAGTTGCATTGAAAATAGCTACCAAATTAATCATAACAAACATTTTTGAGATTGTATATGCCTTTTAACCTACAAATTAATCCATATATATACGAAAATTCAACTCATTTTCTCAACGTTTTTTCCTCGCTTCAAATTTAACGCCATGTTGACATTTGGAACTCTCTGGATTCTTCATACAAAATGCAGAGAATTCGAATTATCGCCCGTGTTTATTTTGCTACATTGCGAATACACGGAACAAATTCTATCGTTAAACCGGGTCCGTAGGACAATATCATTTTAACGATAGAACGTTCTATCTATTCTGAATAGCTTAATAAAGCTTAATATAGCTAAATCAAAAGATTGTACTGGACCTGATAAGTGCTTTCAAACATTGAATACTTATAAAACTAGACCCACTGACATGCAACAGCTTAATTTCTGTTGATAAATGAAGCGTATTCTGAACAAATTATTTACCCAAACAAAGGTGATGCTGTCACAAGATGACGTTCGTACCCATCTGACACTTACACTACTCCTCCTTAATCAGCTGGTAATAATATCATTATCCTCGATTTCAAGAAAAATCTGTTAATAAATTAGTTGTAATGATGATAACAAAACTATTCTAATCAGATACAAATGTATAATATAAGACTTCTATTTCACCCAAGAATACCCAAGAAACAGGTGACATTCTCTGACTTGTTTACCTGTACTTCGATTGAAATTCTCCTCCTACTTGCTCGCACCCAAGCTTTTACGACCCTCAATTTATCCATCGTAAGTCGGAGAACCCTTCGGCTTTGTACAACTGCTTAACTTTCCTTATACGCTTTGTGTAAACCATAAACATGCACAACGCAATACACATCTTGCATCTCCATGTGTGAGGTACCCGGAAGTTAATATTATCGAAAAATCTCGCGAGTCACGTGACGAGACTTACAGACCCTAATGCAGCCCGAATTTGCTTGGTTCCATTATGAAAATGTAGATAATCTTGAGGAAGGGAGCATTCATTATTTATTGTTGTAAGAAATGCAAATAGGTGATATCACCTATTCGAATTGGTGATATCACCTATTCAAATTGAATAGGTGATATCACTTATTCGAATAGGTGATATCACTTATTCGAATAGGTGATATCACTTATTCGAATAGGTGATATCACCTATTCAGCACGAATAGGTGATATCACCTATTCGAATAGGTGATATCACCTATTCATTTCGAATAGGTGATATCATCTATTCGAATAAGTGATATCACCTATTCGAATAAGTGATATCACCAATTCGAATAAGTGATATCACCTATTCGAATAGGTGATATCACCTATTCAATTTGAATAGGTGATATCACTTATTCGAATAGGTGATATCACCTATTCGAATAGGTGATATCACTTTTTGGCAGTAAATACCAAAACGGCGCCTCATAATATTCAATGTTTTGTACTAGTTGGATATGGAATTTATTTCACGAGTGGGACAAGATTTTTTATATTTTCACAAGTGCGAAGCACGAGTGAAAATATAAATATAATTTGTCTCACGAGTTAAAACATTGAATTTTCTGTTTATTACATTTTCTTTGATTTTCCCTTTGCCTCTGTCTTTTCTAATACATGTACAGTGTCATAGGCTGTACGTGACGTCAGAGTTGAGCAGTTGCAATGTCATAGCTTAGCAGTTGTGCGATTGAAAACATTGTAACATGGATTTAGCAACATATTTGGGAAGAAATTGGCAGTTTTAGTCTCTATCAACATGGTTTAGTTACATATTATAGGCCAGGAATTATATTTTACTTACTTTGATATCCTTTCACACTGTGACAGAATACCATTTTGGTATCCTTTCACACTGTGAGAGAATATCACTTTTATTCAATGAATAAATCATAGTATTTCACTGTTGAAAATGTAATAAATGTCTGTATTCACATCAGTAAGTATTTCCTGTGTAAGAGTCCACTCCATATACCTGCCATCTTAAAGAAATAAAAGCCACTCTTTATTCATCTTAGTTAAAGAAGACATGGAATAAATCTAACATTGTAGGATTAGATGATTTTATTTAATGCAAGGTACTGACAAAAATATGTGTTTTTATTGGTATGCTTTGAAGCACATACCACTCTTAGACACATTTAAAGCAGGCCTTGTTTGCACTTTTCATTTTAATTTTGAAGTGTTCTAGATGAATAGGGTTTGTAGGGTGTGTATGTATGGCTTTTCCATGTTTGGGTAGTTACAGTACTGTTGAGTTAATCTTTTTATAACAATACCCTGGAAAATTTAAAGACACCCTAAGAAATCTACATATCTATAGTATTGCTTCATAATCACAAAACTAAATATTCAGATTTTTAATTAAAAGAATAAAGTATGAGGAATTTGATTGAAAATTCTTAAAATGTTTTATTTATATGTATATGATTTTAGAGTATTTTGTAAATTAATCTGTGATTGTTAATGACAAAAATTATCTCACATTATCACATTAGTATTGCTTTGAGTGTTAGAGAGAATTGAAGATTAAACAAAAAACAATATAAATGATTGAATTCTGACTACTTACAGAAAACTAAGAAAAATTCCGGATTCCGTGTGGATGAAAATGATCCAGCAATACAACAAACATTCTGGAGGAGATCCGAATCGTGACATCCAGAGTCACACTGCTAGCCAGGCCTCGTGATTGTGGCCTCTTCTTGGAGATTCATTCGAATGCCAAAAAGTGGTGCTCTTGTCTGTCAGCTGAACAGCATTTAAACATGTAGTTAAAGAAAATAAAGGAGGAATAACAGTAGAGCTGTATATAGCTGGAGAACAATTTTACATGTTTTGTTGGTACATGTAGAATGTCTGGACTACCGCTGAAAAAGCCTTCATGGTTTCTGGCCAAGAACAAAAACTTGAACAAAATCGCTTTGCGAGACAGATACAATTCAAGGAATACTCTTTAGAGAACACAGAAACTAGGATTCCGCTGTTTTCGAGATAAATTGTGATGTTAGTTGTCTTTCTTGAATTTGTCAGAATTTGTCAAGAAATTTAATCACATGTAGAGAGACATTTTTAGAAACCCTCATTTATTCTGGTGACTGACCTGAAAATTGTTGAATTGTTTTTAAGAAAAAAAACATTTAATGCCAGCATCTACATGTCATTAGTTGAATATTCACAGATTAATGTGCCCTCTGTTATGGACAAGTCAAACCTCAGTGATCACCACTTAATTCTCATTTATGTATACTTACAAAGCTAATAACTGGTATATTAATGTATACTTACAAAGCTAATAACTGGTTTATTGGACTTTGGTGTAGTAATGTCCTGTCTTCTATTTTTAGAAAAAGAAATAGATGTGTTTCATTAAGTGTTAATTGGGAATTAAATGTTTTTACTTGTGAAGACTTTGTCATATTTGGAGTAAATTTATTGCTATGTCTTTTTTGTTGACATAGTATTTAAGTCTAGCTTTTATGATGTTGAACATTAGTGGGATCTTGATACTGAATATTGCTTGGGCATTATTTGGAGAGAATATCTCAAGAGATAGCATCCCAGTTCCATCTTGAATGGAAATTTATGTAATTGTATTGTTAGTTTATAGCATTTCTTATTATTTATGGAGTAAGAAAACTTGATATTAAAGTATCATTGTGTCAGACTCATTGCTGCCTTTAATCACTGGTGAATCCTACAGATTGTCTTCTAAGTGTCAACTAAGCAGCAGATGAAACATCAACATCATCACATTGTCTCTCCCAAACTTGTCATTTCTTAAACCTCTTAAGTAATGATAGTTGTCAAACTATGATAATTGTTACTTGATGTAAATTGTATATTTGTTGGTGATGAAAATAAGAACTATGAGACAGAAAGCATGTAAAATGTGCCATGATCTGAACATCGATTGTTGTTGTTGCACTAGTTTTTTTCTGAAGGTCAGTAATGTGAAACTGAAGTATTTGTTGTACATACTGTTCATTTTATTGGCATCTATAAATGTTTTATCTTGTTGTTGATTTTTTTAAAATAAATCATAAAATTGAATAAGAATATTTTGTCTCTCTCTTTTTCTCTAAAATAAAAATATATTTTGTAAGCATACAGCCATTTTTATGCCAAATATACTAAAACAGGGCATTCTTGGTGATAGATGTTTAAAGCGCAACATTTTTATCCTTGTACGAGTTAAAGGGGCTGGGACACAGATTTTAAATTTTGTAATTATCATGACATGACTACGACTGGTGTTTGACTTTCCATCTGGAAAGTCTGAACTCATAATAGGATGTTAAATCCTCCAGCGAATCCGAACCCGTGGACTATTGAGAAATGTTGCGTCCGTACAAATCGAGTGGCTTGGCTGTCCGATATTAGGCGGATTCTTCAGGGAATGGTGGACCGAACGCCCTTCCAGTCAATCATAATCCTTGTTAGTGGAATTGATGCTGCCAACAATAAATTGAGACCAGTGAATGTGACCGCACCTATATTGTGCTCGATTTTCATGGTGTTATGCAATGAAGGTGTTATGGTGTTATGCAATGAAGAATATAGTTTTCATTATTTTTCGAAGAATTACAAAGCTTCTTTTTTTTGTGATGGAATATATATGTCATTATTTTGTGGAATATGTTGAATTCGTCGATTAAAATATTTGACTGTATCAGCATGGTTTTTTTTCTAATCTAGTTACTTACCTGTAGCTGTCCAATAAGTTGCAAAAACTGTTCATTATTTTTCTTAATATAGACAGATTTCATAACTTACTGGACAGGTATAGGTAACTTATTGGACTGTCTTAATCCATTCGAGAGATAGAAAGTATCAAAAGAACAAAAGATGACGTCATACTAATGTTTTAAAGAATGTGTTTGAATGAGCGTAAATCATCAACAGGTTTTCTGACGTCAGCATAAATTTGCATGTAAATTAGCCATCTGTTTACTTATCCACTGATGAATGAGTCGCAATGCATTATGGGCTACTAAAAGCACTCAGTCGTGTTTAAAATAAAGGGCAACTTGAATTGTCCCTTGGAAACTCATTTTTCAGTTCTTTTTTGAGATTTATGAAAGAAATATTAAAAATTAAATATATTTTTTCATTTTATAGGAGTTTTATGAAGAGACTGACTTTTACAATCGACGACAAACTTTTACAGTTTAAAGGAACCAACTCCAAACCATCTTCGCTAGCCAAGGGTTTCTGATACGCTACTCTCCTCATAAGCCCTTGTCATACGGTGTTAAAAAAAGTTGGGATTTTTTTCTCAAGTTATGATTGGAGTTGATCGGCATCGTTCGACCAATCAGCAGTTGTTTTTTGTAAATGACGATATTTGCGTTCGGGATGTATCTTGACTCTTTAATATCGGGAATGAAAAACGCAAGTAAACAACGATCCGTGCCATTCTATGAATAGCTATATGGTGTCATCCAATATCTTAAGCTACGTGCAAAATATGATTAAGAATCAGTACTGAAGATGTAGATTTGCATTTTAACATGTTTAAATAACAAATTAACATAACTCAATACCTTCTTGTTAAGTATTCTTTAAAAACATTATTTTTTTAAATATGCTTTTTATTTCTGTCGATGACGCAATCAGTGCGTACCTGGTAAGAATCATGATCACGTGATGAAAATAATCCCGTCTTTTGTCAGCACCGTATGCCAAGGGTTTATGAGGAGAGTAGCGTATCAGAAACCCTTGGCTAGCGAAGATGACTCCAAACATAAAAAAGGTGTAATAGGTGTCTATTCAATAACAAACTTCAGAACATATGATTAGAGTTTGTTTTCGATAAATAAGCAATTTTAAGTTTCAGGGCTGGTAATACATTATTGACAAATATCTGAATAAATTGCATTAGTCTTTTTATAGCGATCGAGCGCTCTGTGGTACATACATGGGCAAAATGCGCATTAAAGTGGTAAAATTAATCGTTTGAATGGAACGTTTGGGTCTTTCTTATCGAACGTCAGTTGTTAAATAATGACACGCCCATTTCGTTAGAATTGAGAAATCAATATTGGTCCCAATGTTTTAAGACATCCCACTCTCTGAGACTAGCAACGCGAGTTTTACTGAAATGAGGATATTATGAAGTTTGGAGAAAGATCGAGTGCGAGACTCCCCGCTTCTTTAAAACTCACGTTCTGCAAGGAATATGTTCGTATATGTCATGTCTATTGACGTTATCACAAATCGCATACCGATCGAACACGTTTTTACCTGGTGTTTATGTCAACTCCCAATCTGATTGACTTTTGTATTTATGGAATACCTGTTCTAAGGTATTCGAATGAATCATATGAGAAATTAACGACAATCGAGGGCTGTCACTCAGTGCAGACTGTGTTTCCCCGCCGACTCTCCCCTACAATAAACTGCATTCTTCTTTCTGAAGAAATACCAGTATAAAATAAAAACCAACTTTCAAAAGAAAGCTTTATTCAAACGCTTCAACCACTGTAGGAAAGGCACATAGTATAGTTAATAAAAGTGTGTGGGGGGGGGGGGGAGGGGGGGCAGCCAGAAAAAACTACGTGCCTGCAGGATACACCGCTTTAAACTACTCTCTTTTTTTCATGAGAAGTTTCTAGGTCTGTTAACTTGTCATTCGCCTTAAAGGAGTTAACAAAATTACATTTGAAAAAAATCATTTGAATTATTAATAAATTGATATTAATTTATTTTATTGAAATTATTAATAAATTTTACTGAATGAAAAATGTGAAAGAATACTGCATTACATGTGCTAGGATTGATTTATTCAGACCCCGAGAATTCTCAGAAGCTTCGGGAACTACCCTTAATAAATTCACTGTATGCCTTTTGGTTGGACCTAAGCAAATCCAAAATCGGCGTGTTCTTGCCTTCCTGTTATCTGTCTGGTCTAGCTTTCGGGTGAACTCAATAAAAGCGCAATTAACACTAATCACTTATCTTCCTGAAGAGCGCATCTCCACAACGTACTTCAGGGGTCCTGAGTCCACTCGTGGCCGTGAGACCCTGATAAACTTCATTCGATACCAAGAGCGATGCAAGACAAAGAATAACATCTAAAATCTGAAGTTGTTCGGCTTTCTTCGTTAAAGCCTCGAGTCTAAACGAAAGTTAGAGAAGTGCTGATGGAAAAGATGTGAGCTTGTGCGACATGGCCGAAACCTTTGATCTTCTTTCACTTTCAGTTTATTAGGAACCTTTAAGTCTTCTGTGATCTTTTTATATTGTTCTTATTTTTTATTTATGAGCACATACATGCATGTATGATATGGAAGCCTCCCCCCCCCCCCCCCCGACACACACTTATTGGCTTGGAACACTCTTGGGGAACCAAGCAAGAGACGTACAGTAGAATCATTACCAAAAAGTTTCCGAAACTCTGGAGATCGAGTTCCCAGGGTCAGTGATTCCGAATGAACAAATGCTAACATATGCATATGTAATGCACTATTCGTTCAGACTTTTCTTCAAAAATTAAATTTATTGAATTGACAAATATTATTTTGTTAACAAAAGCGAATTCAAACAGAAATTCAAAAACAGACCAATAACATTTTCATTAGCAAGAGTTGTTTTGAGCTTTACTGTCAGTGTATCATGCGTACCATGCACTCGCTGTAAAAACACGAACTCAAGTTATCCTGATACATGTATTTGTAAATTATAATGTGTTATAAGCCCTGAAGTTTAAAAGTTCTCATTGTTATTGAATAGACACCTATTATATGTTTTTAATGTTTGGAGTTGATCCCTTTAAATTGTAAAAGTCAGTCGCCAATTGTAAAAGTCAGTCTCTTCATAAAACTCCATTACTCACATTTACAAAATTTGCTTTATGAAGCCTTATATCAACTTATAACACATCGGCCTAAACCATTGTTCAAAGAGACGTAGGTGCTATCCTTTCGATTAAGCATTGAGTGATTTTTTTTTTCACGTGATATACGTGTACATAGTTTTTGACAGCAGTACAGGGTGCGCAAGTATTATTTAACCCCTCAGTATTATCAAAATGTTTTTATGTACTTGAAACGTCAAAGCGTTTGTACGGTATTTGAAACAACTACTAAAAATCTAAAACAACTCCAATATTAAATGTGAGCATGGAGCAGTGTCTTTGGAATATAATCTTTCAATTTCGGCCTTATATAGTAAAAAAGAAGCTCTACGGTTTTTCGGGTGACGAAGTAAATATTATGCAGTAAACCGACGAAAACCACGTGTCGCTATTGAATCGTTACCACGAAGTTGACTGTCATGCTTTGGACTCATTCAATTGATTGGAGAACGGTTGTGACGAAAACATCGTCACGTGTTGAAAATTGCCTTCCATATAAGGTAGTGTACCCGACCTGATCAATAAGTAAGCTATTACTCTAAGAAAAGAAATCCAAGTATCAAACGTAATTAAATCCATCAGACGAATGAACAGCGTTGACAGATAGACTGGTTGTCATTACATAACTTCAACTTTCAGCTCTTTGTCTGTGACTCGTTCCACTAATGGATAGTCCTCTCATGAACAAACATGTGTATGGATTGAGGTTCCAAGTAACCATGAAGAGAATTCTAGATTTGCAGCCGCAATAGCACACATAGCGCAATCAGTTGAATTTTGATGCAACATATATCCATTGATGAGGGTGTTTAGCTCTGATGAATACGTTCCACACGATTAGAGACGTACATGAAAAATCTTCTAGTACGACTGTTCATATAACCAGGCACTACTTTGCTCTCTGTATGGAACCACACATTGTCAAATTGGGTTTTCAAAGCACTGGTGATAGTGTCATGAAGTTTAACAGATAGAACAGTCGCACATAATTCTAGATATGCAAAAGAATGACCGTGAGATGGTGCCACGTTTGCTTTTCCCATAACAAATCTTGTTTGTTGTTAAACGTCCTTCTGAAGATTTTTTCACTCATATGGAGACGCCACCACTTGCCGGTGGAGAGCTGCAAATTTTTTACCTTTACTCGGCACTCAGGACCATTGAACAGTGAGGGATCTTTTTCGTGCCAGCACCTACTGCGACACGGGACCTCGGTTTATACGGTCCCATCCGAAGGACCGGTCTCCACGTCCCAAAGTGGGATTCGAACCCGCGATGTAAGGATCAACTCCTTACTCCGCGACTCTTATAGCAAACGCTCTAACCACTGCGCAACGCGGGCGACTAACAAATCTTGTGTGTGTTTGATTGATGCGTGAGGTAGACTGAATGTACGCAACAGTGGCAATGGCGTCCTCTAATGCATCTCAACACAAAATAAGGTCTTTTTGTAGAACCAGAAAATGGGGAACTCAAAATCAGTAGCATCGTGGAATAGATGATGTACTGAGTCCCTCCATGTGGTAAATTTTGATTCAAGTTTAGGATGAATAGGATCATCCCAGTTGACTTTTTCTTGCATTACTTTAAGCAAAAGGAGTTTCCCTGCTATAATGACTGGAATTGCAAAGCTGAGAGGGTCATACAAACGATTGAAGACTGAGAGAACTTCTCTTCTGGTAAATGAATTGTAGGATTCAGCTTACGAAACCAAAAGTTGTCTCACTGAAGTTTCCAAGTAATTCCTAAGCTTTGCTGAGCAGTTAAGTGAACATCATTGAAGTTCAAGTCTTTCAAATCTTTAGCTAGGTCTTCAGATGAAAGGCACGCATAACTTCAACACTGCTTGACGCAAACTTGTGAAGATGTAGGTTTCCTTCTTCCTTTAATGTTTTCTTTGTTCTTGTAACCAAGTCTATGATCTCCTCTGAGGAATAAAGAAATAAGACCATCATCGACGTAAAAATCACCACAGATGAATGATTTGACGTCTGAGCCATACTTGGGATTCATTGTGTGAGCAGTTTTCTTATTTTAAAAAAAAAAAAGCAAGCCATAGCTGGAGATTGCGAGTTACCAAATAAATGAACTGCCATGTGATATTCACTTTTTGGTTGTTTTGGGTTATTGATACCAAAAGAAGTGTAAGTTTCTATGTTCTTCCCTGACCATAAAGCTGTGGAACATCTGTTTTATGCATGCATCTGTATCCTTTGCCAGTCCCAATTTTTCATATATTATACTTTCATGTAATTTAGATGAATCTGATTCGTCGAGAAACATTTGTTAAAAACACTATTACCCGCTGAATAATGAGACCACGCCCTCAAGCATAACAACAATCAACATTGCTTAACGACGGGTGTAATTCCAAAAAATATTGACTCCGCAGAATTTAAGCGCTCAAGGTTCACGTGTAATGTGTATTTGTATAAAACATACAGTATAATATAATAATAAATATTGCAACATTAAAACAAATCTACGAAGAACTATCATCAAAATGTCCATATTACAACTTTCTGCCAAGTCCAAGTAAACGCCTCTTGACTAGACAGGTGAATATGACTCGGTAAGTTTTACCATGTTTTCTTTTTTTTTTTTTTTTTGACAGAATCGCGAATAGTGAATGGTCCAAACAGATCAACTGCTGTTTAAAAGAATGCAGGAGATGGTTTTAATCTAATCTAAGGCAATATGTTCCCAAGATCTGTGCATTCGTCTTTTTTCTGCTTCATGTGAAAATATTACAAAACTATTTCTCATCATCTTCAGGGTTCTTCGGGCACCAGGTATCCAATATCTACTCCTGGTCTTAGCAAAGTTTGTCTTTACCCCCACAATGCTCTTTGTTCTGACAGTAAGAAAAAATTAATATCTCTGTTTTATCGATTTATTTTAGGAATGTTGTGCATTGGTGTAAATCAGACGTGGCTCCTCAAAAACTCGAAAGAACTTTTAGCAACTTTAAAATCACCAAAATTTTTCAAAAGTCTATAACATCAAAACTTACGAATTTTCTACACTTTAAACAACAAATCCTCACGACCAATTAAAATCTAGACTTTTTGATATAGACAACTGCTTCTTAAATAAAAACGGAACTCGGAAATTTTCTCATCTTGTGATTGGTCATCAGCAAAATTACTTCGTTAAAATCCACTCTGATTGTACACACAAGTTCTCTGAAGATGTTATAAAAAGGATGCTGGAGTTCCTCAATGACAACATTTATTAGTCTTCGGAGACCCAAGTTTTCAAACAAATTGTTGGAATCTCCATAAGCACTAAATGTGCTCCTTTATTGGCTGACCTGTTTTTATATTCCTATGAAGCAGAATTTATTCAAAAATTTCTACACGCCGCAAAGCTTTACAAAGACGGACCCATAGGGGGTCCGGGAGACCAGGCACACACGCGTCTTGAAATTAAATCACAATAATATTAGTAGGGGTGATTGGATAGATTCATGTTACAAATCGATTTTAAATATCGACAGTTAAAACCCATTTTGAATATAGATAAATAAACTTGGCTTATTTTGATGACACCTTTATAAACTTTTTCAATGACTATGATTAACCAAAACTAAGGGTTGGTAATCCATTTGGAGCATTCACTAATTTTCAAAGTTTAAGTTTACATTTGTAGGTGTTGCTAAGGATAACACATCTTACAACAGTATACAAGAAATTGTTTTATGATATTTTGGACAATTTCTATTGAAAGTTGTTACAATTCATGGTACATAAACGTTTTTAATTATTCACATGAATTACAAGTGGAACCATAAACGTTTTATTGCCACTTTTCACACTGGGTCGAAGGTTTAGAAATTATTTCAAGACCACCTTTGCAAGAAGTAATCTTGCATTTTGAACATATATTTTTTCTCGACATGCACATACATCGAGTTAAGAGTTTTTGGTAAATCATAATTATTTAAAAAAAAAAGGATTTTATAATTCACAGAAATACTGTTAGAAATCATTGCATAATTAAGGTTTACTGGCCCTCTTATAAGAGAAACAACTCTTACTGGGATTACTAGTTGTTATCACTTAAGAAGCGGTATTTAATTTCAAGAAGACGATTTCCGTCGAATTTTGCACCGTGAGGTATGCTGAAATTGTTTGCATTTCAATTCATATACCTTAGAACTTTTTCAGAATCGTGAAAATAAAACTTGTATGAGTGAAAGAGATGTTACATGTAATTAATCTTAATACAACAAATGACCACTTTTTGGATTATGTCGCACTATTATTCATCATATTCCATACTGCAAACATATAAAGCTATGAAATTAACCTCTGTAGTGTTTTTTTTTTTTCATTATTAAGAGCTTATCTCTCCTGCTATAATGTCACGATTAATATTAAACAAGAGGCCCAATGGCCTTAACGGTCACCTGAGTACAACAATTTAGATTGATTGATTCTATATTGTTTTACGCCCCATTCGAGAATTTTTCACTCATATAGAGACGTCACCATATACCGGTAAAGGGCTTCAAATTTTGACCTTTACTCGGCACTCAGGGCCATTGAGCAGTGAGGGATCTCTATCGTGCCAACGTCTGCCGTGACACGGGGCCTCGGTTTTTAAGGTCTCATCCGAAGGACCCGCAATTTTCACTTCAAAGTGCCGAGCGCATGGCGAAGGAACAGTTGCTATCTATTTTTTATCGACTTATGTCTGTCGCGGCTGAGATTCAAACTCACCTACCCTAACACCAGAACCCATGACCTAGGGTCATGAAAATTTACAAATTTGGAAGAGGTACCCTCATCATCAGAACTATGCAATTAGTTAAAGATTTTCAAAGAATTCACACATTTTCACTATATAATCATATAGAGCCCCCCCCCCCCCCCTTTCAGAGAAACAACAGAACCCCTGGGACCACAAGTTTTAAAAATTTTGTAAAAGTATCCTTGCTCATCATAACTATACACTTGTTTCTGTGCTTTATAACCAGGAGTAGAAAAAAATATTTTGAAAGAAATTATGAATTTTCACTATATAATCAATAGAGCCCCCCCCCCCCTCCTTTCACCAGAACCCCTGACCAAGGGGCCATGAAATTCACAATTTTGAAAGAGGCAGCCATGCTCATCATAACTATGTACTTAGTTAGTATATTTCATACCCAGGAGCAGAGAAGAAGATTTTCAAAGATTTAATGCATTTTCACTATATAATCAATAGAGCCCCCCCTCCTTTCACCAGAACCCCTGACCAAGGGGCCATGAAATTCACAATTTTGAAAGAGGCAGCCATGCTCATCATAACTATGTACTTAGTTAGTATATTTCATACCCAGGAGCAGAGAAGAAGATTTTCAAAGATTTAATGCATTTTCACTATATAATCAATAGAGCCCCGCCCTAACACCAGAACCCCTGACCCAGGTGCCATGAAATTCACAATTTTGGAAGAGGCAGTCTTGCTCAACATAACTATTACTTAGTTTATTTAATACCCAGGAGCAGAAAAGAAGACTTTCAAAGAAATAATGCACTTTCACTATATGATGTAAATAGCCCCACCCTAGCACCACAACCCCTGGTTGAAATTGGTTAAGTGGTTTCAGAGAAGAAGCTAAAAAAGTTCAAATGTTAACGCACGACGAATGATGACGGACAAAAACGGATAGCAATAGGTCACCTGAGTGACTCAGGTGACCTAAAAAAGGTACAGAATATCGAACATATTGGTATGTCTACAGGATAGGCAAACTTCTGGCTTAGTATGATTACCCAAACTGTATTTACACACAAGATTTCTTTTGATCGACTGAAAACGCTTTCTGCATCAATCTCAATTTCTTTCTACATAAAACCAAAGTCTAAATAATTGTTTCAATCTTTTAAAGATATTTTCTTTTTTGTACAAAATATGGCCTACAAGAACAAACACCACTTCCTTCAGTGACTCAGTGACTTTAAGTCTATGGTTAAAAGAACACATTGTCTTATAACGGCAACAAATTAATGTCTGTTTCTTCCAACTCTGCTATTTTGGGGTCTTTGGTAATTAAAGAAACATTACATTCATGTACAACAACCTTTCCAAATTATCTTTTGTTTCTACCATAAAAACTTGAAACGATCATATTTACAATGAACAATAACAAAAGCATTTGATAACTATGACATTTACAACAAAATTTGATATACTTTATCAAATTTGAATAAAAATTAAAATTGACATTTTTTACATGTAAAGACATTTTCTTATGAAGTTAAAAGTTGTTATTTGCAGCTGCTTGCATTTTCTTCTGTCTCAATTCCTCCAGAAATGTTTCCATCATATCTAGTGAACTTTTACCCTCAGCAGATGGAGCACCGGTTGTCATAGGAACACTAGTCCCCACTCCAACATCATCTGCTTTTCCTGGTTTACTAGCTTTTGGGCCATAGTAACCACTTCCCTGGCCAATCGGTGGAGACCAGCTTTCCTTCTTCCTCTGAGGAGATCTGCTCTTAGGATGGGAATTCTTTGGTGACCTTGACCTGTGTTTGGAACGTGACCTTGACCTGTCCCTCGATCTATGTCTTGATCTGTCTTTAGATCTTGACCTTGACCTCGAACTGGACCTTGACCTTGATCTGCGCTTTGAGGAGTAAGAACGATCCTTGTGATAGTCCCCCCTGCTTTTATATCTCTCATGATATTGTCCACGTCCTCTGAATTTTCCTTGTCCCCTGTCTATAAACTTTCCTCTTCCCCTATCTACAAACTTTCCTCTTCCCCTATCTATAAACTTTCCCCTCCCTCTACTGCTATCAAAGAATTTTCCTCTCCCCCTGCTGCTATCCATAAATTTTGAGTCCCCTCTTCCCCTCACACCCCCTCTCCCACGAGATCCTATCTCCAGCTTGACAAAAGGTTTAATAGTTACTGATTTCCCATCCGATAAGATTCTGTTTTTATTATACCGATTTATCTCATAGATTTTTTTCCCAATATCACTCTTGTCTGCCTTTTCATCATTACTATGAGGTGACCTTGACCTTTTCCTTTCAGAACCTCCATGATGGGAACTTGGTGATCTGCTTCGACTGCCATGTGACCTTCTCTTATCGTGTGATACTGGTGCTCTACGCTGTTTGCTTTTTTCGTAGGATGAAGACCGGCTTCTACTGGAGGATGAGGATGATTGTGAACGTCTTGTCCGATAATTTGATTTTGGTCTTTCATGCTGGGTTGGGGAATCATCTCTTTTTAACTTTACTTCAAACAGCTCTTCTTGATATGCAGGCTCTGGTTTTGGAGCATAAATCTGCTCTGAGTGTAGAACACTGACAATGCTGACAGGATCTTCTTCTACACTGTCAAATGGTCGGACGCCCACCGGTCCATGACTTCCTTTCTGCTCCTCAACAGAATTATACTTGTCATTTCGTATGTGGATTCGAATTCCCTCAAATTCTCTATCCAGGTCTTCTTTGGATGGAAGGCCAAATTTTTTGGGTTCGCCTTGTGGATACAACTCCTCTCTCTCCCTTGATGTTGACTTGTGTTTCTGTGGTACCTTTGCTTCCTCTTTAACCTTAGATAAGTCTTCTCTTCTCTCTGTCGTCTCTTTAAATGTATTGCGGAACTTTGAGACCGTTTCCAATTTAGGCTTTTGTTCTTGATACTTATCACCAGAATCAAAACGTGATTTTCGTACAGGGTTCAAGTCTTTGTAATATTTTTCATCAGTTGGACTGTCCCATCTTGATTTAACCACATCTTCTATGGACCCTATCTTTTCATGCCTCTTTCTCTCCGAGTCTACATCACTTGGATATTCTTTTCTCTTTTTGTATTTCTTTTCACCTTTAGATTTTCTGTCTTCCTCAGTCTCCTCCATATCTTTCCTAGGAATTCTACTGTAGCTGTCAGACAACTTCCTTTCACTTTTTTCCCTCTTAAATGTATCTTTTCCATCTTTGTAGAATCTTTTCTCACTGGGAGACAAGCTTCCTTTACTTTTTCTTTTCTTTTTCTCTGTCTTGTCTTCTTTGTTCTTCATTTTCTTTGACTTTTTCTTTTTCACTGGTGACACACTCTCACTTCTAGATTTATCATCATCTGTAAAATTCTCCTTTTTCATTACATCTCTTAAGAGTATTTTTTCTTCTTTGAGCCTTACAGAGTTGAAATTTTCTGAATTTGGGGAAACACTCCTTTTTTGAGTCAGAGACCCAGGGGCATCTTCCTTCTTTATTGAAAGCTGTAAAGGCTCACTGGATTTGGATTTGATTTTCATTAAATTTTCAGTGAGACCTTTTTTCACTCTCTCCTCTTCTTGTCTATTAGGATCAAAATCATCAATGTCTCCATACAAAAGATCAATCTCCTCTCTCTGGGATTTCTCTTTGGGAATTTCTAGGTCTTGACTTCCCCTGCCTTCATTTCTTTCAATACTTCTATCTGGGTTTCGGTTGAATCCTTCAGGATATGGATTTATATTCCTACTTCTATCTGGATATTTCTCTAAATCTCCATCTGGATTCCTATCCATGTATTTTCTATCAGAGTTTCTTTCCATACTTCTTCTGTCTGTTCTTCCTTCTACACTCTGTCTATCTCTACTTAAACTAGACTCTCGCAGCCCTCTCAATTTCTCGTCAAATTTTCCTCTGTAATCTGGATATTCTCCTCCATCTCGATCATTATCTCTTGCTTTAAACATGAAAGATGACTGATGGTCTACATTGTATTGACGACTCGGAGATTCCTCTGGTGACCTTGACCTATATTTTTGCCTTGGTGGTGATTTCTCTGATTTCTCAGTCTCTTGTCCAAAATCCAAGCCTGGAATACCATCATATTTACGTCTGCCAAAAATATCCTTGTCTGGAGACCTTGGTGACCTTGACCTCCTTGTCCTTGAACTTCGTGGGGATCTCTCTTTTCTCTTCTTGTCACTTCTACACAGAAATGTAGAGTTAAATTTCCAGAATAAGATTTATCATTCAGTAAAAAAAAAGTTACTTCCTTTAAGTTTTGCCTTACCTGCTTCGGTCTTCATTAATCAGCTTTTTCAGTGTCGCTGTGGTGCGATCCATAAACATTTCCTCATCTGAATCTCTCCCTTCATCATACCGCCCCTGTTTACGGTGTCGGTCACTGAAATGCTGTCGATCCTGCAAACAAATGTATTTTTCACAAAACTGTCTTCCCTCAAGTTTTCCTTTCATACATGAAAGAACAACTAGTATTTTTTTTTCAGTACATACTGTAACAATGCAATAAAATTTTTTATACTTTAGAGTATTGAGTCATCTTCTGAACTAAAATATGACTTTCATTTACAACAAATTTATACATGTATTTTTCAACTTAATATGGACCAAGAATAAATTTCCAGAAAACTAGATATTTAAATACAATTTGCACAGAGAGCGCATTTGTTTGTTGGAGTGGTAATTGCAAGGATTGCATTTTCATTGCACCTTTTTGTAAAGTAGAAATCTGAGAGCTTCCCTGGCTTCTACAGACTGAGGTTCTATATCTAGGGCCCTCTTAATGTATATCTCTGCCTCCTCAAAATTATCAATGTCCTCCTTCCTGTAAGCAGAGAAACCAATTCAAACAAAAAATCATGTTAAACACTGGCATTTTAACCTTAATTTCCACCTTTTGTTTACTCCCTGAACTTCAAAGGAAATCAATATATATGTAAGGAATTTAAATGTAGGTTACTTACATTCGGGCTACAGCTAACAATGTTTCATACATGTACTTCTTGGCATTCTGGTGGTTAGGGTTTATTTTTAAAGCTTCTTCAAAGTCTTCCATAGCTTTGGTGTAACTCTCATTATTTGCATACCTGTAAGTTCAAATGTGCATAATTTACAAGCATCTGATATTAATTTGTTTATGAGAAATATTTCTAATATACTAGATGAAATCCCGCGCAAGCGCGGGGAATTGAATTTATACCACTACCGACAGAAAATATATTGTAGTTCTCTACTGACAGCCTACAGGCTTATAGCAGGAACAAATACTTTGTTCAAAATCCCGCCTGAAGTAGATTTACCTATCCTACCCCCCCCCCCCCCGTTTTTTTTTTAAACTTGAAAAATAGCAATTTCATTAATTGACGTTTATTGTGAAACCTGTTATACTATGTTATGGATATTGTACTTCAGATGCTCTTATTTCATTTCCGTCAAGGATAAAAGCAACGAATAAGGGGGGGGGGGTAAAAATTCACAGGTACTTGAGTCTTGGTTTATAAATATGTTTGTACCTTATTGATATGTTAAAATGTACTTTAAATTACTTTTTTACCTATCAATAAGGTACATACATATTTATAAACCAAGAACCAAGTACCTGTGTAAAAATTAGCTTTTAACGCCCTATGAATAGGCTGAGTATTTGATACAAAAGACTGAGCTGCAATAATGTAGCCCTCTCCGATTTATTTTTTTTTTTTTTTTTTTTTTTTTTTTTTTTTTTTTTTGATCTGATATTTTCTGGCCTCCCCCCCCCCCCCCCCTCAAAAAAGGAGATGGCTACATTATTGCAGCTATAAAAGATTGTATTCAGAAATTAACTGTGTATTGATTAAAGCGCAAAATTTTACATCTTTAATTGTATTTAAACAATACCTTGTTCATTAATTTTCTCTTTTCATGTAAGCAAGTTTATTACAAAGTACAAATTGTACTTCGGGTTCGTTGCCACGATGCTCTCAGTAAGGAATATATATAAATTTTACCGATAAATTTATTACGAAAACCTACTACATACATGTATATGTAATAGTCTTTCGATATATAATTATATTCACAACTTATAGTGTTATCAGTGATTTACCATTATTTCAATTATGACCATTTACACAAAAGCTTTTTTTATGGTCATGTAGCTATAATCGCCTCGTTTTTTTTCTTAACATCGGGCTCGATGCTATATGATGTTCTAGAAGCTTCCGTCAATATAAAGATCGGTGAATGACGAAAATATTTTGCACATTTCCCTTTTTAATCGGTTATCACAACTTATTTCTTTTATATCATTTAAAATCGAGTTTTGATTGAATAATTCAGTGATGACGTTTTATGTAATAAATAAACGATTGCTTGTTGTCAGTTTCATTAAAAATTGCTAGTAACTTAGATCCGCCAACCGGAAACGCCACCGTACTCACGTTTTAGCTATTTCGTGGCTGTTTATAGAAAATGAAAGTAGACTTTTAATTTAATGTACGATACTTACTATGCGAGTGAAATCTAAATATAGTTTACGGACATCAGCTTGTATCTAGTTTATTGTTAGAGGAGTAAGTAAGAACTCTGGTGCACCCGTTTCGGAGTTTATTTGCAAAATTTATTAATTTATAAGTATAGATTGAAATATATTAGCATTGTTGACTTATCAGCAGTTCAACACTCCTTTGTAAGGAATTTTATAATAGCTATACAGTATGGAAGATCCTTTAGTTTTCTCTTGGTTACATATTTCTGCCATCTACCATCAGCCCCTGACATCAATCTGTAGGATTTTACTAATTTCTATAAAGCAGTGACAGATTCCTCACTTGATTTATAAATTTGCAGTGCTTTATTTTTCTGTATACTTATAAGACTCCCCTGTAGCAGGGAGGGCTTCCATACATGATATATAAACATGCAGTCTATATTGTACTGTATACTTACAGGGCCCCTCTAGCAGTTAAAGCTTCCACATTTAATGCATCAATCTGCAGTGCTTTATTAAGGTATTGCATTGCTTCTGTCTGCTTTCCCATCTTAAAATATTTTATACCTTCTGCAACACTGAAAAACATAAAAATAATACTCTGTACATGTCAGCGACTGGTTTACAAGCTGAACACCTATCACACTTTCCTGTTACACTTTGTAAAGATACTGTAAACTACTTTTATTTGCCACAGTAGAGGCCAGCTACACTGATACATTATCAACAAAGAGGATGTATTTCACAGTATTCAGTCACATTTTGTGAGCTGAGATGCCCACTACATATCTCCGAGATGCCCACTACATACCTCTGAGATGCCCACTACATACCTCTGAGATGCCCACTACATACGTCTGATAAACCCACTACGTACCTCTGATGAGCCCACTACGTACCTCTGATGAGCCCACTTCTGGGATTGTTGTTTCCTTAGTCCCTCAGCCATCTCTTTCTCAGGAAGTTTTAATCTACAATATTACAAGGCTGACTGACAAATGTATAATATCGAAATTCTCCCTTTTATTAAGATGTCTATTACTGGTACAATGACATCCAAACTTATGAACAAAGAAATTTCTCTTGGTATATAATGCCAAATAATTGGATTTATGGGACGGATTTTAAGTCCATAGTCTCATGTTATTAAGTTATAATTTCCATATTTCCAAGTATTTTCAATAAAATATTATGTATTCATTGCTGGAAGTATACTTCTACAGAATATTGTGTTGTGAAAATAAAAAATATTGCAATTTGGTGTTGTGAATTCTTGTACTGCAATTTACTGATATATCTAAAAACTACTGCATACTCCAGGTGCGGATCCAGAAGTTTTTTTCGGGGGGGGGGGGGGGGGGGGGTTCCATCCCAGGCCAAAAAAGATTCCAACTCAAAAAATTCTTGACAAGCTAAATAAAAAAACAAAAAAAAAAACACGTAAAATCCAGTTCCTAAACATGAAAAACACCTATTTTGTGGTGGTGATAGTGGGGTCCACGTTTTCTACGGAGGGTCCAAAGTCATTTTATATTTACTTCAATATATACTTTTAATACCTCTGCAAATTACAAGGGGGGGGGGGGGGGGGGGGGGGGCCGCACCCCCCCCAACCCCCCTCTAGATCCGAACAATTCAACATGCACTCATATTGTGTTCAATGTATTTACCAAAATCTGAACAGTTCATGAAGAATTTAAAATCATCACATACTTATGCAGGCCTCTCATGTATGATGATGAATCCTCGAGCTTCAGTACACCCAATAGGTAGGGCACATTTCCCACATTGTTAAACCCCAGGATAGAGTGAAGGAGTTCATCAAAGGTCAAACCTCGAATATGTAACTTACGCCTGTAATAAAACATACAAAATTTTATCATGGACATATCTTCAAAGCTTTAAATTAAAGATTCAGTTACTTCTTTCAATTATCTTCATTTGCATCATATGATGCAGTGAGTTTAATTACAAACATCTTTTCTGTGCATAAAGGGTATGTGATATTAACCTCAGGTTTTATAAAATCATTTATACAAGTCTGAAAGCAAAAATGGATTATTCAGCATTTAACAACAGTCACAATAATATCTGCAGGACTTAAAGAACCTCTCCATCAGACACAAAACAATCAGATATAACGTAAGTCCTTCATCTAGGTTTACCTATACTGCACAGGAAACTCATCTGCATTAATCAAACCCTGAAAATTAAAACAAATCTATCAGTCATCTAATTCAACAATGACATGGAAAATTAAAAGTTTGAAAATGAAAAAAATAATTGTGCTCCTATCTTCAGGCATGTGATTTCTTTTTGCATTATACTGATTTTAAAAGCTTTTTGAATTTTTAATTCTGGAGACATGAAGTATCTATAAAGTAAATATGTATTTTAAGATTGGGTACAAACGATGATATGAAAATTAATCTTTACAAACATGATAACAATCACTGCTTGCTATCTTCAGATGTTACCAACTGATTTCTTTTTTAAGTCGCAAATAACGTAATAATGAAAGCTACAGCATTTGATTTTTAATACTGGAGACATGTTTAAAGCTTTCTTTACACTATATAACTTTATAAGACTCCTACCAATTTAATATGTTCCTGCTCCTCAGAGAGAGCCCTCTCATTTAATGAGACAATGATGCGTTCTGACTCCGAATTCACATTCACTACCACACCTACAAAAACAAAACAAGTAAACTTTAAGAATACATTATAATTGGATTGAAACAAATTTAACAAATTTTACCATTCTAAGGGTGCGAACACTGACCTCTGACTTTGTCCTTGACAGTAAAAGCCTCCATGGGACTCTGATAAGGAACTCTAGGAAGCTCCTTCGCAGGACAAAATGCTGTTAACTTCATCTCGTCGATATCTCGAGCTTTGTCGTTATCAAGACAGAGAAGGGTTAAGACCAGTCCACTCTCTAGTGAAGAGGTCACTACTCCTATCACAATGTCGTATCTCTCTAAACTCTATAAATGAAAGGAAAACTCCCATAATTCATCACTGTACCTAAAGAACAATAACCATTTGACAATGTGACAATTTGCAGAGGAGTGTTGTAGGGTAATATAAAAATGTACTCACATTGAAGAAATGTCTTCTGGCTGCCGTCCAATCCACTCCCATGAATGACTCAATGGGAGGCATCTTGGCATAAGTGTCTGGTAAAAAAATAAAACAATGCTGAAAATTTTTTTCATCTGGGATCTTACCATCACTTCATATAACCAATTTAATGTACCTTAAAATTTTGCGCTTCAAAAAATATCAAATTTCTGATCAGATCTTTTTCAATGTTGTACAATGGGAAATTACCTATGGCAGTAATATTTTCTTTCTTCTCCAGAACCTCACAAATTACAGAAATGTCATTATGTTTTAAGGTTTTTATTTACAAGCTTAAGGTCATTACACACATACTTAACATGCATTTGTATTAAATCAAATACATGTGATGAGGTGCAAATGGAAAACTGACAAAATAATTCACCTTCCCAATTAAAACCCCTGAACAGTGTGATATTTTGGTTTAAGATGTCTATTCTATGGTAATGTAATATCATATTCAATGAAAAGTCCAGCCTACCTTCATCAGTGGATACTGGTGGCTCTACTGAAGCATCTTCAACATGAGTAAACAAATAATCTGCCTTCTTAGCCACAAAACTCTGAATTCTCTGGGATATATCTCCCCTAAGCCTAAATTAAAAGTATTCAATCATTTTAACTAAATCTCATCACATTTCAATCTAGTAAAAAATTGTTCATAAAGCTAAGAAAATTTACCAATTAAAAAATATAATTAAATAAATAAATAACAATAAAATAAACTGAGCTGTTAATACTTGTAAATCTTTGATTCTGAAATTATCCCTGCTACTTGTAAAGAAAATATTTCCTAATTCAAGTAAAATCTTGACATAATGACACTGTGAGTTTGTCATTAAGTACAATCTTAACATAATAACACTCCACATTGTGATGTTGTCATTAGGTAAAGTACAATCGTGACATACCCATACCATCCAGTTGTGACATGTTAAGTAAAAACATGACATAATGACATTATACCATCATGACATGCTGTTGTTAAGTAAAATTTTGACATAACAGAACCCTGTTGTGATATGCCGTCATGAGAAATGAAGTTATTAATAAATCTTGGCATAATCATGCTATCCCTTTGTGACACTGCCGTTAAGTAAAGTAAAATCTTGACATAATGACACTACCCCGTTGTGACGTGCTGTCGCTGGCGGTATCTACTGAGGTGTTCTGTCATACTACTGGGCATCTGCTGCTGTTCTATCTGGAGACATCTCACTAGTTCTGGTCCATGGTATTGTACAGCTTGACCCAGCAGTCCAGAGTCCATGGTGATCACTTATAACCTGTAATTAAGAACACGAAATAACACCCATTCTAACGACAAGCAATTCCTTCTATAAAATGATGTTATATCAAAGTGAAAACCAAAAATTAAAAAAAAAGAAAGCATCAAAACTATGGTTTCACTTTTATGGAAATAGACACCTTACACATACATGTTGTAAACAATTAATCTGTATAACTGCTCTATCATTAATTTATTTTTCATGCATGTATGAAGTTGACGAACACTTTTCATCCAGTTTTTTTTTAAATGTCAATTTTCTTGCTATTCAGACTGAAATTCTGAAAAACAAACCTTGTCATTTCCAAGACAATGATCAATAAAATTATACATCTTTTTAATTGCTACATTATTTTCGCATTTACTGGAAGGGCATCTTATTCAAAGCCTTATCTCCCTAGATGGTAGTCCTCAAGAAAACTAGTGTTGTTCAAGCCCTTCAATCATTGGTATTGCCTTCTTGTAAGTGTACCGTCATCAATTGCTTACATTCTTCTAACATCATAGGAAATGTCAAACAGCCTTCTTGCAAGTGTAACGTCATAAGGAAATGTCAAATCAGTCTAATAAAGACATCTTCATTTGCCATCTTTTCTGTAAACATTACTTTTCTGCTCCCATTCTGTACAAAAGCTGCAGATAAAGTCCTCATTTTTGTTTCTCTGTCAGACATCTTCCAAGGCTAAAGGAATGCTTCCGAAAGCAGGATGTTTTTTTGGTAACCATTTTTTTTTTTACTACTCACTTCACATACCGACAAAAAAGTCACTCTCAAGGAAGATTTGTTAAGATACATCTCTTCACTGGATAGCTCGTCGTTCAGCACAACGTTTTAAATGTCAGGAGTCATCTTCTTCTGTCTCCTTAATTTACACCTAGTTTCCCCACATGGATAAACAAGTCAGATTTTCCTGTACATCATTTTTGCTAAGATAAATATATATGTACAAAATAATAAACATGGTAAAACTTCTTTAAATTCCCCAAAATATCTATTAACAACTTAATTTCAGTCTCAGTTCACTTTTTCATTACTTGTCCAACTTGACATCAAGCAGCTTTTGATTTGGTTTCCTAAAGAATTAGAAATGAAATATTTAATGTCTGACAACTCATGAACTAGATCTACACATTTTCACCATCGATATAATTAAAATGTTGCATACCTGAGATACTGTACTTGATGTCGCAGCATTCAAGAACACAAGAAAATGAAGACATTAACGTTAACAGACCTAACTATCTATCTTCGCAATCATTTGGACGAATTAATTCTTCACTCTGCATTTCTGGTAACAGAGTTTCTATGACTCCGTGTTAAAACAAACGATCGAAACAATACATATCGACAAGTTTTTGAAGATACTTAGTTTCTCTTTAAGCTTTAAATACTAGGCCTATTAACAATACCGTGAATACGTTGATTCATACGAGTTTTTAACGATACGACACTAGAACCATTGCCCAAAATAGCACGTACTGTCCTCTTCTTGTTCCATGTTGACGCTTAATTTGTCAAAGAAACAACATCAACAGGCAACATTGCATGAATTTAATGCGAACAAAATATGTGCAAACCTATGAGCAATTCTGTAAAACCTTCTTCATTTGCTAAACTGAAAAATTCAGCAACCAATGATCAAACATGGAGGGCATGCAAATGAGATCGCAATATATGAGTTGTCGATCCCGATTTTAAATTGCCATAATTTATTATAGTAAGTAAGTTGCTAATATTCCACATAACAGACCTTTATGAATTTACTTTATCGACTCTTATTTTAAATGTGCAAAGCCACGAATTGATAAAAATTTACATTTTTTTTTCATTTTCATTTTATCCATAGGATTATTTAACAAAAATATCAATTAACAGTCTTTAATTAATATTTCGTAAATTCTATGGTCGATATAATGACCTTATCTGCAAATACAATCCAGCATTAAGTGTAATACTGACTGACGTTTTTCATACAAATTGTTAGGCTATTATCTATATGCTGAATTGTCTACGGATATTTCCGTTTGCCCGATCATACAAGCTATAGCACATGGCGGGTGTGGCCGGTCGACAGGGGATGCTTACTCCTCCATGGCACCTGGTCCAACCTCTGATGTTTTTGCTCTGCTCCCAGTCTGTGTTGTTTTAGTGAAGTTTGACTTTGGTTGTTGTTCGCTATCTCCATATTTCTTAATGCATTCCAACGGTTGACCAAAGAATGTCAGTTATCAATTCACCGTTCCAAACCATGCACAGGCATTTGTTTCGTATATGAGGTCAACCCTAGCTGCAGGAACTGTAGTGTATGGTTTTATATATTAGTCTTTGACCATAACGCTATAGATCTCGTAATGCGAATATGGTGCAATTTACGGCACAAGATTTTCTGATTTTCTTAAGTTTGCCCCCCCCCCTTTTGAAACCGTTGCTACGGGCCTGTCAAGTTCACTGGGATATGTATCGTGTCGACATATGAACGGAAATAACTTTAATTATTAGTTATTGATAAAATGCCGTCGATAATTTCTAAGACTTCACATACACACATGGTTTTGTAAATATTTACCGATATATATGCAGTTACGGTTTTGATATGAAAAAAGTATTCCACTGCAAATCTCAATGTCGCTGCATTTATTTACAAATTTCAAGATGAAATTTTCAGCCGTAAAAGCGTTCCGAATAGTTTGTAATGAATGTTAAAGAAGTTTTTTATCCTATATAATAAGAAATCAAACCACTTCTCGCAAAGAAATGCATGGATCTTCTTTCATGCGAAATTATAGCATGGTCGCTAAAAATCGATTAACTTCCGTAACGATTTTTTAAATTTCACGCACAGAATGCAGATTTCAAAAAGAGCTGAAACTTATCTGAAAGTGACCAAAAAATCAACCTTATATCATTGATTCTAGTTGCGAATCAGCTATTTTAGACCATTACATTTTCGACATAACAAAATGAATTAGGCAAAAACAGTTGTCTCTTAAAAATTTAACTTCCGTAATTCAGGAAAGTTTTTGCATTAAAGGTATAAAAAAAATTATTTTGGGAGCGAAATGCTTCATACTTTTGTTTAATATCCTAAAACAAACTTTAATTTTAACTATTGCCGAGAATTTTAACTTTTATTGCTGGAAATTAACTTCCTTAACGATTAACATTTCCCGAAATTTTAACTTAATATCGGATTCATGCGAGACTTCATGAATCATACTTTAGCGTTCTATACTGAACATCAGAAACGAAAAATTGGTCAAATTCAGCTTTATTTTAAAATAACAAGCATTCTGAGAGTATTGCATTAGCAATACTAGTCCCCTACCGGCAAGTGTAATCTGGTTCCCGTTAAGAATTGAAAATGCCATAATTCCGTCAAAAATCAATGAAGCGGGACGAAATGCAAAGTTGATCTATATAACTAATCAAGGTATAGTCACATACCAAAGATCAGCTCAATATCTGAAAGCGTTTAGAAGAAAATTGCGGAAAACCCCTAAAAATTGAAAAGGCCGTAATTCCGTCAAAAATCAATGAAGCGGAACGAAATGCAAATTTGATCTGTAACTCATCAAGATACACTCACATACCAAAAATCAGCTCAATATCTGCAAGCGTTTAGGAAAAAAGTGCGGAAAACCAAGTGGGACAGACTGACAGAGGGACAGACAGACAGACGGACGGACGGACAGACTCAGAGGAAACCTATAGTCCCCTCCGGTTTCACCGGTATTGAACTAATAAGACTTGTTCAAGCATTAACTTCCGTAACATTACCATAAAATCAATGGTATATTGAAATTGTTGTAAAAGGTAACGATACTGACCAGATTTGTGGACAATCCTTTTTTTAAATTTCACTGATATGTCCTTTAGAGAATTATGATGTTCATTTTGCAGAAAACCAAGTGGGACAGACTGACAGACAGACAGAGGGACAGACAGACAGACGGACGGACGGACAGACTTAGAGGAAACCTATAGTCCCCTCCGGTTTCACCGGTAGGGGACTAATAAAGGAGTGCATTTAGTGCCCATCGGAATTCCAACATGCAGTTGTTGCAAGACTTTGTCTCCGAAAACTACACAGATGGTGGAAATAAGTAACTCCAGCGTCCTTTAAATATCTACTTCAGAGTGCTTGTGTGCAAGTGGTTTTTAACGAAGTACGGTAATTTTAATTTGCTAATGACCAGTCACAAGATGTGAAAATTCATTTTTATTGAAGAAACAGTTGTCTATAATATCAAAATTAAAGCATAGTTTTTAATTTATCTAAAAGAAATGTGTATAAAGTGAAGAAAAATCGTTCGTTCTGATGTTATATTGACTTTTGAAAAATTTGATTTTGACACCCCGGAAAGAGGTAAAACTAGAAGTCAAGCTGTAGATCGAGTTCCACTTGGTCTTTCAACGTTTTTGTTGTTGTTTTTTTGTTTTGTTTTTTTTTTTGTGCGAAAGTTTAGCGAGCTTATGGGAGGGCGGTTTTTCCAAAGACATTGTAAGGATACTATGTGCGCCCTTAATTTACTTGAAGTTTTTAGGTGAGAAGATTGCGGATCCAACACCGGGAAAGACTCCCGTTGAATCAGTCATCTACCATGAGGGTTTTGTTTTCATTGTAGATACGAATAAGGTTATGACTGAACAATGCATCATTATTATTTCTGGCATAAGTAAGGTAAAGGGTGATATTTTTTTTAAAGATTTAATTTACAATAGGAAATTATTGACTTCGCGCCCTTTTCCATTTTTGATCGGGATCTGAGTAAGAGAATAGATCACTCCCACGTGGATGACGTCAAGGATGGAAAAGAAAGGAAATTGCGTTTTATTCAAATCAATGCGCCAATCAGAAAATATAGTTCTTTAAATGTTATACAGTTATCAAATGTTTAAACAGTTGTAAGATACAAGTCATACAATGAAACTTAAAATTTTAAAATCCGTTTTCAAAAATGATTTCATGTTTTTATATACTTAACAAAAAAATCTATTTAGTTTTATAAATCGCGGAAGGTTATTCGGTCCTTTATTCGCGGTACTTAGCGAGAACATGTCCTATAACTCCGAAGATGGTGATAGGTAAGAAATTAACAGAATGATATGGTGTGAGATTTGTATGAAACTTTATGAACTGAAACTCCTACATACTAACTAATAAATGTGTAAATTCTATGTCCACATATGAACAGGTTTGTGAGAAAAATGATTTCGATATTCGGTTGCGAATCTACCACAGTGTCATGGCGGACACCGGTTCGCACGTGTGCACTCCATATGGAGATGGTTGAAGTTAAAAAAGGGGGTTGCCGTCAATCTGATGTATTTATTCTATCTTCTAATGAAGGATTGTATCGTATATATTGTTAGATTTTGACTTTTCGTTTTCCTTTGGCCTACTAACATGTAACAGCGGAACATGACCATCTTTCAAGTCATTCAGTGATCACGTGGTTTATATACTTCATTTCCTTACCACAGTTACCGTCTTAACATTTAAAGTTAATTTTTGTCAAGTTTCTTAACTATGAAACAGAGAATCAATATTTTACAGAATACGAATCGTTGTTCGCCCATAAACGTTTTAATATAGTGACTTTTGAAAAAGAGATACAGCGCTCTACCTTTTCAATTTTTCTCCATATCTTGTACAAATAATAAATTGATTGCCCGCTGATCTGGGTCCAGTGTATTTTTGGGCTAGTACATTGTACAGGTTGGGCACAGTTCCTTTTTCGGGGAAGTATTACTATAAAACGGGATTATTCCTCTTTTCAGTAATTAAAAACATTACTGTATACGGGAATTTTCACTCGTTTACCCTCTATTCTCGTTTTTGCTTTGAATAAAAGATTAAGTGCAAGAATATTTTCACATTCTCTAAATACTTATAGTCTATTAAGTGTACGTATGCTCAAAACTACACTATTTATCGCTGCAAAATGCTGAAAAAGAGTGATGAAATATTTCTACGATATTAATTTCTTACGGAAGCTTATCCGTGTTAAAATTGTGAGATTGAATACGTTCAGCACTTGATAACTCGTTCATGAAATTATTCGTTATAATTTAATTTTATATCATTTCTTTCAAAGACATCGTAAAAATAATTTTTTTATACCACTGCTTCTTTTACAGATAAAAATAATTATTTGAAATAATAAATTTTAAAACATAGTCTTTCAAAAATGGTTTTAGCATGAATGTCCTTATAAGATTCCATACTTTTCGTATCATTTATCAACAGGGAAAATTAAAGTAAAAGTCGTGGATTACTGCTGCAGTGAGTTTAAATTCCTATGCATGTTCAAAAGATGTCACCTCCACGAAACCAAGATATGAAATTTTCCGTTTTTGAACAAATAATAATATAACTTAGAAGGGAAATATTCACATCCGTTTGAAGAATACTCATGATGTACGATAAAATCTCATCTTACTCCCGTCTGCAGCACTAAAGGACCGATTTTTTTTGTCAGCGAGGTTGGTTTATTAAAGTTTAAACACATCACGTCGTATTTTCAATGCACCTTTTATTTAATAAACGGATTTAGGGCATTATTTTAAAAATATGACGGAAATTCCCATATACAGTAATGTTTTTTATTACTGAAAAGAGGAATAATCCCATTTTAGGCCAAAAAAATTAATAGTCTTGTTTCCTGCTACCCGACCTACCCTATTTTTTTGCACCCGACCCTAAAGTTTTTTAGCTCACCTGAGCCGAAGGCTCAAGTGAGCTTTTCTGATCACATTTTGTCCGTCGTCCGTCCGTCCGTCTGTCCGTCTGTCTGTCTGTCCGTCCGTCTGTAAACTTTTCACATTTTTGACTTCTTCTCAAGAACCACTGGGCGAATTTCGACCAAACTTGGTACAAAGCATCCTTGGGTGAAGGGGAATTTAAATTGTTAAATTGAAGGGCCAAGTCCCCTCACAAGGGGAGATAATCAAGAGAAGACAAAAATAGGGTGGGGTCATTAAAAAATCTTCTTCTCAAGAACCACAGGGCCAGTAAAGCCGAAACTTATATGGAAGCATCCTGGGGTAGTGTAGATTCTGAATTGTTAAAATCATGACCCCCGGGGATAGGGCGGGGCCACAATAGGAAATACAAGTTTTACATTGAAATATATAGGAAAAATCTTTAAAAATCTTCTTCTCAAGAACCACTGAGCCAGAAAAGCTGAAACTTATGTGGAAGCATCCTTGGGTAGTGTAGATTCTAAATTGTTAAAATCATGACCCCCGGGGGTAGGGCGGGGCCACAGTAGGGAATCCAAGTTTTACATTGAAATATATAGGAATAATCTTTAAAAATCTTCTTCTCAAGAACCACTGAGCCAGAAAAGCTGAAACTTATGTGGAAGCATCCTGGGGTAGTGTGGATTCTAAATTGTTAAAATCATGACCCCCGGGGGTAGGGCGGGGCCACAATAGGGAATCCAAGTTTTACATTGAAATATATAGGAAAAATCTTTAAAAATCTTCTTCTCAAGAACCACTGAGCCAGAAAAGCTGAAACTTATGTTGAAGCATCCTGGGGTAGTGTAGATTCTAAATTGTTAAAATCATGACCCCCGGGGGTAGGGCGAGGCCACAATAGGGAATCCAAGTTTTACATTGAAATATAAAGGAAAAATCTTTAAAAATCTTCTTCTCAAGAACCACTTAGCCAAAAAAAGTGAAACTTATGTGGAAGCATCCTGGGGTAGTGTAGATTCTAAATTGTTAAAATCATGACCCCCAGGGGTAGGGCGGGGCCACAATAGGGAATTCAAGTTTTACATTGAAATATATAGGAAAAATCTTTAAAAATCTTCTTCTCAAGAACCACTGAGCCAGAAAAACTGAAACTTATGTGGAAGCATCCTAGGGTAATGTAGATTCTAAATTGTTAAAATCATGACCCCCGGGGGTAGGGCGAGGCCACAATAGGGAATCCAAGTTTTACATTGAAATATATAGGAGAAATCTTTAAAAATCTTCTTCTCAAGAAACACTGGGCCAGAAAAGCTGAAACTTATGTGGAAGCATCCTGGGGTAGTGTAGATTCTAAATTGTTAAAATCATGACCCCCGGGGGTAGGGCGGGGCCACAATAGGGAATCCAAGTTTTACATTGAAATATATAGGAAAAATCTTTAAAAGTCTTCTTCTCAAGAACCACTGAGCCAGAAAAGCTGAAACTTATGTGGAAGCATCCTGGGGTAGTATAGATTCTAAATTGTTAAAATCATGACCCCCGGGGGTAGGGCGAGGCCACAATAGGGAATCCAAGTTTTACATTGAAATATATAGGAAAAATCTTTAAAAATCTTCTTCTCAAGAACCACTGAGCCAGAAAAGCTGAAACTTATGTGGAAGCATCCTAGGGTAGTGTAGATTCTAAATTGTTAAAATCATGACCCCCGGGGGTAGGGCGAGGCCACAATAGGGAATCCAAGTTTTACATTGAAATATATAGGAAAAATCTTTAAAAATCTTCTTCTCAAGAACCACTGAGCCAGAAAAGCTGAAACTTATGTGGAAGCATCCTGGGGTAATGTTGATTCTAAATTGTTAAAATCATGACCCCCGGGGGTAGGGCGGGGCCACAATAGGGAATACAAGTTTTACATTGAAATATAAAGGAAAAATCTTTAAAAATCTTCTTTTCAAGAACCACTTAGCCAGAAAAGCTGAAACTTATGTGGAAGCATCCTCAAGTAGTATACACTCTAAATTGTTCAAATCATGACCCCGGGGATGGGGGGGGGGGGGGGGGCACAATAGGGAATCCCAAGTTTTACATTGAAATATATAGGAAAAATCTTTAAAAATCTTCTCAAGAACCACTGAACCAGGAAAACTGAAACTTATGTGGAAGCATCCTGGGGTAGTGTAGATTCTAAATTGTTCAAATCATGGCCCCTGGGGGTAGGGCGGGGCCACAATAAGTATTACAAGGGGGGAAGTCTGGTAATGAACAGCATGGCCAAAGTTACTCAGGTGAGCGATGTGGCCCATGGGCCTCTTGTTTTAAGTTTTGGAAGAAAAAAAATCGAGAATTAATTTCCGGAATTTCATCGTTCTGTCACCGTAATTAGTTTTCGTGTTAGCACAAAACAAGCATTTCATGAAATTCTTGTTTTAAATATGGACTTTCATAAAATACCACTTGAGTTGTGCATAAAAAGACATGAAATTCAATTTTAAAAGACAATATTGACCTGTGACATGTTTAATTTTATCTTGTATTAGTTCATATCCAAAAAATGTTGTCAGAAAAAAAATTAAAATATAAATATAAAATAAAATAATTTTCCTACCTACCGACCCTATTTTTTTTCAGGCTGGTAGCAGGAAACAAGACTATTATTTTTTTTTGGCCTTATAGTAATACTTCCCCGAAAAAGGAACTGTGCCCAACATGTTGTAGAGTGCACGTGCCCTTTGGATCATTGTTTATTTGTTGTTTTTTTTTGTTTTGTTTTGTTTTTGTTTTTTTTTTTTTTGCATAACAAAATTCACACACAGTTGGGCTAGTTAACTTGATAGGGTTGTATGTTGTCATTTCTTGTTTTCTCAAGTTGTACTATTAAGTATCACAATATAAACAAAATATTACTATTATTACTGTGGTTTGGGGTCAGTCTTTCAAAAATCTTCAGGCCCAGTGGGACAGTGAAATTACTGAGTTGACCAGTAAAAATTTAAGGTGATAGCGCAAGTGACCAGTTAAAAAAAATTATTTATAGCCCTGACTTCACCAATATAATATTGATACAGAATTTGCAGTCAATAATATTTCTACCCTTCTTGGGTAATGTTTCAGATTTTTTATGCTGAACAAATAATCCAAAACTTGCAACAAACTGGTATGGAATTCAACTCCATCAGAAGAAAAAGTTCAATATCACCTAGAAATATTGTGAATTTTCAGTAACTGAAACAAGGGTAATGTTATAACTAAAGAGAAAGAAATGTTATTTAATTTGTGATTACTACCACGTTTTATTTTGAAGGTCTCGGAATGAGAGACCACAAAGTGGAGACAGAGGTGATGGAAAGGAGGAATATATCCCAGAAGCCGGTGGCCTCATAGAGGTACAAAACTGTTATTTCTTACTATTATAGTATTGTAATGTTACTACCGGTAACAAAAAGATAATACCATTGGTGTATATGCCAGAAGAGGAAATTTTGATGGAAAAAAATATGGGGAAAAAGTAATTTCAAAGAGTAAGTGGTAGACGTTTAGCTTTATAGTTCAGTAGAAAAAATGAGATGTTTCCCTTTTATTCAGAGCAACTGGGATGAAGTGGTTGACAACTTTGATGATATGAATCTCCGTGAGGAGCTGTTAAGAGGAATCTATGCCTATGGATTTGAGAAACCCTCGGCTATTCAACAGAGAGCCATTATTCCTTGTATTAAAGGTAAGTTTAGTGTTGGTGTGAACTTACCTTCCCAAAAGCACCACACTCCTCTACAATGGGCGTGATGGCCGTCAAGTGGAAGGAGAAGAATTTGTTCTAAGTGGGTGAGGTCTTCTTCAACATGAAGAAAATCTCAATCTAGAGCAGCACATTTAAAGTTTTAAAATTGTTATATTTCGAGGACTAAACTGTAGAATTATAAAATACATGTTAGGAGAGTGAAGGAACAACCTTGCCATTCTAAACCTTAAATATTTAGAAGAGCAAACTTTAACCTTTCTTGTTAATTGACCAGAAGTGTGCATTGACAAAGTCTCTAGTGTGATGTTTATGCATTTGCAGGGCTCGGTACTAACATATTTTGTCACTAGTCCAGCCAGACTGACATGGTATAATAATACCTGCCCGCTCTGCGGATGCCTTATAATGATCTGTTTGTCTTTCTGTCCATATCCAATTTATTTATCCATAGCATATTTTCTCCCCTTGGTCCAGTTGGGCTCAAACTTCACCCAAAGAGTGCCTTTGCATAGAGGGTGTGCAAATGAACTTGAAACATCAAAGTAGAAAAATGCTTTATGTTTATCCTTGTCTAGAGCATGTTTTCTACTCCCCTTTGCACAGTTGGCTCTTTCTTCACCCATAGAGTGCTGGAAGAGAATGTGCAATGACCTTGAATCAACTTTTTAGATCAAAGTTCAGGGCCAGAGTATCTCTTTGCAAAAAATCTTTATGCAGAGCATATATTCTACTCCCCTTGGTCCAGTTGGGCTCGCACCTTACCCACAGAGTGCCCATGTAGAGGATATGCAGTAGCCTTGAACTATTTTTCTAGATTTGCATAAAATCCTTGTCTGATGCATATTTTCTCTCCCCTTGACCCAGTTGGGCACAAACTTCACCCATAGAGTGCCTGTTGGTGGAAGGTATAAGGTGTCCTTGAGCTAAGTTTCTATGTTTGTGGTCAAGTTAATAGCAAACCCCTGTGGGTAGAGGGTTTGCAGTAATAATGAACCCAATTTAGTTGATCAAAGGTCAAGATTTAAAACAAAAATCTCCTTCTCTGATTCTTCATTTAAACAGTTTAATGGATAAATTTTCAATAAAGATTATGAAGAAAGGTTTAGATCTCTCACTTTCTTTCTCTGTCTCTCTGAGTAGACAGATCGGTGCTATCATTATTTATGTTTTCAATCATTTGTGATGTTCTTCTTGAACACTATGACAATGCCCTGTTCTTCCTTGGGCATGACGGTTGTGTAAGACTTAATGGATCAGAGTCCACAAAACTGTTCATTTGTCTAACACAGGAAGAGACGTGATCGCTCAGGCCCAGTCTGGAACTGGTAAAACTGCCACATTCTCCATAGCTATTCTACAGCAACTCAATGTAGAGGAGAAAGACTGTCAAGCCCTGGTTCTGGCCCCCACCAGAGAGCTGGCACAGCAGGTATAGTCATTTAAACATTAATCTGTCACAACCAGAGAGCTGGCACAGCAAATACAGTACAATACTGTTGCCAAAACAAATTTTGAGCTGTCTCGAAAGACCTTCATATTTTATGTTACCAAGGAAATGTTTTCTCTTGCAATGTATAGATTATATAGTAGTACATTTATATGCCATATGCTTAAAGTAAAATACTCTGCTCTTTGATGTTCTTGTAGATTCAAAAAGTAGTGATTGCCCTGGGAGATTATATGGGGGCCTCCTGTCATGCCTGTATAGGAGGTACTAATGTCCGGGAGGATATGCATCGCCTACAGGCCGGCGTCAACATTGTCGTTGGGACTCCAGGGCGTGTCTTCGACATGATTAGTAGAAGGGCATTAAGTAAGCTAATAATGAGTAAAGGTTATGTTGTCTGAAATGTCAGGTATAATGCTTGTTCACCTGCACATGATTTGAATGAACCTTTATTAAATATTTTTTGTTTGTAGATCCCAGAAGCATTCAGCTGTTTGTCTTAGATGAGGCTGATGAAATGTTATCCAGAGGTTTCAAAGATCAAATTTACGATGTCTTTAGGTTTATGCCCCAGTCTATTCAGGTCAGAAAGGGAGGGGGATATTGTATAATGTGTAGCTTACATGTAGCTGTGTTTTATGAAAGATTGAATTACTGTAAATGTACTGTAGCATGTACAATATTTGTTGGACATTGATTTTTGAATAAGTTCATGTAGATTTGAATTGGTGCATTAAGGTTCTAATTGATGTGTACCATATATACTCGCCTATAAGTCTGTTGTATTTTTAAAGCTTTAATTGAAGGGATTGACCCACTAAAATACCAGTCTTTTTATAACTCACGTATAAGTCGGATAATGAGTTTTGGATCAAAGTTTAACTCCCAAAAAACCGACTTATAGGCGAGTATATGCGGTATATGGGTAAGTCATTTAGCATTACACTTGAATTAATGGAAGTAACTTTCCACCAAAGGCACTAAAAACGACACACAACCTAATGTAATACATTTACAGTGTCAGGTTTTAGTGGGAGAATGTATTTAATGAGGTTTGAGCAAGATTTTCTTGCTGTGATATTTATAAATATCTAGACTAGTGATGGACAAGTGAGAAATTGGAATCAACACCCAAAACATAAAAAAAAATGAGTCAAAAATGCAAATTTTCATTTTCGGCCAGGGGGGTAGCGCACCTTGGCCCTCCAACCAGGGATCTGCCCTGGACCCAATGGGGGCCTGAGGCGGCCCCCAGACCCTTGCTGAGATTGGATTCTTGCTATTCCAAATATATTTTCTTCTATTGAAAATCTTACTGAAAACACTGTTATAGGTAATATGATTTAGACAAGGAAATTTAAAAGGAACCTCTTTTTAGGTAATAAGATTGTAGATTGTGTTGACAATGGCTCGTTGCTACATGGGTAGGGTAGACTTTCACATGAACTGAAAGTAATCCATTATGTTTTAGGTCATCCTGTTATCAGCCACAATGCCTGCCGAAGTTCTTGATGTTACCAAAAAGTTCATGAGGGATCCTATTCGTATCCTAGTCAAAAAGGAAGAATTAACCCTGGAGGGTATCCGTCAGTTTTACATCCAAGTGGAAAGGGAGGTAAGCCAAATGCTAGAAAACATATTTTGTATGTCTTGTTTTATACACAAATGAATTGGGTGTTAATACCTTTTCATGATAAATATAAATTACTACAAAAAGTTCTTGAAAGTTTATAATTGGTTCTCGGTGAATTATAACTCAGATATTTAAATTGACTTTAGGAGTGGAAACTTGATACTCTCTGTGATCTGTACGAGACCTTGACTATAACTCAGGCTGTCATTTTCTGCAACACCAGGAGAAAGGTGGACTGGCTTACAGATAAAATGCTTAGCCGTGACTTCACTGTGTCAGCTATGGTATGTCCTATTTTAGATAAGATATAAAGTACAGGGGATAAGGAGATGATGAAGAAATAAATCTATTTGACTTTCGTTCTGCTGAAGTCTTGTGTAGAATATGTAATTCTGAAAGCTTACCCCTATAAATGAGAGACTGTAGAATTCAGGGTCTTCTCCCACAAAGTATATAGTAGTTTAATGACATGGAGTTGACATTGCATGTTTTATTGTAGCATGGTGACATGGACCAGAAGGAACGAGACGTGATTATGAGAGAGTTTAGGACTGGCTCCAGTCGCGTTCTGATCACAACCGATCTTCTGGCACGCGGAATCGACGTGCAGCAGGTGTCCTTAGTTATTAACTTTGATCTTCCTGCCAACAGAGAAAATTACATTCACAGGTATAATATTAGCTGTAGTTATAATTTCTGATTCCATGAATTTATTTAGAGAGGATTATATGCGACAAAAATGTGTTTTGATTACAAACAAGTTTTTGGTTTTGAGTTTCCATTGATTTCTCTTTTAATTGTATTGAATAAGTAAAAAATTAATTGATAACTTTTGCAGGATTGGTCGTGGTGGTCGATTTGGAAGAAAAGGCGTTGCCATAAACTTTGTCACTCAAGAGGATGTACGGACATTGCGTGATATTGAACAATTTTACAATACACAGATTGAAGAAATGCCAATGAACGTAGCTGATCTGATCTAAGAGTCTGCCATACTTCGGAAAAATCTTGTCTTATTGCTAGTGGAGAATTTTACAGTGCAATTTCCTTGAAATAAATTTACAAAGTATTTGATGAAATGTGAATTGTCGACAAGAAGATCCGAATTAAGTGGTGACTGAGAGCAAAAACTCTCTAAACGTTTTATTTAATCTGTTGACCTTGTATGAGAAAGTGCTGTAATATTGCTGCTTTTTGTCATTGTTAATTTATATTTCTAGAAATTTAAAGCAGCTCTTGTTTATCTTTCTTCATTGAGAAAGATTTATCAGAATTTTCATACAATATTACTACAAGCTTAATTTTATTTTTTTTTTCATGCAAAGTGCAGTGCTCTGGTGCAGAATTTTGTATAGTACTAATAATTTCTTTGTTTAAACATTATTGTACAGTAATTGGAGCCATCTTCATGTTTCATATTATATCAAGAGAAAGGTTGGCAATGCACTGGACATTCTTGTACCGCCATCTATTGCTGGAGAACATCGGCCCTCCATGTGTGTGGATTAACTGGCTATCACATGAGACAGTAAACCCCCTGACTTTTATCAGGAATGTTTATATTTGTCATGTGAGAGAAAGCAATAGGTGTATTAAAAAATTCTATAATTATAAATGGAACTTGTTTTCTTTAACAATTTGGTATGAAGGTAGCACCAGCTATTAAAAAGTCATAATTTTGACATCTTAAGATTGTAAGTGGACACAATGGAAAATAAATACTGCCTAACTTAAATAGAATACCATGGATTTGTTGCATTGAAGTGGAAGTCCTAACTACTTTTTCTATAACATATTTTAACCCTTGATACTGAGAATTGTTCTTGGCTCCACGAGTTGGTGATGATGAGGTTTGACGGTGATGATGAGGTTTGACTTTGATGATGATGTAATCACTGCATATTTAGTAATATCAAAAACTTACATGTATGTAAATTCTGTTAAGATTTAAATGTCATGAACTAGGTCAGTAGTAATGACAATCTTATTAAAATCAGACTTCTTAGATCCGTACCGTATACACTCTCATACAGAGTGTAAACACGGGGGATCAGAAGTCTGAATTAAAATAGATTGGTAGCACCGACCATTCCCCACTTTTTAGCTCACCTGAGCTGAAAGCTCAAGTTAGCTTTTCTGATCACCTGTGTCCATCTGTAAACTTTCCACATTTTGAACTTCTCGAGAACCACTGGGCCAATTTTAACCAAAGTTGGTACAAAGCATCCTTGGCTGAACGGAGTTTAACTTATTAAAATGAAGGACCAAGCCTTCTTACAAGATTAAATAATAAGGAAAAGACAAAAATAGGGTGGCATCACTAAAAAATCTCAAGAATCACTGGGCCAGAAAAGCTGAAACTTGTGTGGAAGCATACTTGTGTAGTGCAGATTCTAAGCTGTTCAAATCATGACCCCCAGGGGTAGGGTGGGGCCACAATAAGAATCAGTTTTACATCGAAATATATAGGAAAAATCTTTAATTAGCTTCTCAAGAACCACTCGATCAGAAAAGCAGAAACGTGGAAGCATCCTGGAGTAGTGTAGATTCTAAATTCAAATCATGGCCCCCTAGGGTAGGGTGGGGCCGCAATAGGGAATCAAAGTTTTTACATTGAAATTTATAGGAAAAATCTTAAGAACCACTGGACAAGAAAAGCTGAAACTTATGTGGAAGGCTCCGGAGGTATAATGTATATTCTATAATGTTCAAAACATGACCCCCGGGGTTAGGTGGGAATCCCAAGTTTTACATTGAAATATAATGGAAAAATCTTTTAAAATATCAAGAACCACTGGGCCAGAAAAGCTGAAGCTTATGTGGAAGTTACCAGAGGTAGCGTAGATTCTAAATTGTTCAAATCGAGGCCTCTTACCGTCACGGTAGCTCAGTTGGTAGAGCTAGCGCTCGCTCCGTGATTGGAAGGTCGTGTGTTCGAATCACCGCGACTGACCTAAAAAATAGGTAGCAACTGTTCCTTCGCCAAGCGCTCGGCACTTTGAAGTGAAAGTTGCGGGTCCTTCGGAAGAGACCTTAAAAACCGAGGCCCCGTGTCATGGTAGGCGTTGGCACGATAAAGAATCCTCACTGCTCAGTGGCCCTGAGAGCCGAGTAAAGGTCTGAATTTGAAGCCTTTCACCGGTAAAAGGTGACGTCTCTGTATGAGTGAAAAAATTCTCGAACGGGACATAAAACAACATACAATCAATAAAATTAAGGCCTCTGAGTGTAAGGTGGGGTCTAATAGGGAATCTAAACTTTTACATTAAAAAATATTACAAAATCTTTTAATTAAAACAAAAAAGCTGACACTTATATGGAAGTTTCCTGAGGTAGTGTAGTTTCCAAATTGTTCAAACAATGGCCACCGGGGATATGGTGGGACAACAATAAGGAATCAAAGTTTTACATTGAAATATAATTGAACAATCTTTTAAAATCTTCTCAAGAACCACTGGGCCAGAAAAGCTGAAACTTACATGGAAGCTTTCTGATGTAGAGTAGATTCTAAATTTTGCAAATCATGACCCCAAGGGGTAGGGTGGGGCCACAATAAGTATTACAAGGGAAAAAATCTGGTGAAGAACAGCAGGGCCAAAGTTACTCAGGTGAGCGTTGTAGCTCATGGGTCTCTTGTTTTGACGTAGTTATTTTCAAAGTTTGGTCCCCCTCATGTTTCTCTGTATGATTAACCCCCTCCCCCCCCCCCCCCACACACACAAACAATGTACCTTTTCTGTTGCTATCTCTTCGTCCGTCGTCATTCGTTGGTCGTAAACTTTTGAACATTTTTAGCTTCTTTTCTAGAACCAGTGAACCAATTTCAACCAATTTTGGCATATAACATCTATGGGTAACGGGGAACAAAAATTATGAAATTCATGCCCCCCGCCCCCCCCCCCTCCCGGTCCTGAGGAAGGGGGCCAAGACCTTAAAAATTAATGCAATCTTTCAAGATCTTCTGTACTCCTGGACATCAAGCAGTCAAATTGTTGGCATGATTGTAATAAGCATGGTTATGATAGGCATGTCTCTTCCAAAATTGTGAAATATATGGCCCCAGGGCCGGGGTTCTGGTGAAAAGAGGGGGGGGGAGGGAGGCTCTATTGATTATATAGTGAAAATATCTTTGAAAATGTGGTTATAAAGTAAAGAAACTAAGTGTGTAGTTATGATGAGCAAGAGACAGTGCTTCTTAATTCCAGAATTTTAAGTTTCATGGCCCCTGGGTCAGATGTTCTGGTGTAAGGGTGGAGCTCTATTGATAATAAACTGAAAATGCATTAATTCTATTAAATAATCCTGTCTGCTCCTTAATGTTGAGCAGCTAGGCAAAATGCATAGTTACGATGAAGAAGGGTGCTCCTAACAAACTTTTTAAAACTTGTGGTCCCAGGGTCAGGGGTTCTGGCAGTTCTCGGGAAGGGGGGGGGGGGCTATAGATAATATAATGGAAATGTGTTAATTCTTTGAAGTGCATAGTTATGATAGTTACTTTGATCAGGTAGATCTGTAAATATAGATAAATAAAAAAAAAAAACAGAAAAAAATTTATCTTATTAAATAATCCTCAAAAGACTAAGAGAGGCCAATGTGAGAGGTTACAATATGAGGTTAAAATAGTACAGAAGCTTTAGTGTGCATGGTGATAGTGAAAAATGGGGGACGGATTAGAAATTAATTTATGAGTTGTTAATTAATACTAGACTAATTATTCCATTGATCCTGGTCATCCTTTTTCTTTTGGCCAACAAAGCTTCATCTATCAGTTTATTTTATACTCCAAAGGATCCTCTAATTTGTTGTATTATACTCAGGTGACCGTTAAGGCCCTTGGACCTCGTCTAATTTTATGACGGTGATCAGAAAAGCTAATTTAAGTAGGCTTCCGTATGTCTGCTCTTCTGTAAACTTTACACATCCGGACCCCACCCATCCCCGGGAATTTTAAATGTACATATTAGAGTAACATAAATGACCTTGGACTCCATAGAAAATGTAACATCAAAGTATACAGGAAAAATCTTTTTTTTTAAAAACTCTCAAGAAAAGCTAAGCGAACAATCTTTAAAAAATCTTCTTAAGGATATCCGTTCCTCAGCTAGGAAGAATAACTCTTAAAGGATCATTCTCTAGAAGGCCGTTTTGCGGCCTATAATGACCTCAAATTTTCAAATAGTATTCTTTCCCTTAAAAACTGCATGAACCAGTAGGCTAATATTCCAAATCAATGATAAATGTTAATTGGTTAATGATACAGTAGTATTTGTTATGATATAGGGTCACAAAGTAAGGTACTATTGGTCCGTATTAGCAATAGGGTAATGGGAAAACCCAGGAGGGTGGGTGTGTTAGGTAACTCCTACACATGTCATAACCACCTTTAACTAAAACACCAAAATTTGCATGTAAACTTCTTATAAACATAAAAAGTGACTACCAAATTATGAACTTGGTTAAAGGTGGTTATGACATGTAAATAAAAACTTCTCGCTTCATTTTCACGATATTTGAAGGAAAAACTAACAACTCACAATGAAGGATGTCAGCTTATGTAGATTATTTCGTATTATAAACTTTCAGTTAGTGTACATGTTTCTGTTGATTTACTAAGAATTAATATAAAGAATGCATGTTCACTCAAAAATTGTCAACTTTTTACTTTAAAAAAATTTAAAATCAAAGGACTGAAAAGACTGGAAGTTATGAAATTACACGTGTAGACAAGCTGTCTGCGAGAAATAAAGGGAAAAAAAACTTTTTATAGACTATAAGGTGTGCATATGTTATTTATCATGTTTATTGTAATTATTATTATTTATAATGATAGTTTAGTTTGTCTATGCTACTTCTCTGTATTTGTACTTCCTTAGGAGTACTGCATATCTGTTAGTTCTAGAAATGATAAAAGATATTTTTGTTGTAGCGGAAAGATGCACTTGCTATTTGTGTTATCAACTTATTTTCTGTGGGTACACATGTAACTTTTATTGATAGTGAATTACTGATGGGATTGTTTCATGATGGGAATTCTTGCCTCGACCCTTTTAGAAGGACACTTTTCCGTGTTAGTGACATAGGATCCATGTATTATGTTCTCAATCTATTCATCACACATCTTTGGTAGCATCAATATAAGTTACCAGAATAGCAGTTCTATCTTAGAAAATAAAATACCAAGGAGGAGAGGGGTTCCTTAATGTCACATGTGATTGATAATTGAATGTTGCTTTCCATCGTTTTAAAATTTTTCACCCAGATAAAGAGATCATCCACTTAAGATGAAGTGTCATCATTTTGATTTATGCATGGTTTCATTAATGACCAACGCCTCCCGTGCGACGGGAGCTTCTTTTTAAAGATAATGTCCAAAACACCCATGACTTTTACTTTAATGCTGAGGACTTAACAAAGGAACTGTCACTACCCGTGTTAAACACCTTAGTTTTTGACGCGGCACTGGGAAAGAGAATTTAATCATCAGGTTTCAAAAGTACGAAAAGAGTGTCAAACCCTTAGGGCCCATTTTGTACCTGGGATGTTGTAGAACTCTGCTAGTCCATGGATATACTAAAACTTAATTCTGATATGCGTAGTGGAAGGAAGTGTTAAAAATCTACTCCACTTTTATGGAGTGTCGTTAGAAAGTTGTGGGGGGGGGGGGGGTCATGGACTTGACATTTATATATACGTTTGTGTATTGTATAACTTAGATAACATTTTTAATTAAATATATTGTTTTATTACATTTTCAACAGTGAAATACTGTGATTTATTTATTGAATAAAAGTGATATTCTCTCACAGTGTGAAAGAATACCAAAATGATATTCTCTTACAGTGTGAAAGGATATCAAAGTAAGTAAAAAATAATTTCTGCCCTGTCATAAGATAAAGATAGTAACTAAACATCTTGATAGAGCTAAAACTGCAATTTTCTTCCCAAATATGTTGCTAAAATCCATGCTATGTAATGTTTTCAATCTCACAACTGCAAAGCTATGACGTCTCAACCGCTCAACTATGACGTCAAGCCTAGCTATGACACTGTGTTAAGAAAAGACAGAGGCAAAGGGAAAATCAAAGAAAATGTAATAAACAGAAAATTCAATGTTTTGTAGATGAATATGGAATTTATTTCACTCGTGAGACAGGATTTTTGATATTTTCACTCGTGCTTCGCACTCGTGAAAATATCAAAAAATCCTGTCCCACTCGTGAAATAAATTCCATATTCATCTACAAAACATTGAATATCCTCTATTTACATGCTTAATTACATGAAATCAAAGCAATTCTTACGATGTTATTTCATTTTACGTAGATTATGTAGTTTAAATACAACCATTCTGAGTTGTATCAGTATGTACTGACTATGTATATGAATAGTCAACATGTACTTGCATTAATATTTTCATCCTGTACAATGTAAATTAATGAATTCCTTATCTTTGCAAATGTAGAGTTTATTTTATTAATTACAACTTAATTATTTATTTAATCACATAAAAAATCCAGTCAATGCTTTCAACATTTGATACAAACTTTTATAGTTCAATAAAAAATTAGAAACCTCATTTCTTACATGGGCATTTTATGCGTAAAATAGGTACCACGTCTATAGAAACAATACACAATTACAATATAAACATATATGAAATAATACTTTTAATTAAATGCTAATTAAACATTTTTCAACATCATACGGTGTACATTTTGTAAAGATTTACATTCAAAATATGCAAAATGTGAATGCATCAAAATTCTTGTCATAAAAAATATATTAAGCCTTAGAGTAAACAATCTTCGCATTTCTTACCTAAGTCTGATATGTTTCCGACATAAATAAACAATTTTTGATCATTTACATTTAGAAACATGCATAGAAACTTGATGTAAATTGATCGATGTTGAAAAACAAACATCAAAATCATGAAATAGAATGATTAAAGTTACATAAAATCAGATTTTTATGTGATTTTATCGTAGGCCGGAAAATGGCCTTATAGAGAATCATCTTTACTATTTGATTAATTAAGTCTCAAAATAGAGCTTGAAATTGAAATCTTTTGTGCAACAATTATCATTTTATACATCTCAATATGATTCAAGACTCTTTGAAGTCTTAAAAAACTGTATTGTTAAAAGTTGACATTTACATCCCATCAGATTTCAAAAATAAATACATTTTAGCTCACCTGAGCTGAAAGCTCACGTGAGCTTTTCCTATCACATTTTGTCCCTCGTTCGTCCGTCTGTCTGTCGGTCCGTCTGTAAACTTTTCAGATTTTCGACTTCTTCTCAAGAACCACTGGGCCAAATTCAACCAAACTTGCCAAAAAGCATCCTTGGGTGAAGGGGATTCAAGTTTGTAAAAATGAAGTGCCAAGCCCTCTTTCAAGGGGAGATATTTAAGAAATGGTGAAAAATTGGTGACATCTTTTAAAAATCTTCTCAAGATTCCAGATCCAAAAAAGTGGAGACATATGAAACCTTCTTTGAATAGAGTAGATTCAAATTTGTTCAAATCATGATCCCCGAGGTTAGGGTGGGGCCACAATGGGAGATCAAAGTTTTACATAGGAACATACAGGAAAAAATCTTCAAAAATCTTTTTCTCAAGAACAGCAAAACCATGTTTCGTCATATTGAAATGGAATCATCCTCAAGTAGTGTAGATTCAATTTTGTTCAAATCAAGACCCCCGGGGTAGGATGGGGCCATCCTCAGGTAGTGTAATTCAAATTCAAATCATGTCTCTTGGGGTAGGGCAAGACCTCAATAGAATATCAAATGTCGGGACCAATTTTCAATATTGAACTGATTTCTGCTTTTTCCTAGCCGAAGTGTTCTGGTGAGCGATGTGGCCCATGGGCCTCTTGTTTAGAGAAATCAAATATCTTTAAGTTTTATCTAGCTTAGATACCTATGTTTAATAGCATAATAAGAAATTAGAAGTGATGTGATGTCTTCCAATGATATCACAAACTTTTTAAGATATGTTTTACATAACAATTGACGTAAATAAAAGAAATAAATTACAGTGTAAGTAAAAAAAAAAAAAAAAAAAAACATGAATTTTTCTGAATGCCTGAACACCTATAGTTTTTTTTTTTTTGAAAATTCTAAAATATATTTGTTGATCAATATGCAATTTAAAAATGCATAGCTAATTCTTTCATTTGCATTTCTTGAAAATGTATTTGAGATTTGATTATTATTCCCTTTTTATTATGATTTTAAAAATGTAATTCTGAACGTTGAAGAAATGCCATGTGTATATATAAACATTACTTTATGAATTTCAGAGACAGTTTTGTGAGTATTTTCAATTACTTAACTGCTGATTTTCAGAAATGAGGATAGGACTACCTTAAGAACAACAAAACCATGATCATTCATATTTAAATGAAGCATCAGTAAGTACATGTAGTGTATATTCAAGTTTGTTTTAATCAGAAGCCTTGGGAGTAAGTTCCTTCAAATCATTACCCCCATGGGGTAGGGAGGGAATACAATGGGTGATCAAATTCAAGATTTTTTTAAGAAAAAGAACCAACTGATTAAAAACAAGAAAGACCATAATTACTCAGATGAGCCTTGAGGCCCATGGGTCTCATCTTTTTCCGCTTGACAACAACTTTCTTGAGTGATTTTTTTTGGGGGGGTGGGGGTGGGTTGGACCCCCCCCCCCCCAAAAGAAAAAAAATCCTGGATCCGCGCCTGCAGTAAAGAGGATTGATATTCAATCAAATGAAGGAACATGCCGCTTTTCTAAGAGTAGATACCGCTAATTAAGAGAAGACAAAAATAGGGGGAGGTTATTTCAAGAACCAATGGGAAAAAGGAGTTTTGGGAGTTTTTTTTTGGGGGGGGGTCAAACTTTTTTGAGCTGCTTTATTTATTTTTTTTTAACATGTGTTTTGCTCTATTTATTATTTTTATGAATTTTATTATTAATTTATCATTAACTTAGTAATTTTTATACAGGGGTCATTTTTTTCTCTCCCCCTTTTTAAAAACTGACAGTAAATGCCTGTGATAAATCAATGAATATATAAAGATTGATGAGATTATTGACACTGTATGAAGTATATTATTTGATATTGGTACAGTCGAATATCCCATCCATTAAGCAGAGATACTACATTTAAATGTTACCGGCTTTATTCTTGGGCGCCCATTCATGATTACCTGTGGTCTATTTATAGAAAGTTCAAATATAGTTTATTACCGTCATCTTCAATGTATTGCTTAAGCGCTGTGATCCTATTGGCCACTATCCACGTACATTTCTCAATACCTATCCGTCTCCTATATATATAAAGTGTAGTTACAAGATTGTTAATTCATATCGAACTCGAAAACAAATGAATACACACCCTTTTTGTCTTATTCTGTGCACATTTTTCAATGAGCTTATCGAAAGTTGAAGTAGCCCCCGGTTACATCCAAGACAAGCGCCAAGAGCTCAACGGGGGGCAGGGAGGGGCTCGTTCCCCGGGACCCCAGACAACAGGCGAGGAGAATTCCAAAGCGGAACCAAAGACTTTGACTCACCACTGGTAAGAAATATATGTCATATGTTGAAAATAGAAAGGATTTCAAAGAAAAAAGATCGGTTTATTATAATTAGTATTGATTTCATGCATGGAATTATTATTAAAATAAAAATTCTTAAGAATTTGTTTCCTATCTACATTCTTAACTTTGTGTAAAGTTTTATCCTAGTACATGTATCTAGTATAATTGTGGTGATGAAAAGTTTTAATTAAATCAAATTTAAGGCGAAGACAGGCAGGTCGGGGGGGGGGGGGGGGGTGTTGGAATTTTAGAGTGCATGACTGAGTATACAGAAAAATAATTTTTAAAAAATGCTTTGAACTCCCTTCCTCAACCGCCTTCTTCGGGAAGTACATCGATCCCTTATTATTTGGGTAGAAGAGTCATATACATGTATAGGAGTCATAATTTAATGAAAGAAAACGGCTATAGTTCATGACAGGTGTCGAAAACTCCTAAAGAACAATTTTTTTCTGTAGGGAATTTTTTTGTTTTCTTTAGTTCCCCCTCCCACAACCTCTGCAGGAAAATTTTCTGGATCCTCCACTGATAGGCACTCCCCATCTGTTCAAAATATCAATAGTTCTACTATACTTTATAAATACGTAATGTAGTACAGTTCTCTGACCAATTGAAACAGTCTTAATTATGATAAATGATAATTTCTTAAAAAGCTTAAAGCAACTCAGATAATCAATACAACCCCTGGCGCGGATCCAGGATTTTTTTTCCGGGGGGGGGGGGGGGTTGGTTCAAACCCAGTCAAAAAAAAACAAACACATAAAATCCATTTCCCAAACGTAAAGAAACACCTATTTCGTTCAAACGTAAATAAACACCTATTTCGTACAAACGTAATTAAAAACACATATTTCGTGGTGGTGATGGTGGGGTCCACGTTTTCTAACTTTAGTCCAGTTTAGAATTTCGATCTGCTCAATTTAATTTCTGATATATCCTTACACAGGTCAGAGTCGGAGTTTCCACAGGATGACAACATCCTTAACAATGGAGGAACTAATTTGGATCAAGAGGTATGAATGTCGTACATATAATTTCTGATTTGTAAACAAGTGTACTACATTAACTGTATATTCTCTCCTTTCAGGATCAAAAGATTGTCTCCTTAAACAGGCCCTTTAAGTTCCTTAAGAAAAGAATTACTGTGCAATAAAATGAGCAGTGAAGAAACAGTTTTATTTGAAAGGGGGGGGGGGGGCAAAATTAACCCCCAATTTTATAAATATTGTGTGGTCCTCCTCCCGTTTCTTTACTGCTAATTTAGAACAATCTTATGTTAACACTGGTTACCCACCCCCCCCCCCTCCCCCTTTACCGATTTACTTCACTCCTATTTAAGATAAATTTTCTGTGACCCCCCCCCTTCCCTCTTCACTGATATTTTAAGATAATTTTTCTGTACCAGGATGAAGATGCAGCAGATGTGGTGGATGAGTTTGATGACATGGGTCTGTGTGACGAACTCCTGAGGGGAATATATGGCTATGGATTTGAGAAACCATCCATGATTCAACAAAAAGCCATTCCACTTGCTTTGACTGGTAATTTCTCTCTCACTCTCTCATATTTCCCACCAATATGAGACAAATGAATTTTTTTATGAAAACGTCTACACATTCATCACATCTCTCTGTTTCATTCTTTAAGGAACTGATGTGATCGCCCAAGCCCAATCGGGAACTGGCAAAACAGCGACCTTTTCCATCTCGATTCTCCAGAAAATAGACCCCAAACTGAGGAGCTGCCAGGCGCTGGTTCTAGCCCCAACACGCGAGCTAGCAATGCAGACGCAGCGTGTGATGTCCGCACTTGGTGACTACATGGGTGTCGTCTGTCATGCCTTGGTTGGCGGTAGTCATGTGGCTAATGACATTAACAAGCTGCGGGAGGGTGTTCATGTCGTCATAGGAACACCAGGCCGCATTCTGCATCTTCTGAGTGAAAGGCATCTGGGTAAATATAAATTCCTTGTCCTATCCTGTGTCCTGGTCCTTAGAATCATTACCTTCAATACAGTTATCTGTTCTTTAAAACTCAATTTATACATGTATGTCACTTTTTCAGACTTGTATACAGCACGACAATTTGTTCTGGATGAAGCAGACCAGATGCTGTCGAGGGGATTTCTGGACCAAATAAAAGACACTTTCAAATACTTACCTAGGGACGTGCAGGTGGGTATATCTGACTTAGATATATGCACATTCTAAGTTGTCTGACATCGTTTTGAGAGTTAAAGCGCGGGCTCGGGTTACTATTGTAACTTAAACATCTTTCGTGCTTTGAAGGTGATTTTGGTGTCTGCCACCCTGCCCCCCGAGGTCTTGGACATCACGGACAAGTTCATGAGAAATCCCAGACGTATTCTGGTTAAGAGGGAGGAACTGACATTGCAGGGCATTCAGCAGTTCTACGTCAATGTTGAGAGAGAGGTCTGCACGCCATTCACTTAGAAATGCCTTTGATACATCGCATGCTTTTACTAGTTTCGAAAATCTTTGATCAGAACACACACACTAGTATAAGATCTCTCCATATAACTATGAAATCAATATAATCATTACAGTTTTCAACTTCATCGGTTCTACTCCTACTCATAAGGAAAAGTCAACACAATTTAAATCATTGTTCATTCAGTGAATTTTATTTTTCCATAAATAAATTCATCCGCACCCCTTTCCCCATTTCTATTAAATGTGGCCCATTTCAAGATGCCTGTTTGGATTTATGCGATTTGTCAGACTTTGTTTTGGTTTGACAGGAGTGGAAGCTGGATACATTGTGTGACATTTACGAAACCATCACCGTAGAGACGACCATCATCTTCTGCAACAAACGCGGGAAAGTGGAGTGGTTGGAGAGAGAGATGACCAGACGAGACTTTACAGTGTCTGCAATGGTAAGACCCAAGCGGGCAATGAGACCCGGTATTTTAGGGGCGGAAGTTATTGTTAGAAATGTTCCACTTCAAGTCAAAAATGATTAATCTTTGTTTTCTAAGATTATGTATGAAATATCTTATTTCAAGTTGAAATATATCCGTGGCACATATTGTACGGGAGAAACGGCAGTTGACCTTTTATCCTCTTTATTTATAGCATTCTGAACTCTCCCAGAAAGACCGGGAACTTGTACTGCGCAGCTTCAGGACCGGTTCTAGCCGAGTGCTGATCGCCACAGATCTCCTAAGTCGTGGAATAGACGTCCAACAGGTGTCACTGGTCATCAACTTTGACCTCCCCCTGGATAGGGAGAGTTATATACACAGGTAAAGTGTTGATCTTTGCCATTAACAAAGACCAAGGAATGTGACCTAAGCATTTCAACAAGATAATTTTTTATTCAAACCGTTTTCGTTTCATAATATTGGATATTGAAGTATTAGATGATGTAAATCAATGACATTTTACAAAAAAAGGTGTATTTTTAAAACAAATCTAACAAATAGTTGTTACTTTTGAAAGTTGATTTTATTTCTTTCTTGGTTAGGATCGGACGCGGTGGGCGGTTTGGACGTAAGGGAACAGCCATCAACTTCGTAACAAGTGAGGATTACCGTAAACTGGAGGACTTGCAGAAGTTTTACAACACCGAGATTCTGGAAATGCCAAGCAACATCGCTAGCCTTCTGTAATCAAGGAACTGTTACGAACTCTGAAAGACCAAGTGATACATGTAGAATTCACTGCATGAAATAAAATCTAACAAAATTGACAATCTTTGTTATGACCACAATACTTGGTTGACCGATTGTCAACTGGGAGTTGTTTCAGTAATCAGTATGGCTCAATTTTTAGCAATCTTCGTAATTTATGAAAGCACTGCACAACAATTATCTCAAGTTGTTATTTTCAATAGTTCCACAAGTTTTTCCACGACCATCTATACCCAAAGCAACTGTTCTTTTCACTCGCATACCCTCCATCAGTTATGATAGCATGGTTCTGTCACCACTTGTCAGATGTTTATGCTGACATGTCAGATGCTTATTTCAACAGAGATGTTTATGTCAACTTGTCAGATGTTTGTGTCACCTTGTCAGATGTGCATGACAACTTGTCAAATGTTTGTCAACTAAAGATCTTTATGTCAACCTGTCATGTTTATGTTGACATGTCAGATGTTTATGTCATTTCAGATGTTTATGTCAACATGTCAGATGTTTATGTCGACATGTCAGATGTTTATGTCGACATGTCAGATGTTTATGTCGACATGTCAGATGTTTATATTGACATCTCAGATGTTTATATTGACATCTCAGATGTTTTGTGTCATCTTGTTAGATATTTATATCAAATTGCCATATCTTTTTGTTGACTTGTCACATTCATGTGTTTAAGAAAGAACATGAAAACGTGTCCATGCCCAGTTTGTGCCATTAAGTTGACCACACATTTTTCTGACAAGATAAGGATCTGACACTTTTTATCAAGTCATTATAATTATCTGACAAGATGACATAAACATCTGATGAGCTGATATCATACAATTATGTCAAATAGTTATGATGGCCTGTTAGAAATTATGATTATCTGTCAGATAAATATGATGACTTGTCAGATAATTAGTCAACAGATATTTATGTTTACTCGTTGGACACACATCGACATGTCAGATATTTTAATGACAAGTAGATGTCATTTAGTGGCATCAAATCGCTTTAACAAAGAATGACGAATTCCTAGTCATGATTATCATCAGACAAGCTGACTTGAAGATCTGACAAGTTGACAAATATCTGACAAGTTGATATAAAGATCTGACAATTTGACATAATACTGACAAGTTGACATATGCATCTGACAAGTGATGGCAGAAATAAGCAAACATAGTCAGTGTCTCAGATCTGACACATTTAAAATCTCAAGGAAACTTATTTTTACATTCACATCAATTTCTTTATCAGTATCAAAATTTACAAAAAATCCCCTAATTGACCAAGCACACATCCTATTTTAACTGTACTTCTATAATTCTGCCAATCAATTCAATTTAAGCACTCTTCTTGTGACACTGACAAAGGCATATGAGAGGGAAGATAGAGATTGTTTCCATGATCAGCTTGATAACCAAGAGATAAATAATGGACTCTGTGAATTCTTGTGTACAAATTTATTCAAGTTCACAACAAATGAAACATGACAATATGACATTGAATTCTGAAATAAATAAAAATATTTGATTGGTCAATCTTTAGATCATCCAAACAACAAATATGAAAGAGGTATGGCTTTATAAAAAACAGGAATGGTTTTTAAATTGACATTATAACATTTAAAAGATTAGCAAACAAAATGACTTTAGAAGCATACTTCCTAACAGAAAATTAATAGATTGTCAACATGTGGTTCAGGATCTCAATGTGAACTAGTCTTCATTTAGCATAGAGTTATGGAAAGGAAACTAATAAAGGTCAACTTCTCGCAAATCATTTTTAACAAGTCAAAATGAGATACTAACAAATGCCAACTTCTCATAAATCAACAAGTAAACATAAATTAGATCCGTAAAAGACATCTTGCTGAGGCTCAACTTAAGAATTAGGGTTAATTACGGTTCATGAATCTTACATTATGAAAAAAAAGCCTCTTCAATATAACAAAAGACCAGGTTTATCAAAAAACTTAGAAATAATATGAAACTTTTTTTTTTCGAACAAAAACTGTTTTCTATTGGAAATAATTTCTGTTATTAAATATAGAACTGTAATGGAATCAGAAAAAATTTCATACACAAATTTTAAACAATTCTGAAAAGAAAAAATACAGTTTTACAGTGTAATCTGAATAGTTTCTCTTTTTTTGAGGAAAAAAAAGACTTCACTCATCTTTGGACCCCTTCCCTCAGCCCCCTTGCCCTGTTACCTTGACAAGATGACCTTGAATCAAGATCAGTACACATCTAATGTCACGGTCAACAATATGCAAGTGACAGAGCTAATTCTAAACAATGGTTAGTTATTGTCCAGACATGTCAATAATGACACAATTTACATGTTTAACTGCACCGTGTCCTGGACTTTGAAACACAACCGAGAAACAAATATACTTCCTGGGCAACAACACACTAAACTTAGAATTCAGTCCAATAACTGGTTGAGAAGTTGTAGCTTGGCCACAATTTAAAAAAATTTTTTTTTTCCCCTTTTGAAAGTGAAGAGACAAAAAAACGTAATTAAATTCATCAAATCTTCAACCATACAATTACGCACTGCAATCTTATCATCCAATTTGTCACTGTACAAGTATTGTGTGTGTCTTACATGTCATTACTGAAAAAAAATGTGGAGAATCTACTTGAAATAACACAAAGTAAGAAAAGGACGATTTTCTTTTCGTTGATAACAAAGTACTGTACACAATAACTGTTACACAGTAAATACCACAGAGGCTTTTATTGTTGATAAGAATTAAAATAATGTACAGAAACTACTGTCCAAGTATTGGAGTACTGTAGATACCAGTGCCCAAGTATTGAAATAATGTATGGACTTGTGTCCGAACAAAAAATAGAATAACAAGACCAAGAATTGAAAAATAAAATGAAAACTAGTGTCCAAGCATTGGAAATAATGTATGGACTGGTGTCCAAAAATTGAAATAATACAGGGATACTGGTGTCCAAAAATTGAATTAATGCACGGATACTAGTGTCCACATATTGAATTAATGTACAGGTACTGGTGTCCAATAATTGGACAGAATAATGTATGAATACTGATGTCCTGCCATGCTTGTAATATATATACTTGCCATTTAGTCAGTGAATTACAACTCTATTAACACAGTAAGTGCCCAGAACTGTATAATATTCTGAAATGGAGTTAAGTAAAGGGATGTATTTAATATAGAAAAATGGTGGTACATATTAAATCCTTGAAAAGTATACTATAGAGGTATGAAACAATATAAACCTTTCCAAGATGTATAAATATCAAAGTAGGTAAAAGACTTATGATACATGTACTTCAAAATCACAACTTTCAAAATGATTAAAAAGTCAAAAGCAATGAAATTATACAACACTTTAGGCAATTACGTTTTCATTAATAAGTAAATAACATGTCCTATATATTTCTGAGAAGCTGACAAGGATTTTGATATAAATATCATGAAGAATAATGTGGTACCTCTGAATACTGTCAAAGAAAAAAAAAATAGCAATATTTATTAATTTTATCTTTTAGGATGCACCTTATTTAGTACATACATGTATATTTTGCACACAAGAGAAGTTTTTGCATAAATGTTTGTTTGAGAGAAAAAAAATAAAGCATGATACTAATCCTATTCTGTACCAGTTATACATGTATATCTTGTATAATGTACTATAGGTACAAATGGGAATTTTAGACGAAAGTTGCAAGAAATTTCTTTAAAGCTACACAGTATTGTCCCGTTATTGTATGGTGTTTTCTTTGGTTATGTATTCTGAATCCTATTATGTATTAAATGTGAGATGAAGGAGATCTCCTATCAAAGAGTGTTAAACAAACTTCATCTGGAAATGAATCACCTTTGCCAGCCAAGTGTTTTCCATTATCTTCTAACAAACCCTCATCCTACCGTACCAATTAAAAGGTAGGATTGTTGATACAATGTGATCCAAACGCATGGGTTGCATCATAGATAAAAATAGAAGAACCTTCTAATGAAGTACATTCACCGAACAAGGATCAAGCAAAGATTAACAGATGTCAAAGCAAAATAATTGGCAAACTATATAGCAGGTCACATTCTCTCACCCTCTCAACTTCAGTAAGCTGGCACCACTGCTACTTAAAGAACGGCCATCGTTCTGTTATTTTACAGATCGTTGTTTATGTGAGCTTTTTATTCCTGAAACATACAGCCAACAAACATCCTTACAGAGATATTGTCAATGACCACTGCTTTGCAATACACTTGCTGATTGGTTGAGCACAGTCAACCGAAACCAATTAAATCTCTCTCAAAAAAATTCCAAAATTAGTAAGATAAGGCCAAAGGATTGGAGCAGAAACATTATTTGGCTAGCAAAGACGTAAAAAGTCAATCAGAGACTTTAACAGAAATATTGCCATGTATAGTCTCAGATATACAATGCTGGATTTGTGTGAAGATAACAGTTGGTTTTAGAGATGGATGATGGATTTGTATAAAGATAATTGGTTTTAGAAATGGATGATGGAAGAACAGAGAAAAACAAATGGAAGATCTATGCTTGTCATAGGAACAGGAACTGGTGCATGTCATTAAACAAGAAATATATAAAAGATACAAAAAACTGTACAAAATATATCAACATTATCCAAAATTTCCTAGTTTATCTGCAGACATGAGTTATAAATAACAAGAAAAAAACACTTACATTTATTACATATAAAAATGTAAAAATAGACAAAAATATACTGCATTTGTTGCTGTTGACCTCCTCCAAATATTCTACAGGAATCAAAGGAAAAACCAATAGAAAGCTTGTCAATGAAGAAGATCTTTATGATTCGAATAATAAACAAGTTTAAAACTCACTATTCTGAAGAAAGGGGTTGTAAATTATTCATAATTTCAATTTTGGCAAAATTTGATGGCAAATTCCAGCAATAATTTGACTTTGCAGAATATGGTCATTGTAGTAGATGATATTATCTTGTATCAGGTTTATAATATACATGTCTGAATGTATAAGTATCCTTATCCGGACAGACAACAGATGCAGTACTAGCTACACACTACAGATTCACATACAGAGGTATTACACTATGGTTGTGGACAATCGGAAAGACTTAGGCAAGATAATAAAATATGTAAACAGTTGTAACACAAGTATGGAGGCCTGCCCCCTACATTTCTCAACAATGGGAGACAACTTGTTCCAACTTAATGCTCAAAATGTTAAAATTCCACTACATATTAAAGTACTTCATAGTTAGAAAAAAATAATACACTGAAAAGAAAGTTTATGGCAACAAGAATTATTGATTTCTTCCTTCTGATTGACAACATGCTTCATTACATAAGCACTAAAAATAAAGTTAGGGTTGAACTTGTTTCCAGACAACCATAAGCACCAGTAAGAAGCTGATAACAAACCTTCAGATCAGCACTATTTATCTTTGGTATCGATCTTCTTGCTGAACAGGAAAGCAAATTTAGACAACAATTCTGGAATTTAAGCTGTCACCCTCGGAGATGCTTCACATACCCTGTTTTGTCAACATATCCCTCTCTTTTGAGACCAGATGTCATTACATGTAAAAAATTTTAAATGCAGAAGTCAAAATATATAGGAATAATTTGAAAAAAGCAATAAAAGAGAGATAAATGTTCCTCTCCCTATTTATAATTAGTAACGGTGTCAGGAGGAATTCTTCTCAAACACCAGGGATTTATCGTAAGCCGTCATACGATTGTTAAGTTCTTTGATTCCCTGCTGAATTCTTTTCAGATGTCCGACCTTTGTCACTCCTAGATCCTATAACAACAAAGAAAAGCCTTTCAGGTCTGTGTCTATAAATATAAAACCCAATCTAGCGTTTTATACTAACAAATAAGATGAATGCTTGGAATTTAACACTCCAAAGCTTAGATACTCCCTTTTTGTAAATATTCGAAAAGATCATTTATTACACTGAACATAAAAATTAATGTGTTAACCATTGCTAAACCAAATGTTCATCACATTAATTTCAGGGATAGATTTTCAATACACAAAAAAAAAACAGCAAAAAAAAACAAAAAACGAGAAGTCTGTGAGCCAATGCTCACTAATAATACCCCCGCTCTGATGTGAAAACACAAGTTCAGCTACGGACAAACACAGTGATAATCAACAAATTGACATTGGATTTGTAAAAAATGAATCCCATTATATGGCATGCCTAAACAAATATTGTGCTAAAATTTCAAGCATCTGCGATGAGTATTTGCTGAGAAAACTACGACCAAAATTTGTTATGTATGGTAAGGACAGACGCATGGATAAACAGGAAGTTGATATCGAATTCGCACAAAAATGAATCCCACCATATGGCATGCCTAAACAAAGATTGTGCTAAAATTTCAAGCATCTGCAATGAGTAGTTGCTGAGAAAACTACGACCAAAATTTGTTATGTATGGTACGGACAGATGCACAGATAAACAGGAAGTTGACATCAAATTCGTACAAAAATGAATCCCACCATATGGCATGCCTAAACAAAGATTGTGCTAAAATTTCAAGCATCTGCAATGAGTAGTTGCTGAGAAAACTGTGACCAAAATTTGTTACGGACAGACAGACAAACAGACAGACAGATGGTCTTAAATGGTTTCTTTAAAATTAAGCAAAATGCAAATCTAAGAAAAGTGAGGTCAAGGTCACAGGAAAGTTCAAGGTCAAATGTTTCTGATGCAGTTGAATACTTCTCACAAATACGTATCAGCATATTTAAGTTTGATAAAAAAATTTTAAAAGTGAGGTCAAGGTCACAGGAAAGTTCAAGGTCAAATGTTTTTGATGCAGTTGAATACTTCTCACAAATACGTATCAGCATATTTAAGTTTGATAAAAAAATTTTGAATAAGTCTTAATACAAATTAAATCTGTCAGTATCTACTAACCTGAAGATCTCCTTTATCAAGGGTGAGTAACTCTGTGCCTCGTATCTCGTTTCTAATAAAGGAATCTTTATACTCGGCCAGAGAGCGAGATTCCAGCCACTGTCCTACATCTTCTGGTGTCCAGTTATACACAATGTATGCTAAAAAATCAAACAAATTTAGCACCACTTTTTTCTGACATCAACTGAACTTTTATCACGTATTAGTGAGTACTTGTGTTTTTCTCAAACAGATGTTTTCCTCATTACATATAAGTACTCTAATTTTAATTCATTTTACGGTGATGAAAATATCACAAATAATGGACATTAAAGTAAAAACAGAATTCCAGGTACATGTAAATCAGACATCTGTAGATTAATCAAAGCACATTCAGAAATGTTCATGTTTATAATTTTTGGTAGATAATGTCAGTGGCATTTTTTTTTTATCAAACACAGTAAGTAGAGAACCTCAAAGAATCATAACAATTGCTTGATAAAACTGTGCAAATATATGTACACCATGTATATCATAGACATAGTATATGCTTAAACACCTTTCACTCTATTACAATGACTTTGTGGAGAAAGGTATGCTTACAAAGTGGAATGTATTGTTTCTCTTTGCTCTTTCCCTTTAACTTGCTGTACACCTGGCGTAACTTTCCTGGCTTTCTCTTCTGTTCTAATGGAATCAACTAAAAGAGAAAACATGTCCTCATGTCTAATGCTGTAAGTCAAACTAAAATGTCTAATGCTGTAAGTCAAACTAAAATGTCTAATGCTGTAAGTCAAACTAAAAATTCTAATGCTGTAAGTCAAATTAAAAATGTCTAATGCTGTAAGTCAAACTAAAAATGTTAAATCCAATCAGCTCACATGGCATACTCTCTAGTTCACACCTACGTAACTCTAACAAAGAAGATTTCAATTTTTAGTACGTCTGATCTTGATGGTTGATTATGTAAACTTTTGGTATATGCTAATGTTTAACACATGTAGGATACAATTACTGTTATAGGGACTAGTGACGGCCTACCTCCTCTTGTGATTGTGCAATCTGTGAGGGGTCATACTGGAATGTCGAGTTAATTCCGCAGACCTGGCATATCTTCTGTAATTCTAGTTCGAGGTGCGCCAGTGCAGCATTCAGACGTTCTGATATATCAGGTGCAAGTCTCTGTAGATTGTGTAAACAAAAGTCAACAGAAAATTTACAAATGCTTATGTTATTGTCTGAACTTAACACAGAGCATGCAAGGATTTCAAAACTTAACAAAATTAAGATTTCTTGTATGAAAACAGAATGTCTTTTTTTCTCCAAAACTCTGTGCAAGTTGACTGGGCAAAACAATGAAGGAAATGGGAATCTGGTAAAGGATCCTGGCATTAATCAAGATCTAGCAGTGATTGATAACTTCATTTCCTCAAGCCTTCTTTAATAGCATTCTTTTTTTTTTTAATTCTACTTCATTTTCTTACATACCTTATTTATTTTTTGTTAATTTTCATTCTACTGAAAAATGTACCAATGAAACTAAATGGAGCTACTGTAGAGAAACCTACCAATGAAACTTAAGTGAACCAACTGTGTGTAGAAATTTTCCAATGGAATTAGAGCGTTAATAAAATGTACCCATAGATCTTAAGTGAGCCAAAGTGTGGAAAAATTTATTAATGAAATTGAATTGAACTTATCTTAGAAGAAATGTACCAAATTTAAGTAAACCTACTTTGTGGAGAAATGTATAAATAAAACTTATGTAAACCTTCTGTGTGGAGAAATGTACCAAAGAAACTTAAATGAACCTTCTATGTGGAGAAACGTACCAATGGACCTTGAGTAAACCTAGTGTGCAGTATTTTCTACCATAGATCTTACCACAACAGCTGCCTTGTCTGTCAGGAAGTTACTGGTGTCATGGTTTAGGTGTTGGACACTGCGAACAAAGTCTATCACCTGACTCCGCAAGGTCGGCTAAAATTTAGAAAAAAAAAAAGATTATGTACAAAAATTTATATAAAGTACCAAACCACAGTGCTTCTACTTCTGACCAGTAAGTAACTGTATCCAAAGTTAATTTATCTTTCATAAAGGAAAAGTGTACACAATTAATGAATCATATAATATACAGTGTAATTAATGAAAACAAACCAGGATTCAAAGAATAAATATCACCTGAGCATAACACCTTGTTGGTAAATATGTTTGTCTTATTAGAATCAAAAAATCAAAGGGAATAAAAACGATTTTCCACCAATGTGATTACCTTACTCCTACCCCGATAATATACCAACTTTATTTTTAACAACTTTATCTGTGTGATTCTTGCAACACAAAGCATGGGGTTATTATTCAGAATTATAATAAATACAATTTAAGTAAATCCCATTAGTATTAATCACTACACTGATTTTATAAAATTATGGTGAAATCAAAACAAGGAATAACACAAAACACACTGATATTCAGCAAAATAAAAAATGGTGTAAGGTTAAGAAAATGAACAAGTTGTTACAAAACACATCACTTCATCAAAAGTAACAGTAAACTAGTGAGATATCTGATATACCATTAATTTGATATCTTACTTTTTTTGATCTAAATGTTTTTGGTCTGTGATAAAGCTAAAAACAGAAAATTTAAGGGAAACAGAAATAGACAAAAAAGCTAAGGAAAAATAATGGAAAACTGAAATGCAGAGGATCTGCTCATAAAAAAAGACAGGCACAACAATCAAGGCACCTGATACGACTCCATTTCTCCTGCCTCCATCTATGACAAGAACCACACACATTTAATCAGAATATCAAATTTCTTGGAATAAACATCATTATTGTACATTTTTTAAATACAATTTCACACATCTTAGACATGTAGTTATTTTAAACTAGAAATATGTCCATAGGACATGAATGCCCCGCCGAGGGTATATTAGTAATGCAATATTTTAACACAAATTGAGAAAAGTGAGGTCAAGGTCAAAGGAAAGGTCAAGGTGAAAAAATATTGATGCAGTTGAATAGCTTACATCAGTATGTATCAGCATATGAAGTTTGACACTAATTTAAGAAAAGTGAGGTCAAGGTCAAAGGAAAGGTCAAGGTCAAAAATTGTTGATGCAGTTGAAAAGGTTACATCAGTATGTATCAGCATATGAAGTTTGATAAAAACATTATGATTGGTTTCTTTAAAACTGAGCTAAACACTAATTTAAAAAACCCAAGGTTCTTAACGGTCACCTGAGTATAATACAACAATTTAGAAGTTAAATACACCGACAGATGAAGCTTTGTTGCACTAAAGCAAGAGAAGTAGGAAGATCAGGATCAACAAAATAATTAGTCTAGTATTCAGTATCAACTCATAACTTAAGTTCTAATCTGTCCCCCACTTAATATTGTCACCATGCAGACTATTAACAAACTATTAGTGCTTCTGTACTATTTTTAAACCCATATTAAGACCTCCAGCATTGACCTCTCTTATGGTCTTTGAAGAACTTTTAATAAGATAAGTTATTTTTGTCTCATTTTTATTTATCTATTACTTACAGGTCTGCCTGATTATTAAAACTAAGAAGTACTTTTTGAATTATACGATAAACATTCTTGCATAATTATCTTATTCTATTAATCTTTCAAATACATTATTTACAGTGATTAATTATCAAAGGTGAATGGAAAAGGGGAATAACTTCTCTCTGTAGAATACAAATTAATAGAGCCCTGTCCAGGAGCAGAATGCTTAGACAAATTGTCCAGATGTTCAAAAATCTGGTAGAAATACGCTTACTTATATCATTTAAACTTTTACTCAGTTTGCTTTCGATATGCCCAGAAGCAGAGAAGAATTTCACAGGTACAATGCATTTTCACTACAGATTCAACAAAGCCTTACCCTAACACCAGAACCCAAGACCAAAGGTCAAGAAATTTACAAATTTGGAAGAGTTACCCTCATCATCATAACTATGGACTTCAAAGAATTAACACTTTTCCACTATATTATCAAAAGCCCCCCCCCCCCTTCCTCGTTATGCCAGAACCCCTGACCCTAGGACCACAAGATTTAAAAATTCTGTTCGAAGCTCCCATCTTCATCATAGCTAAGCAATTTATTTATCAGCTCAACACTAAGGAGCAGAGAGGATTAGTTAATGATTAATTAATAGAATTAATGCATTTTCACTATATAATCAATAGAGCCCCCCTCCCCCCCCCCCCTCCTCAAGAACCCCAAAAACTGAGGCCATGTATTTAAATATTTTGGAAGAGGCATCCTTGCCTATCATAATCATGCACTTAGTTTGTTTAAATAATCTCCAGTAGCAAAGAAGAAGATTTTCATAGAATCAATGCATTTTCACTATATAATCAATAGAGCCCCGCCCTAACACCGGAACCCCTGACCCTGGGGCCATGAAATTCACAATTTTTAAAAAGGCATCCTTATGCATAATAACCATGCACTTAGTATGTTTAAATAATCTCCAGTAGCAGAGAAGAAGATTTTCAAAGAATCAATGCATTTTCACTATATAATCAACAGAGCCCCGCCCTAACACCAGAACCCCTGACCCTGGGGCCATGAAATTCACAATTTTTGAAAAGGCAACCTTATGCATCATAACCATGCACTTAGTTTGTTTAAATAATACCCAGGAGCAGAGAAGAAGATTTTCAAAGAATTAATGCATTTTCACTATATAATCAATAGAGCCCTGCCCTAACACCAGAACCCCTGACCCAGGGGCCATGGCTTTCACAATTCTGGAAGGGGCCCACCTCCTCATCATAACTATGTACTTAGTTTATCACCTTAATGCCCAGGACCAGAGGAGAAGATTTTCAAAGAATTAATGCATTTTCACTATATAGTCGATAGAGCCCCGCCCTAACACCAGAACCCCTGACCCTGGGGCCATGAAATTCACAATGTGGGAAGAGGCACTCTTGCCCATCATAACTATGTACTTAGTTACTTTATTTAATACCCAGGAGCAGAGAAGAAGATTTTCAAAGAAGTAATGCATTTTCACTATATAATCAATAGAGCCCCGCCCTTACACCAGAACCCTTAACCCCAGGGCCATGAATTTCACAATTTTGGAAGAGGCACTCTTGCTCTTCATAACTATGTACTTAGTTATCTTATTTAATACCCAGGAGCAGAGAAGAAGATTTTCAAAGAAATACTGCACTTTCACTATATGATCTATATAGCCCCACCCTGGGGCCAGAACCCCTGACCCTGGGGCCATGAATTTCACAATTTTGAAAGAGACATTCTTGCTCATCGTAACTATGTACTTAGTTACTTTATTTAATACCCAGGAGCAGAGAAGAAGATTTTCAAAGAAATACTGCACTTTCACTATATGATCTATATAGCCCCACCCTGGGGCCAGAACCCCTGACCCTGGGGCCATGAATTTCACAATTTTGAAAGAGACATTCTTGCTCATCGTAACTATGTACTTAGTTACTTTATTTAATACCCAGGAGCAGAGAAGAAGATTTTCAAAGAAATAATGCTTTTTCACTATATAATCTATAGAGCCCCGCCCTAACACCAGAACCCCTGACCCTGGGGCCATGAGTTTCACAATTTTGAAAGAGGCACTCTTGCTCATCATAACTATGTACTTAGTTACTTCATTTAATACCCAGGAGCAGAGAAGAAGATTTTCAAAGAAATAATGCACTTTCACTATATGATCTATATAGCCCCGCCCTAACACCAGAACCCCTGACCCTGGGGCCATGAATTTCACAATTTTGGAAGAGGCACTCTTTCTCTTCATAACTATGTACTTAATTACCTTATTTAATACCCAGGAGCAGAGAAGAAGATTTTCAAAGAAATAATGCACTTTCACTATATGATCTATATAGCCCCACCCTGGGGCCAGAACCCCTGACCCTGGGGCCATGAATTTCATAATGTGGGAAGAGGCACTCTTGCTCATCATAACTATGTACTTAGTTACTTTATTTAATACCCACTGCAGAGCAGAGAAGAAGATTTTCAAAGAAGTAATGAATTTTCACTATATAATCTATAGAGCCACACCCTAAAACCAGAACCCCTGACCCTGGGGCCATGAATTTCACAATTTTGGAAGAGGCATTCTTGCTCTTCATAACTATGTACTTAATTACCTTATTTAATACCCAGGAGCAGAGATGAAGATTTTCAAAGAAATAATGCACTTTCACTATATGATCTGTATAGCCCCGCCCTAACACCAGAACCCCTGACCCTGGGGCCATGAATTTCACAACTTTGGTAGAGGGCTCAATGCTTATTACAATGATGCCAACAGTTTGACTGCTTGATGTCCAGGAGTAAAGAAGAAGATTTTTAAAGATTGCATTATTTTTGGTGGTTTTAGCCCCACCCCTCAGGCCCCAGAGGGGCAGGGACCATGAAATTCACAATTTTTGTTCCCCTTCACCTATAGATGCTATATGCCAAATTTGGTTGAAATTGGTTAAGCGGTTTCAGAGAAGAAGCTAAAAATGTTCAAATGTTAATGCACGACGCACGCCAATGAACGAGAACGGATAGCAATAGGTCACCTGAGTGACTCAGGTGACCTAAAAAGTGAGGTCAAGGTCAAAGGAAGGGTCAAGGTGAAAAAATATTGATGCAGTTGAATAGCTCTCATCAGTATGTATCAGCATATAAAGTTTGACACTAATTTAAGAAAAGTGAGGTCAAGGTCAAAGGAAAGGTCAAGGTCAATACATGTTGATGCAATTGAATAGTTCTTATCAGTATGTATCAGCATTTGAAGTTTGATAACACTATCTTGAATGGTATCTTTAAAACTGAGCTAAACACTAATTTAAGAAAAGTGAGGTCAAGGTCAAAGGAAAGGTCAAGGTCAATACATGTTGATGCAGTTGAATAGTTCTCATCAGTATGTATCAGCATTTGAAGTTTGATAACACTATCTTGAATGGTATCTTTAAAACTGAGCAAACACTAATTTAAGAAAAGTGAGGTCAAAGGAAAGGTCAAGGTCAAAAAAGTTGATGCAGTTGCATAGCTCTCATCAATATCTATCAGCATAAAAATATCTTGGATAGTTTCTTTGAAACTGAGCTTTGAACAGAGCTAAACGCAAAGTGTGACGAAAGGACGGAAGGACAGAAGGACGGAAGGATAGAAGGATGGAAGACGGACATGACAAACACTATATGCCCCGGCCATATTCATGGCGGGGCATAAAAATAAATTTTTCAGAAAACCTTGTCAAAAGAAAAAAAAACTGACAACATTTTGAGAAATAAAAAACATTCATTGATTGGACATTTTGAAGAGGTTCATGATTTTTTTTTTTTTTACATGATCACAAGTGCCAGTGCCATTGCAAATATATGATGCAGGGAAGTACTGATATTGAAATAGAGTATAAAAGTTTTTTGAAAAGCCTATCAGGAAATAAAATCTATGACTGTGGGTTTCATTACCCCTGGTATTACACAGTCAATATTTTACTTAATTCTATGTTACACAGAAGCTTCGTACCTCTGCTAATTTTCCTGCTGGAAACAAGCGATCCATGTATTCAGATGCCTGTGTAGCAAGGGGGAATAACTCTTGTTCTACAGCACTATACTTCAAGGAAGCTATCTTCACACTACAATTTAAAAAAAACATTCAGTCAGGTTAAAAGTTTACATGCATTCTTAACAACATATATTGGTTTTTTTTCTTCATTCTATATATACAGTGTATTTTATTTGAAAATTCTAAAAAAAAAAAGATGCTACCTTTATTAGTGTGAGTTACCTCTTCATGAGGGCTGATGCAACCTTTATTAGTGTGACTTACCACTTGATGAGGGCTGATGCAACCTTTATTAGTGTGCACACTTACCACTTGATGAGGGCTGATGCTACCTTTATTAGTGTGACTTACCACTTGATGAGGGCTGATGCGACCTCCACAAAGTTCTGTAACACTAGAGATTCCTCCTCGGAGAGAGACGTGGGCTGTGGACTGACTGACCGCTCAATCTCCTTCTGCTTCTCCGACCATGACTTCAGTGTGTTCTCAAACACCTTCAGTGAGTAAAGAAACTTCTATAAACAATAGGTTTTTCATCCAAAAGGCTTTACTGATCATGAATATTTTTGTTCATAACCTCAAATCTCTGTGATTAAAGTAAACCTACCCTATCTCTGGTCAACATCTGAGCCCGGTTTTTGTGGACAATATGGATATATCCTGGGGGCTGCATCCAGGCTTCACCATCTACCTGAGCTGGCACTGCTTCATCTCCCATAATTGTAATTTTTACACGACGACACTGATTAAGATCAGAACATTTATTCTCACCTTGCTTACAGCACAGAAAGAAATCTGTATACAAAGATGCTTAAAGCAAAGGAACGAAATTCAAATTCAAGACTGAGGCTACAAGTCATGTGTTGAAACTTTAATAGCAAACTTACAAACTGGAGTATACATTAACTTCTACCTGCGCTATCCTGTGATGCTGTATGTCTATCACTCGAGACATGGCCATCTGAACACTCCCAAACACAGCTACAACCTCTAGAATTTTGTCATCAAAGCTGGGGGCTTGAAATGTCTGTAAATAAACACTCAGAATTCAGGATAAAGGAATCATATATCATACAGTGTTAATCTGTATGTAGTGCACACTCCTTCACAGTGCAAACCAACCAAATTAAGACAATTTTCTCCAAAAGAGAATGTAAAGTACACATCCCAGTGGTTTATGGTTAAGTAATTTGACACAAGAGTTAATGTTAAAGTTTCATTGAGAAACAAACGGTACAACCCTGTGGTCACTTGAATGGAAACCTTCTAACAGCAGATGGAGAGAATAAAATCCGAGAACATTTATCACAAATCTTTAGCGTAAAGATTCATGCATACCAATATCTTGGTACTCTTTAAATTCAGTATTACAATACATTAACTTTTTATTGCAAAAATGGTTTCTAAGCTTAATTCAATGTAATGAACAACATGTAAATATCCAAGTTTTAATACAGTAGTTTACAAATAATTTAGTCTATATCCTGCTTCACTGAGGAAGTTTCTATATTTTTATTATACATGTACTTACATCATCCTCCTTTTTTCCTCCCCAAAAGTTTGCGCCACCCATGTAACTGTATGAAAATAAGACAGAATGATGTACAGAAAATTCTAAATTCACACTATGAATGTTTTCTCTTTTCAGATCAGCCACAAGTCTATATACCTTGGAATATTAAGGATAACAATTCCCTGCAGGCTCGGGAGAGGAATTCGCTGGCCGTCACACTCTAACTGTACTCTTTGATCTAGATTTTTAAATGACCTTTGAACCAGCTCTTTACCTCCTAACACACCGTACCACATGAAATTCTTTGTTCGACTCCTAAGGAGAAAACAAAATCTAGATCAAACACCTCTTAAATACAACAAGCATTTAGGAAACAGTAACCTTGTTTGTCTCTGTTACTGACCGGCATTTTTCTGGGTGCTCATCTCGTTTGTTCTGGAAATCTAGAGTGATCTTGGCATCTAACCCAATCCCAAAATAGTTGTTCATGACACATCGCTCAGTGTATTCAGTTCTGTAAAACAAAATAAAAGATGTCTTACTCTCATATTTATTCACAATATAATTTTTTCGTCTTCATATTTAAATGTATGCCCCCCCCCCCCCCAAACTAAAAGAATTATTTCTTGAAAAAATAATTCTTTTCCTGTGTTGTTAAGTTGTCACAAACAACAAATTTTAAAAGCATTTTATTACAAGTTCCTATATGAAAAGTAATATATGGCTGTTTATTACATTTTCAACAGTGAAATACTGTAATTTATTTATCGAATAAAAGTGATATTCTGACACAGTATGAAAGGATATCAAAATGATATTCTCACAGTGTGAGAATATCAGAAGTGCAGCAAAACTTAAGAATTTCCTTTTTTAAAAAAATCCCCGGCCTGTTATGAGATAGAGTTCATGAGCCATCCTGACCGAGACTAATAGTTATACTACCAGTTTTTTCCAAAAATGTCGTTAAAAATCCATATTTACAACGTTTTTCAATCTTGCAATCGCTAAGCTATGACGTCTCAAACACTCAACCATGACATCACAGCCTATGACACTGTGTTATGAAATGACAGAGGCAAAGGGAAAATCTAAGAAAATGTAATAAACAGAAAATTCAATGTTTTGTAGATGAATATGGAATTTATTTCACTCGTGAAACAGGATTTTTTGGTATTTTCACTCGTGCTTCGCACTCGTGAAAATATAAAAAAAAAATCCTGTCCCACTCGTGAAATAAATTCCATATTCATCTACAAAACATTGAATATCCTCAATTTATATATATATGTATATATATATATATATATATATATATATATATATATATATATATATATATATATGTACACATACGCTGGTATATCATCTTCGACAAGTGGGGATGCTGCTGCACAGAGGGCGTCCGCATTGGCCAACAGGACCTTACTTATAAAACTCCCTCCAGCTAACTTCCCTGCAATGTTACTGTTTAAACCTACAAACACAAACACATTATTATAAGTACTAATATTCTGATACACAATGACTACAACAAAATGTTACGATACTGAACAAAATATCTTGTAACTGTTCAATCTGTTAGTGTTAATAATGAAACTTAAATATCAACACACATTTAAGAAAGAAAAATTATTTCATTGTGTATTCTATACTGTACTTGTCCAATGTATAGTATATGGATGTTACATATGTATAATATGTAGAATATAATATAAAATGTATAGTACAAGAGAAAGTAACTATATTGTATCAATATCAACTTCTTCTCCTACAACTCTAGCCAACATCATGATGAAATCACCCAATGGTGCAAATATGAATACCCTTAGAACTCAATTTCTATTAAAGAAAGCCGAAAACCCATATGTAGTAATTGAAGTCACACAGTGACTCCAAAAAGCATTAACTACTAAGCTCTTTACTGACCCAATCCAAAGTGCAAATATGAAAATCCAAACCCCACCCATTTCCAAAGTTTTGCACATAACACAAAATTTTATTTTTACTAATTGAAGCTATACTCTTTGACCTAAAAAGCAATCCCAGTTTGTTTCCAGAACAACTTCTGTGTTAATGGGAACATTGCAATCCAAGCCACCTACAAGTTATGTGCACAGGAACATTGCAACCAAAGCCACCTACAAGTTACATGTATGTGCACACAAACATTGCAACCTCAGCTTTTTTCAAGTTATGTGCACAGAAATATTTAAACCTCCAATAAATCATGCACTGCAGCATGTACATGTATACTCACAAAGTGGTGTATTGTTTATTGTCAGAAAACCATAGTTAAAGGCTGTTTTATATAATAAAGTGTGTACCTGGTAAGACGGTGTGGAAGGGTACACCAAACAATGGTGCACTTTGTTCCTTTAGCGGGCTTTTCTCGTGTCCAAGGATGGAGCCTACACTGGCCGTTTTATTGAGCATGCTCATACTACTGATTCTCCTGGAGGCTCCGGAATCCAGATCCTTCACGTTCAGGTTAGGATCTGTGTGTACTGAACAACAGTCAGAAAATATATTTAGCAGTCATTTAATTTGAATTTATATACATGTGTATTTTAAAAGTACATGTACTTACTTAGATACTATACTACCAAAAATAATCTTTTTCCCTATGAAAAATATCATTAAAATGGACTAAATTGTTTTTGAAATTCCCTGGGGTTAAATACAATCTCTTTCTTATATATGACTTATCCATATGATTTATTATCTTATTTGGTATAACAACACACAGATTTTTTTTCTTACCAAGGTTTCTTGGATTTGATACGGGAGTTTTGGGAGCTGCCTCCAATGTGAATATGGAAAATGTAGGAGCGGATCTAGAAGTTTCTAAGTCTGCCTGCAGACCGCGGCGTGGGGTGGACTCTGTGGCATCCAGTATATCAGTACTGTCTGCTTTATACAAACCTGACTCAGTCAGTCTTTGTAGTTGTTCCTCTGTTTGTGCATTTTGTTCATCAACAGCTGTACATAAAAACAAGAATTAATGTATCATTGAAATCTGCATAGTACAAATGAATGAAGAGAAAGCACTTTTATGTTCAAAGTTTGATCAGGCCTTTATATGTTCTATACCAGAACTAAATACAAATTCACAAATTTAGGACAATGTCAATATATTACTGAGGATTCTATGGAGATGCATGAATTTTGGCAAGTCCTTATTTATTATTTTGTTACTATGGTGACACCTCAATTCCAATGTTTAGTAGGTTTTGTGATTTGTCATCATAGATATACAGTATATATGTACCTCAATTTAAACAGTTTTCTCACCTCGTTCAGTATGTTCTATGATTTGGCGAATTGCTTTTTTCAGACTGTTTGCTCTGGACATAAGGGCATCTCTGGGTTTGAAAATGGCCTAAAAATTTAAAGAAATACAAATCTCACATCCTCAATAAAAACTTAAAATTGATTTTAATAGAAGAAATGCTCCTCATTATTCAGACAACTATAATAGGATTTCTGACACAGAGATTTGGATAAATAAATTAAAAACTTCCAACTTATTCTTACACCACAGTTGACACTGGTTTTGGTGGGGGCAGTTGTGATAATAAAGCTGTGTAGCAACCGCTAATGATAAAATGCCACTTAATGATAGAAATATCATTAAGTGTTGAAATGCAACGCTCAATATCATAAATTATTGCATTAAAAGTTGACATTCTCAAATGCTTAATGAATGAGATATAATTCTTTCATTAAGTGGCGAATTAGCATTAGCGGTTGAGAATGTCAACTATATATGCAATAATTTATGGCAATAAGCGTTAGCCCGAATTTTCCTGGTCACGAAAATGTGAGTTACTTTTAATTTCTACTCGCAAAATTTATTTTTTGGTTGCAAATGCGACCCATTTAGTCGCAACTTGGAGCCTGTAACTGATTTGGGTTTGGTTGGGGCAATTATGTTGATAAAGTTGACAAACTGATTTGGTTTTGGTAAGGGAGATTTTGATAATATAGCTGACAAACCAATTTGGTTTTGGTGGGGGCGGTTATACTAACTGATTTGGTTTTGGTGGGGGCGGTTATACTAACCGATTTGGTTTTGGTGGGGGCGGTGATGACCCCAGGGACGGTGTCTCGATCCTGATTGTTGGAATCTTGATCTGGAGGGGGAGGGGATTTTGTTGGTTCCTGAAATTGAAATCATGAAGAAAAGTCAATATAAAAACTTTAAATTCCCGAATCAATGAATTTATTTAGAATTGTAATATTGTGTATAATTTTATTGATCTGGATCTAGATTTTATCTAGATGGGACATGTGGTTACCTGAGATGGTGTGGAGGCTTCCGCCTCTTCATTAAGTGTTACCAGTAAACTCTCTAACTTCTCATTCAACACGTTACACTGTAAATAATTAAATACACTGTTTAGTTTAATAGTTCACAACCAATAAATTAGATCATCAAAATAATTAAAGCTAATATTTAAATCATCACCCCATTATCACCTCTATACCTTTTTTTTATTATATTACCCAATAGTAGAAGCTTAAATTAATCACAATACTTTATGAAGGAACAAATGCGGGTTATTTATTTCAGGGCTTTGATAGAACTCCTTGTAAGTGTAAGATAAAGATCTAACCTTTAAAGCTATATCAGAATCCTTCTGGCCCTCTTTTTCATGTGCCTCTCCAACTTTGGCAACAAAGTCTTTCACAGTTTGACACAGTACCCTAAAAAATTCAATATCACAATACCCTAAAAAAAAAAGGCATTACATTTTGACACTTCTGTGACATGTAATAAATCTTTAGTATGACTTATAGCAATGTACAATGATATAACTTTGCTGAGGAAATAACAATGGTTTGGTCCTCAGAATGTAGCATTTTTTGTATGACTGATTGATGGTAATGTACAATATAATTTCTTTGCTGAGGAAATGACAACGGTGTGCTGGTAAATGTAATTACACTGCACTTTGCCGAAGACATTACATTGGCATGGTCCTTGGAATGTAGTATTTTGATGTATAATTAATGTCTGTATAATTATGAATGTACAATGTAATTACTTTGCTGAGGAAATAACAACGGCGTGGTCCTCGGAATGTAGCATTTTGGAGAGATGATTTGCCACTGAATCTTCATAAACAGATATTGGATCAAACTGAAAATAACAAAGGTTTTAGAGTTCAAGGTAGGTAGGAATTGGAGAGCACCTGTCCATTTTCTGGTTATGTCATGTAACTTGGAATAAAGCATAAAAATTCATTCATTAAAAAGATACCTGAAGATGTTTGGATTCAATGATTCCTTATTCTTCTAAAGTAACTGCCCTGTTATTATCTCTTAAAATGTTTTTACTAAAACTCCTTCTGACATAAAGTGCCCTACCTTGCTGAAACCCTAGCTGGAACACTATAAAATGTTTCCTTATCTTTACATATGGTACATATAAATAGGTGTAAATTCAGTGTACACAAAATGGTAAACTAAATTAAATTCAGGATTTTTTTCTCAAAAGGTAAAATTAACACCATTGAAACTGCTTAACCAACTAGCAAATGTATTTCAAAGCTTTGTCAATGACAGTGTCTCTGTTCAGGGTGTATCTAGACTTTTGTATGCAGGGATTGAACAGCCCACATAAACAATACAGTCAAGTCCTTCTATAAATAGTGATGTAATGAAATGATATGGTGTCTACATCACAGAAATATAGACCTGCATCCAATAAAACAATCAACGGTTGATTCCTGCTTATTGAAACTCTTTAAATAATTCAACTTGTCCATGAAGTAACCTATAGAGGTAGGATTCTGGAGGACATGACATAAACAAATCCTGACTTTTGACAGCAGAATAGCCCAAGCAGTGGGGTGGATCAGAAAAACTTTACTGGGGAAGATGAAAGAAATAATCACCTGTTGTGAGAGCTTTCGAGGAGGGGGCATGGTGCCCTCATAGGTCCATATACTCCATCTGTCAATTCAAAAGGAAAAAAAATTAGCAAAGAGACGAAAAATAACATATTGGTGTACTTGTTTTAACCATCATCTTAAAAGCTAATAAAAAAAAATATTTTTCGTCATCAATATCTTTGTCAATAGCATTACTTTAAAGAAACTTGGGGGATAAGCCGAGCCATATGCCTACATAATGATCGATAAAAAATCAGTAAATTCATTTTTAAAAAATTTCACTTTTTGTTGAATTAGTGTAATGCTAATTACCATTTGGATACAAATTTGACAAAACCTGAATACCGTAACAGCGAAAATGATTCTGATTAACACAAAAATATGGCATCATGCTCAATTTTCACAAAAACTGACATAAATTGGATGATATAACTACATTTTTTTAAATAGAGTGGGTCATCGTACCATTTTTTTGAGAACGATTAATGAAAGGCAATCGAAAGATGTTGCTTTTTACACTTGCAAAAATTTGGTACGAAGACCCACTCTACATAAAAAATCAAGTTAACTTACTTAAATTTTCACCGTGGTCTTAAAAAATTCTAAGTCCAAATACGCTTGCTAAATATAGAGAACTGTATGCTATTTAAATGGGTATGTATGTGTGACTCTGTGGTATAGTGGTTAGCGAGGAGCTCTTTAAAGGGACGTTTATTGAGGAAAGTGTTCAAGTCATGATTTTTTTATTTTTCATTTTTTGGGGAGGGGGTTAATTTTGTTTTACTTTATAAAAAATGTTTAAAGGAATAACATATTTTTTACTGGAAATAAAATATATATATATGTAGTAATGAACTCATTTACAGTAAATTATTTAGAATGCCGGATAAAAATTATAATAGATATTTGAATACTTTTATTCCCATTTTTATTTATTTTTACTACAAGCGCTTCTAGATCACCACTATCATTATATACAATGTTAACATTTTTATAATGTCTCCACAATAAGTGTTAACACTCAATATGCAGATTAATTAATAGAAGTCCTTACCCATGTTAGACACTTGTGACAGTAAATGAAAGTCAACTGTTTAGCTTGTTTAGAATATAAATATCATTTTGAGAACTACTGCAAACATTAAAATGCTTAAGTAAATTCTAACAACTGACAGATTTTTTCCAATAAATGTTCTTGCATAGCCGAAAAATGGGCATGGGCACATGGCTCGTCTTATTCCCCCAGATTCTTAAAGGTTAAATTTAGGAATTCCAAAGTACAGTCAACCTATTTATCTCAAATTCAATGGGGCCAAGAAAACACTTGGAATTTAAGATACTGTTGTTCGAGATACCAAAGTTCAACGTTATCTCTGATACTTACCTATCTAACATTTTAATCTGAGAATGTTCTAATTTTTCTAGTATCACAGGCAGCTGTGTGTCAGCGTCAAAGGTCGATCCCCAGCCTAGGACCCGGGCCAGGTCATTCCCTGTCCCAAAAGGCAGTACCCCCATCTGACACTGTCAAAAACAAGTCAGCTTCATTATGCTTATAACACAGAATCAGTTCTTACCTTTCTCCCAAATATGCATATCAATAAATATCTTTTTTTCTCTCTTCATTTAATCATTAACTTCATTTCAATTTCAAATGAAATTGCTATTTGAGTTATATTTTGCTTAGCATTTAAATTTTTTAAAACTTTTGGTCAAGACACAGTAGCGATGAATCATCATACTTAGAGAGGCTACCTGTTTATGGAGATCAAGTTTGTCGATTTCTGATAGAACCCAGCCCACACTTCCATCTCCCCCACACACCAGGATCCGAAACTGATCAAACTTCTGGAATAGTCTCAGACTGAAAAAAAATAGCAGAAACTGTTCAAACTTCTGGAATAGTCTCAAGACTGGAAAAAAATAGCAGAAACTGATCAAACTTCTGGAATAGTCTAAAACAGAGAGAAAAAAATAGCAGAAACTGATCAAACTTCTGGAATAGTCTAAAACAGAGAGAAAAAAATAGCAGAAACTGATCAAACTTCCGGAATAGTCTCAAGACTGGAAAAAAATTGCAGAAACTGATCAAACTTCTGGAATAGTCTAAAACAGAGAGAAAAAAATAGCAGAAACTGATCAAACTTCTGGAATAGTCTAAAACAGAAAAAAAAGTAGCAGAAACTGATCAAACTTCTGGAATAGTCTAAAACAGAGAGGAAAAAATAGCAGAAACTGATCAAACTTCTGGAATAGTCTAAAACAGAAAAAAAAGTAGCAGAAACTGATCAAACTTCTGGAATAGTCTAAAACAGAGAGGAAAAAATAGCAGAAACTGATCAAACTTCTGGAATAGTCTAAAACAGAAAAAAAAATAGCAGAAACTGATCAAACTTCTGGAATAGTCTTAAACTGAGAAAAAAAATAGCAGAAATTGATCAAACTTCTGGAATAGTCTCAGACTGAAAAAAGAATAGCAGAAACTGATCAAACTTCTGGAAAAGTCTTAAACTGAGAAAAAAATAGCCGAACTGTTCAAACTTCTGGAATAGTTTAAAACTGAGAAAAAATAGCCAAACTAATCAAACTTATAGAATAGTCAAAACAAAGAGAGATAAACGAGGCCCATGGAGCACATCGCTCACCTGAGTACTTTGGCCATACTGTTCTTTAATAGATTTCCCCTTTGTAATACCTTTTGTGGCCCCACCCTACCCCCAGGGGTCATAATTTGTACAATTTAGAATCTACACTACCCAAGGATGCTTCCACTTAAGTTTAAGCTTTTCTGGCCCAGTGGTTCTTGAGAAGAAGATTTTTGAAGATTTTTCTTATATATTTCAACGTAAAACTTGGATTCCCTATTGGGCCCCGCCCTACCCCTAGAGGGGTCATGATTTGGATAATTTAGAATCTACACTATCCCAGGATGCTTCCACATAAGTTTCAGCTTTTTTGGCCAAGTGGTTCTTGAGAAGAAGATTTTTTAATGACCCCATTCTATTTTTGTCTTTTCTTGATTATCTCCCCTTGTAAAGGAACTTGGCCCTTTATTTTTAAAATTTAAACTCCCCTTCACCCAAGGATACTTTGTACCAAGTTTGGTTAAAATTGGCCAGGTGGTTCTTGATGAGAAGTTGAAAACGTGAAAAGTTTACAGACGGATGGACGGACAGACAGATGGATGGATGATGGACAACAGGTGATCAGAAAAGCTCACTTGAGCTTTCAGCTCAGGTGAGCTGAAAATTAGCAGAAATTAATGTAACTTCTGAAAAAGTCTAAAACTGAAAAAAAAGAAGCTAAAACTGATCAAACTTCTGCATTAATTCTCAGATAAGTCTATAGAATGTTCTTTAAAAAATAGCAGATATTGATCAAACTTCTGGAATATTCTAAATCTAAGAAACATAGAATTTCAATCAATAAAACCTGTTACTTTTCTACTGTTTTAGCACTTTAACGAGACCTGTACTAGTGCACTGTTAAGGAAAACTTATGTCATTGCCTTCTGATTACATCATTCTTGTTCACTGGGATGTATAGATACGTTGAAATAAAAGAAGCACTCTTAACATTATAATTTAATTCTATCCTGTCTGAAACCAAACTACTGAATCTTTCACTTAACATTACATAATATAACTTTACGTAGTACTGATCAAACAGCACAAAGCTTTCACTTTAATGATAAATGTAAGAAGATATTCAGAACTTTGAATGATAAAACCACAGTGTACTTACAACATACTACAAAGAAGCATTTGTCAAGTTCGCATGTGTTCCTCTCATGATGTCAATCAAGAGTTACCTATCCTGGACAAACAGTAGCCCCTCTCCCCCTCTTCCCTTTATCAAATTAATCAAGAGTTACACCTATCCTGGACATGCAGCCTCCCCCCTCCACTTTCCCTTCATCAAATCTAGAGTCAATGAAATCAAGAGTTACCTACCCTGGATGTGGTCCACCATTCATCAAATCAAAAACCTGAGCAGGGTTTAAAAGTTGTTTAAACCGACGTAAAAATTTCACTCCCTGCAAGATAAATAATGCACAAACTGTACAAGGAAGAGAGAAAAAAATTCATGCTCATGTCTTCAAAAATTCTTTTATCAAAAAATATAATTATTCCTGAGACATTCATATTAGCATATGATAGTCTGCAAGTAGAGAAAAATCTAATCTAAACAATTCAGATGATTTTTTTCTGTTTAGTATATTTTACATGGATTTCCATAGTAACCTGATTGTCTCCAGACTTTGTGTTGACAAACACCAGAAGAGGACTGGTTCGAGGGGGGCGTGTGGCCTCCCAGTAACCGTCCGAGTCGATATTGTTGATGGCGGTAGGGGGAAGGATAGACAGTTTACACTGACCCAGCGGACACACTGATGACATCTGGTCTTTACAATTAGAATGTACCTAACAAACATATTCAAAATTATAAAAGGGATTTACCTAGCACTTTTGAGAATTTCACACATTGCATTATATTTTATGCTATAACATTTAGATTGAAAAATTATGAGAAATTATATTTATTTTCCAATTTCTTGTAAATTCTATTATTCCTCAATCCCTGATTTTTTTTATTGATGTGTAGAACTTACATGTATATGTCACAAAGCTTTATAACACAGCAGATACCACAGCTTTGCACCATAGTACATACAATAACTTTGCACCAGAGGACATACCATAGCTTTGAGTACCTAACATAGCTTACACCTGAGAACATACTATAAACTTGCACCTAAATATACCATAGCTTTACACTGGAGTAAATACCACAGCTTTACAACAGATTTCAAAACTTTACACCTGATAATATACCTTTAAAGATCATAACATAGCTGCTTTACACTAGAGTACCTACCACAGGTGCTGTTTTAGACTAGAATACCTACCATAGCTTCTTTATACTAGAGTACCTACCATAGCTGCTGAGCTGCTGTTTTAAACTAGAGTACCTACCATAGCTACTTTATACTAGAGTACCTACACTGTACCATAGTTGCTTTACGCTAGAGTACCTACCATAGCTTTACACTAGAGTACCTACCACAGCTTTACACTAGAGTACCTACCATAGCTTTACACTAGAGTACCTACCACAGCTTTACACTAGAGTACCTACCATAGCTGCTTAACATTAGAGTACCTACCACAGCTACTTTACACTAGAGTACCTACCATAGCTTTACACTAGAGTACCTACCATAGCTTTACACCACAGACATCTCCAGTCCTGTAGTTTTAACACACTGCCACAGGTTTTATCACACACGTTACACTTAGCACTAACAGGGAGGTTCCCTTCTAACCACTGATGCGGCATTGAGATCAGCTACAAAAAATATACCAGTTAAAAATTGTAAGTATTGCATATCTTAACATCAAAGACATGAGTTCATTTAAAGTGTTGATAGATAATGGTCTTACTCCATCTTCATCCTCTAGGATCTCCCGTCCGATGGCAGCTAGGGTCGTCCACTTACAGTTCGACTGGGCCTTCACAGCACACCTCTTGTGAGCCTTGAACTTGCAGACTTAATTTGTAAAAAAAAAAAAAAATATGCATTTTACAAAAGACTGTTCATTTGAGATGAAATTAAACAAAATACCCACTCCAATTATTCATTTAGAAGTCAATCCTCATTATCTCAAACTTAATGTGACAAAATAAATTGAGATATCAGAGGATTCGAGATATTGAGATTAAAATATATTAAGAGTAGTGTAATTGGGACTACCAACGCACATTGACATACCCATGGTATATATGAGATATCAATGTTCAAGATACAGAAGTTCAACTGTGTATCTTTTTAAAGTAAATTAATATGAAATCTTAGAATTCTCTCCTCTACTCTTGACCAGCAGTTTCTTCATAGCTTAACTGTTAATTAACTTTATCCCAAACTTAAACCAGATTTTATTCTCATAAAATAGAAACTAAGCTGTACATATAAAGAAGCAATAACTTTCATAATCTGTGCCAACATCATTCACTGACATTAGAAACTGCTGCATAGATATATATGTATATATAAACATTTGTTGCCTACCAAGTTTTATTGAAATTTGTCTAAACTATAGGTAAAGACCATTGTGAAAGTATTTAACTTTATAATTCTTTTCATATTACCATGGAAACATCTTTGATGAGTAGAGCTAAAAATTAAAACATTAGTTTTGTAATTTTTTTTCATTTGATTGGTAATAAGATAGTTCAAGGCATGGGCGTGTCACAATACTAATCCAGTACAGGAGCTTAATTGATGGTTTTAAAATGAAATCTAAATATATACTTCGTGACACAAACTGAAATTAAAAGTACTATTTAAAATCAAAAAGGAGGAATATTGTATTGGATGGAACATGATGATTGGTATCCAACAATCAATTAACCCGATTTTGATGTCACGATATGAATATCCTCAGGAACAACAGATATATGATACAATAATCAATAGACAGACCATGCTCTGTCAATACAAGACATCCCATTCCAAGAAAAATATAAAAGGAGATGCATACCCCAACCACCACCCCTCATAAGATTAATAACCACATAAAATAAATAACTATAATGGACTATTGACGTTAAAATATTACCAAAAAAAGAAGTTCTGGTGGGTTTTAAGTCTCAGTAGAATATACCAATACTGAGTGTACTCATTAAAATAGAACAATAGCCATCATGGAGAAATCATTGACTCTCATTAGTAATACCGAGTGTACTCATTAAAACAGAACAATAGCCATCATGGAGAAATCAGGGACTCTCATTAGTAATACCGAGCGTACTCATTAAAACAGAACAATAGCCATCATGGAGAAATCAGGGACTGTCCTTACTAATACCGAGTGTACTCATTAAAACAGAACAATAGCCATCATGGAGAAATCATGGACTGTCCTTACTAAAACCGAGTGTACTCATTTAAACAGAACACTGGCTATCATGAAGAAATCATTGACTCTCCTTAGTAATACCGAGTGTACTCATTAAAACAAGAAAGGACAGAGGACACTGCTCGCTTTATAACATCAACCTCCGCAGTATTGTTCTATGATTAAAGCACAGTCTCTCATCAGTAACTTCATCCAGGCAACTATAACAGGTAGACAATTTAATACCAGAATTTCCATGTTTTAGAATTAACAAAGGGCAAAATTCTTGGACATGGCCAATAACCTTTAATTTACCTAGCAGATCTCTGTGTGTTACCAATAAACAACAGAAATAGGCATAGATGACAAATATATACAGTAAAACAGGCTTATAACATAGTGCCAGGGATGCATAATTTTGCTTCGTTATAAACGTAATTTGTTATATCTGTTAAGTGATCAATATATTTCAAAGTCAAGGGGAATGAAGATTTGCTATAAACGTCAATTCATTATAAGTGTGTTTTACTGTAGTTCTTCCAGCAGTAACTTTTAAGTGTGGTGAAGAAAAGGGAGATTCAGAACTAAAAGCAGTAGCATTGCTTGCGATGTTTTGCTCTTTTATTGTCAGGCCTAAAGCTTAGTTTGTACTTAAAAACAAAAAACAAAAACAAAAAAAAACCACTGTGTCACATTCAGCATTTGAGTTTGGAATTGCTATTAAAGCTTTCATAAAGAAACAGGCTTTGGGAAATCTAAGCTGATCCATTCATCCTTTATAATGAAAATGGCTACACGAGCAGTACAAAAATGGGGAAAAAAGCAGACTTTTGAATAAAAGTGGTAGACAGGAGACAAGACCAAAAACAAGCAGTAGGCCTCTGTGTTAGACTTCTGTGTACAGTGGTAGACTTCTGCTTAAACCAAAAAATGTGTATGCTTTCAGATTTAGTTTAAGTTTACCCTTGTTGATGCTTTCAGGTGTAGTTTAACTTTTCCATTGTTCAATAAAAAAATTCTCTCTTTTTTATTCCAACCTTAAATTACATTGCTTAAGAACTCTTCAAACAAAACTTATAAATAACCCCTCCCCTCCCCCCCTCCCCCCCAAAAAAACTAACCTTAAAACCATGTTGCAAACTCAAATCATCGATTTCCTTTACAAAATATGTATATATACATAAATATCACCTTCCTAGAGAGTTCATTTGAGTCAGTCTTGGAAAAAGACCTTTGCAAGACAAAGAATTATGAAACGTACCCTCATGGAACAGTTTATGAAAAGTGACACGTGTTGCTAGGATTCGTGACAGACATTGGTGTTTTGATGCAAACCCTCACAAGACAGGCCATGAGGTGACCCCTGACAAGGCTTCCCATCACACATTGCAGCATTGATACATACCCTCACAAGATAAGCCATGAGAGGTGACCCCAGAAAGCACTTCCCGGCAGACATTGCAGTATTGATACATACCCTCACAAGACAGGCCATGAGAGGTGACCCCTGACAAGGCTTCCCGGCAGACATTGCAGTATGTAGGGCGAGCATGGGAACAGGCATACCAGTTATGCTGACCAGACATCATCTCTCTCTGACTGGCATTGCCCTGAAAACAGAACCAACTTATAAAGCTTAGTACACAAATAACACCAGAACTCAGATCAAAAGAGTCTTGTAAATATTTCAGTTAAGATTCATCACAATCATTATAATAAACATGCTAAATATAAGGAAGATATTCAAGGTTTTCTAGTTGGATATGGAATTTATTTCATAAAGTGGACAGGAATCTAAGAATTGAAAGTGGAAGATACGAAAAAATTATAAACTTGGAAGGACAGCTAACAACCCTTGAAAAAAAAATGAAATAATTTGTAGAATGTGTGACATGCATTCTGTGGAAGATGAGATTGAATGTCCCTTATATAAACATGATAGACATGAATTTTTTGAGGATATTGCTAAATAAAAATTTTTTTAGTTAACAAATGAAGAAAAAATTCTGTGGATTATGTCCATGATATGTTGCTTATCAAACCAGGCAATTTTTAAAATTAAAAAAAGTGCATTATATAATCTTAAAAAGAACCAAATAAATGTAAAAGAGTAGTAATGTTAATACTCTACTACAAATATGTACATGTTACAAATTCTTTTTTTCTTCTTTATATGTATATTAATTACAATATTCACTCTAGTACAAATTTACATGTTACAAATTCTTTTTTTTTTGTATGTATATTAATTACAATATTCACTCTAGTACAAATTTACATGTTACAAATTCTTTTTTTTTGTATGTATATTAAATTACAATATTCACTCTAGTACAAATTTACATGTTACAAATTCTTTTTTGTACATATATAATTAATTACACGTCTTATAAGCAATATCACAGATAATCGCCATCTGCTATAATTTCCTTTAGTTAGTTTCTTTTTTTTTTGTATGTCGACATGTTGCTATCAATTTTGACTTTCTTCTTATGTATGTTACTCTTTACTTGTATGCCTTCAAGGGCCCCAAATCGGTTTCAAATATTTTATTTTATATATTTTCACAAGCACATAGCATGAGTAAGAAATATTTTTAAAACCCTGACTCACAATTGAAACACGTCATTCCAAATATTCATGAAATGTTCCTGTTAATCAAGATTTCCTTTTAAGCAAGTTCTTTATAATCAAGTTTGACTATACTCTGAAACTAGGCTGTTAAGTGGTACTGCGTGCAACTGTCATTTGACATATGTTCTGGTTCAAAATATAATGCATTCAATTCACAGTGTAAAAATATAGATTTTATTTGGATAAATTACAGTACTTCAATGTTGAATATGTACTAATAAAACTTAATACTCAGCATTAACCAGTATTTAAGATACTGTTTAAAACAGGACAAGACTCCATCAGAAAACAAATGTCAACAAAAAGATCATATTAACTCTGCTTTGGTTTTTAATTACACAATTTTCTTTATTCTACACAAGACTAACATTTTTAAAAAAACACTGCCTGCATCACTTTAACACTTAATGGTCAATGTTAATTTTTAAGATTTAAAAAAAAAGGTAATTACCAGTATATTGAAGTCAGTTTGTAGAAGTGCAGGTAGGGGCTGACCATTTGGTCACTGTGTAATTTATTGTCATCAGAAGGGAAATGTCCAGTGATTGATCATACAATGTTAGACCAGTGAAACAATTAACCTATCACTAACTTGCCTCTAGCTAAAATGTTGTCAGTTGTCACTTGTACTGGGATTTATATGTAAACTGTACTAATCAACATTATTATACTGTGTACATGTCTATTTCAACTTGTTCATAAATTATTTTAAAAAAAAAAAGAATTTAATTCACAACAAAAAAAAACGCCTTTACTAGTACTGATTTGGGCAACTATAAGCCAACTCTTTCAATATTGAAGTATGATGCATGGGTAATATTTCTTTTGTATTTTCATGTGGATAGCCTGAACCATGGACCAGGGGACACAGACAGCTTTCACAGTGTTAATTATAATCAAGGCTGAAACAAGCATTTTGTCTGTCAGATGTCCTTAAGTAATGTGTTTAATGTCCAAGAGTACAGAGAAGATTTTCAAAGATTTAATGTAATTTCAATTTATGGCCAACTTGGCCCCACCCTGGGCCTGAACCCTGGACCCAGGGAGTGTGAATTTCTCACTTTTGGTAAAAGGTTGATTACACTCATTAAAATCAGGTAAACAGTTTGTCTGCTCGAAGTAAATGAAGAAGATTAATAAGATATAATACATTTTCAATAGATATCTAACCTAGCACCAGCCTGGAGTCCGGCATAAACCCAGGGGCCATGAGTTTTACAATTTTGGTACAGTCAGCCCATTGTTTATAATCATGCTAACAATTTGACTACTTGATGTCCATTAGTAAAAGAAGATTTTTGAAGACTGCATTAATTTTGATGGTTTTAGCACCACCCGTCATACCCAAGGGATGCAGGGACCAGGTTATCAATAATTTTTTCTTTGCTTTATCTATCAATACTATAATCTATATGACTGGTGACCAAAAAAGTTCATTTTCACACAGAAATGGAAATATATTTTTTATTATACCTCTACTGATTTTTTCCCTATATAACATTAGATCATTAGATGTGACTAATTCCCTAGAAATCGTTATGAATGGACTAATCCCTGTGCATTAGTCAAGTGAGCTAATCCCAGCATCAGAAGCTAATTCCCATTTATCCGTAATCCTCTAGATTTTACTTTTACATTGTATGATATGTGAATGGACTAATCCCCATGTGTTAGTTCAGTGAGCTAATCTCTGTTACGAAATAACGCTATCTGAATCCTCTAAATTTTACGTTTGTATCGGTATAATAAAACAGTTAAAAGTATATCATTGCGGGAGTTAGCAAGATTCCAGTTCCCCTCGACCAGGACTATTCCCTCAGCTTCGCCTCGGGAAATAGTCCTGGCCTTGGGGAACTGGAATCTTGGTAACTTCCTCAATGATATACTTTATCTGTATAATATAACATTATATTCTTTATAATAAAAGTCATTTAGAGAAAAGATTTTAAATTTTACAGATTAATAAAAAAAAACACAACTCTCCTTTTCTATTAGATTACTGAATACAAACCCCATTCTCTGCCTTTTCAATATGAATTCTCTCAAAATACCGTGTGATCAAAGATCCCTCCCGATTCATTCCTCTCAAACAACACAACATTTTCAGTGTTGACACAATCACAATTCACTTAACATGACACTAGAACAGAGCATTTGTTCATGTTCATGATCTCAGTTCAGTAATGTTTTCAATCTAATACTACTAATTTGACACTAAGTTAACCCTCCAAGTATGTTTACGACTGAATCAATTCACTGACTCAATTCTAGAAGGACCCTGTGCATGTTAACAATCTCACTTGACTAATACGACACTAGATCCGCTGCGCATGTTTCACTTCCTTGTTAGTGCGCGACTGAGCTGGGATGCTGGAGAATCTACTCAGGTAAGGCCTGTAAATTTATCCACTCCTCTAGGTATACAAATCTCATTATACCTGTCAAGCATGCCATTGATTTTTTTTTTCTTCAAAATACACCAAGACATCTCAAAACAGCTTCAATATTCTCTCCTGTAGTTGTAATACATAATTAGCACCTTGCTCATGTTGCTAAAGGTCCTTTTTTTGAAAAACACATTTTTAGACTGAAATGAAGCAAATATTCTTTATAAACACTAAGAATGAAACAAATGACTTTTTATAAAAACTAATAAAACTGAATATAAACTTTAAAAATATCCTTTTTTGTTGCATGATCAGCTACTGTATTTTCACCTATCTGATCTATAGAAGACTTATGACAAAAACCAGGTATGTAAGTTGTATTAATTCCATGTTCTACAATTTCATGCTTTGTGTCAGCGATACTAATCGTGATGGTTTTCATTTCACACTATAGGTGTGGGCTTCTTTTGATACATAGTGTGAGATCTGACTACTAAGTCCACTGTAATTAAATTTCACGGTAAAATGATAAATCGTGAACATGGTAAAATTTAAAACCGTCATTTTCTCTGTCTTTCATGAAGGATATAATAATAATATAAAGATATCTAACTTATGTAAACCTTCTTTCATACTGTATGAGAATATTTATGGTTGCAAAACAGTTGGAAGATTTTAAACAGTTATGAAACAGGACCCCCTGACTGTGAACATGATATGTCTTGACCAGTTTTGAATTGGTGATTAGCTGAACAAGTGCAAAAAGCAATATATAGATCAACAAGTAGAATTGTCAGCTGGACTTATTGTTTAAATTTGTCACACCCATCCTTCTTTACGTTTAGTGTGATATTTAGGAGTATGAAAATTATCAGGTGAATATCACTATACTTTTAGTTCAGAAATATTTTTAAAAATATTTAAGATATGATACTGCATTAGACCAAATGTTGTAAAGTTCTTCATACTTATGCCAAATTCAAATGTAAAATCTTCAAGAAAACTCTGTGCACTTCTTTCATTTATATCTTTGAGGCTATTACTCCTGGTGCTTTCAATGTATATTGTTATTACTACTTACAACTTTAATCCTTCTTTCTAGCCAATGAAGAAATACAATTGTAAAATATGTATTTACGATATACTCTTCAGAAAAAAAGAAATGCATAATAGGAATAATACCCTGAATAAAATACAATAGTTTTGTCATACAATTTTTTTTTAGATGAATATGATTCATTCGTGTAAAATGCATTATTTTTTAACGCTATTGTTGTCAGCCATTCTACAAAACTTACGGACAAAAAAAGACCCAAATTTACGAAATGCTAAAAATTTGTCTTTTTCACTTTTCTTTAGTTGGTTTCTGATGCACATCCTTCAGGTACAAATGGGCTATTAAAAGCTGGGGTTCTCGATACTTTGGTTCTGGTTTTATCTGAAAATTGACACTATTTAATAATGCTACATCTGAATGTTGCATATCGCAAAAAGAAAATTGGGCAACTGGCAGCTGGTATACAGTCGTTTGACCAGTTCCGAATTTTGATCAGTTCCGAATAATTAATATTTTAAAAGCTGATAATTGATAAATTCAAAACTGTAAACATAACTACTTTGACAAACAACTTAGATTGAAATAATGCTGTCATATATTTATAGCTATGCTGAATCGGTTCCCTATTCGGAACTGGTCAAACAACTGTACCACAATCTACTACTGCAAGAGGTTTTAATATTGCACAAAGCACCATATCTAACCTATAAAACAAAAACAAACAGCATGGTACTACAAATGGTTGCCAAAAACATGGCAAACCACAAGACACAACAGCCACAGAGGATCGCTTCAGTGGTTTGTGTAATTTTCAACATTTCATAATGACGTCCTTTACAGCATTAGCTATCCCTGAACTGCATAGAATATCAAACAAGACTGTTTGCAATTGACTATGGAATGCTGGAATTATCGCCAGAGGACTTATTCATGCCACTATCTTACCCCACAACACCGCAAAATTCGACTCAAAGGTCCCAGACTAACAGAGCATGGCCACCGTACTCTAACGATGTCCTACCTGCACATGTCTTTCCAATATTGCAGCATCCTGGAGCCGTATTTCAATCTGACAATACACAGCCACATACGGCTCATTTGACAATCGCATTCTTGCAAAGCCACATCATTCTGTCCGCCAACCCTAATTTTCACAAATCATGAAAATAAAAATAATGTCTTTTTTTCGACATATTTTTCCGGCTTTTTCTCAGCTGAACTGGTGGGTTTTAAATTTTAGAATGCATCTTAATCAAATAAGGTGCTTGGCCATCTTAATAGCCAAATTTAAACCTCACTGAGCATGCATTGGATAGAATGTATAGGCATGACCGGCCAAAAACACTTGCATCCCCAGACTCTGCAACAGCTGACCAAAGTTCTACATTCAGGCTGGGATAGCACTCCCATACAGTTTTAATACACTTTAATATTTGCCTTCTTTAGGATGCCATTTTAGGCTATCATTGTGTCTGTGGGGGTACACCAGATATTGATCTTTAATTAACTTCAACTGTCTATGATTCTAAAATTCTTTAGTAATTATGACATTTGGACTCTAGACCTATTGTTAGTTACCAAATTTCTCTATTATCAATACATCATTTTACTAAATATCTATATGTTCAATGTGTCACTAAAATTTTACTATGTGTTCCTGTTTTGAAGAGTATATATGTACCTCTCACAATCTTGACATATGTCTATATATTCTACGTTCCTCATGTATTATGTATGGTTTGAGTGAGTAAACTTGAAGCAAATAAATACTGCATAATAATCATGATAATATAACAGTTGGTTTATTTACAGAATGTAATTGTCACTTAATGTAAAAAGGATCAAATTTACTCTATAAACATTAATGTAAAGAGAGAATACAAGGACTGGACTAACTGTGATGATTTTAGTGACTTTACTCTTGGATAAGAAGACTGGACTCGGATGATTTTAGTGACTTTACTCTTGGATAAGAAGACTGGACTCGAATGATTTTAGTGACTTTACTCTTGGATAAGAAGACTGGACTCGGATGATTTTAGCGACTTTACTCTTGGATAAGAAGACTGGACTCGGATGATTTTAGTGACTTTACTCTTGGATAAGAAGACTGGACTCGGATGATTTTAGCGACTTTACTCTTGGATAAGAAGACTGGACTCAAATGATTTTAGTGACTTTACTCTTGGATAAGAAGACTGGACTATGATGATTTTAGTGACTTTACTCTTGGATAAGAAGACTGGACTCGAATGATTTTAGCGACTTTACTCTTGGATAAGAAGACTGGACTCGAATGATTTTAGCGACTTTACTCTTGGATAAGAAGACTGGACTATGATGATTTTAGTGACTTTACTCTTGGATAAGAAGACTGGACTCGGATGATTTTAGCGACTTTACTCTTGGATAAGAAGACTGGACTCAAATGATTTTAGTGACTTTACTCTTGGATAAGAAGACTGGTCTATGATGATTTTAGAGACTTTACTCTTGGATAAGAAGACTGGACTCGGATGATTTTAGTGTCTCTTCTCTTGGATAAGAAAACTAGACTATGATGATTTTAGTGACTTTACTCTTGGAATATTCAACAAAAGAAGAATGATGATTTATAACAGTGCATTAAAACTTAATTAAACTCTACCTACTGAATTACAGCAAGGGTAGCTAAAAGTAACTTCTACACACAACACATATACAGTGAACCTACAGTGCTCATAAAGTTAGATCCTCCCCATACCACCCCCCACCCCACCCCCCCCACCCCAAAAAAAATCCAGAAGCAGCACATGTACTTATATCCTACAATTTCCTGTTAGTGGTGGTTTAATTAAACCCCAAACCTCCCAAAAACACCGTAGATTTCCCTGTTAGTGGTGATTTTGAGGACATCCCCACCCTCCTTTGTTAGTGGCAGTTTTGAGGGCCTCCCACCAAGCCAGTACTTACATCATAGAATTCCCTATTAGTGGCTGTTTTAAGGGCTGTGATCCACTCCTCCATTTCTCTTCTACTGTCGGCACACAGGACTAAGTTCCTAAATGGTGTTATAACCTACAAAATAAAAAAAACAGCCTTACCATACTAAAAACTTGACTATCAAATTTATTCACTACTTTGAAATGAAAATGGGATTTGTAGCTTGTAATGTATTACACATGGTAAGTAATTCATTTCACCCTCAAGTATTTACTAATATATAAAATAACTCCTTTCATCTACTTACTATATAAACACAAAATTTGATACTGATGGAAAAATTCATGTACCATTACTCCATATGATTGAGTTTTCTATTATATGTAAATTAAAATCAATCCTATCAATCGGGACAAATTAACTTTAAAACATTAATGTACCCAAATCAATGAGGAATGATAAATTTCATTTGAACAGTTTGATTTGGAGAGAAGTGTGAGCAAATAAATCCACTCACAATTATATAATTGATTCTCAAAAATTCAAAGAAACTAAGTCACGATTTTCCCATGCATGTCAGCTTTAAATTAATTAACGGAATAATATAGCTTTCCACTTAAATGTTGGCCACAAGGGCAGATAGTGATATATACAAATTAAGACCTACTTATGAATTTTGATCATAAATTTCAATGGTGAAATAAATTCAATGACATGTATATTTTTTACCTATCGAATTCTGCAAGATCAGCATACATGTTTTAAATATTTTTTTTTCATTTAAAAGAATTCTCTAGAGATAACTTCATTCTTGACAGAAATCTAGTACCTACCATAAGCTGGTGTCCTTTGCATTATTACATAATTAACAAATGGCAATAAGGAAATACTTGATTGATAAGAACTTTTATTAATAAATGAATAATTCTATGATGAAAATACAGTCTTTCCATGCCAACAGGCCCAAGGGCCTTAACTGTTACCCGAGTAATCCATCTTCGCTAGCCAAGGGTTTCTGATACGCTACTCTCCTCAGTAATCATGCCAAAAGTTTGACTACTTGATGTCCAGGAGTAAAGAAGATGTTTGAAGATTGCATTAATTTTTATGGTTTTGGACTCATTCCTCAGGCTCCAGGGGTGGGGCAGATGGGGGGGGGGTGCAAGAAATTCACATTTTTTTTCTTTTGCCCATAGATCCTATATACCAAAATTGGTTGAAATTGGTTCAGCCATTTAAGAGAAGAAACTGAAAATGTTTAAAAGTATGTGACCAATGCACAAAGAACAATGGAAATTGCACAATAGACAATGGACAAATAAGATAGCAATTGGTCACCTGAGTGACCCAAGTGACCTAAAAATACAGTCTTACCACCACAAAATAGGTTTTAAAAAACTCATTTTATTTTCTAACATGCAAACTTAAATTTGAATAAAAAATTTAATTAATTTTTTTTTAAATCTAAATAAATATCTGTTTTGTCTCATTATTTAACTGCACATACATTAAACTACATACAAACACACGTTACTCCAGCCTACCTCCTCCATGATGTGTACATCCACAAAAATAAAATAAAAATTAATCCTATTAAATCAAAAACCACTCCCTTATCTTCTAGTGGAATCAGAAAGTGAGGACCTTTTGTAAATTTGATATTGGGTGATGGCTGTAACGTAGGTGACGAAGGTGAAATCTACATCTCAGGTGAACAAGGTGTGAGCTTTAGAAATGTGACTACCTATATCACTAGTGAATCCCTGTCTCCATTCACTTACCATAAAACACTGTGGGCAGCAAAAAAAGGCAACGAAAAAATAACAGCCATGATTGTACAGGTTAAGTATTCACATGCATACTTAATAACATCGTAAATTACGGCAAACTTCAATGATAAGCCTATTTTATCACGTTCACACATATAATACTACATTTTTCAGTAATATCTGTTTTACTATGGATTTGTTAGTGGGGATGCTGCTCATGGTTGTAGAGTCTTTTCTACAGAATCACAGCATTAGTTAGCCAAGAACTGTCACAGACAGTGGAGATTCCTCTGTAGCAGAGATTTATCTCTTCATTATTCAGGTGTCGTGGGTGGGAGTCAAAATTCCAAGCATTACGAAGTCGGATAAATATGATTACCTTTAATTAGAAGATTTCTTTTTATTTATACATATTACAAATATATTACAAATAATTACTTTTTTAAGTCCACACTGAATACAGTGACCAAAGATGAATGTGTACATACATGTGTACTCCTGTCAATATGACCCACACTATACTGCTTTAATGAATTTGTAGAATTTATGTCTCATACACTTGACATTTAGCATCTTATATTCACTTCAATTGCTTAATCAGAGAGAAAGAGAAAAAAGGGAGAATGATTCACAAAAAAGCAAAATTAACAACCTTTGTATGGTTACATCTATTCTTTAAAAATGATTTAATGTAAACGTGAAACCTTTCCTTTTTAAAATCTGTCTATATATTTTCTACATCCTAAGACAATAATACATACCCATGTGAAAAACCACTAAATGAAATTAAGCGGTCATCCATCTGCATTATTTTGTACCATTTACACAGTGTAAGTTATTCAATAATCAGAAACAAAGAAATCAATCACACAGGAAGCTGTAATCCTCCCAAATCCTCCTCCACAAATTACACACACCACTCCAAATCATTAACCAGATGGTCAATTGAGGGCACTTGTATGTACTATTAATTAATGAAAAAATATGCCTGCCCACTCAGGCTAATAATAGCCCTATAACAGTGGAGCACACAGTGGCAGAGGTCAGACATGTGATCGGGGCTTTTCCTGGTGATAGATCCAGCAGCTTCAGACATTCAATAACACATTATATCATTAGATAGGACAGTATTTCCTTGTGTACAATATGTTACACATTTATCTAACAGTAACTAAAATACAGTCATTATACATTTCTGTATAAAATAAAAGACCCACAAAAACTTAGAATATCAGCTCCATTCTTTGTACTTTTGTGTTTAGTGGATACACTGTTGTTCATTGAACTTTGAGACGTAGGTGGGTGATCCAAATTCCCTGAGAAATCATTCCACAAGAGACATTTTAATTCACCTATCTTGATCATACTGACTGATAGAGTAATTGAACGTCCCCTCCTTTTTCTTCAGATAGAATCAGAGGCAAGCCACTAGCTGCTTTTTTTTAACCAGTGAATTTCTTTTTTTCCTTAATGGCTTCTATACCGCTGATAATCCAGATGTTCCTGAGTTTATTTAGGAGATTATCGCAGACAAGAGGTTAAACTTGGGGTTCATGACCTCGGCACTAGATGTAGATATGTATATAAATCTATCACACCAGTCAGCTGATGAAAGTCAGAAAATAAACCTTTCACACCAGGAATCCAATTTCCTTTGCTTTTAATGTGTATTCAACAAACATAAAAATTACTGAAGAAAACATCCCATTCATTATAGAGTTTGTTAGTTACAGAGTGCAATAAGGATAGGGCAGAAAGGTCTTGTGACAGAAAGGTGGAGTAATACAGTGATTAATCTAGAGATTGGAGGACTCCCACTGATGTATCAAGATAAATGTGATCCAGTAAAAATCAAACATATACAGAAAAAGTTAGTGTAAACTTCTGTCTTCCTGTAGACCAATTAATGACATCATTTGTCTGTATCCACCAGCAGTTTCACTGTGTAACATAAACAAGGCCTTACCTTAGAAAATCTTCTCTGTACTGCAGCCAAGACAAGCAACTATACAGACGTCAGCCAGGGGTTCATCCCCTACACTACCATCTCAAGTCACTCTCATCTCTGCTAGCTGCCCAAATCACTGATATTTCGAGATGATACCCCCCCCAAAAAAAAAATTGATTTCAAGGTCCCACTACTCATGGTTCAACAGTTCCTCAACACTTAATTGGTAGAAAGACAACTTGAGTTAGCATTCTCTCTTTATTACCCTGCACCTCTGAGCTGGCTGTAAATGACAGTCTATTTCTGACTGTAAGCTATTTAGTTATATTATTTTCTTCCTGTCCTTCCATGCTTACCATTGTATGCCTACCAGTGACCCCATCTCCTCCACCTCTACTACATTTTTCTGTCTCGGAGAATGATAATCTCCTCCAATAAGGCTCCCCATACATCATATCTCACTGGGGGGATCATATAGAAAACTAGATAGAAGCAGTGTCATCTTTATCAAGAAAACAGAACAAGGAAATTTGTGTAATATATGGACTGTCCCAAACTGCAGAGGAATTCCTGCATTGATATTTATCAAGAGGAAGAAATACCCCAAGATTAAATAGGAAAAATATAGACATGACTCGTGATATCTCTGTCTGTTAGCTTTAAGCTATTTGCATATAAAGTGAATGGAATCTTTTTCTTCAACATTTCCATGCATATATCATTGCAGTTTATTTCTCTTTAGTCAACTCTCAGATTTTTCTTTGCAATGGAACTTCGTGAAACTATACCAGCAATTTTTTATGATATTTTTTAGTAATCCACTATTGTTTTTTTTTTAAGATCTTGAAAGAATTGGCAGAAGACTGGACAGACACCACCAATCATTAACCATATACAAAGGCACACTATACCCACATAAAGCAAGGCGATATAGATTTTCTCTATAAAATATCCATGTTTTAAGTAACCAGTTACTGAAGATGACATTAAAATCCATTAAACCGTTAAAAATGGTATTCATGTGCAATTATAGTGTGAATAAACATATTGATTTGTAAGGAATTCCATCTAAAGCTGGTATTTGTCAACAATGTAACTATAAACCATTGAACCTCAGTCACAAGTCATTAGCAGTATTCTCTGATATAATAACAAAAATATTTAATATGTACATTTCCTATTATCTCGCTTCTGAATTTTTTTTTTTATGGTGTCAAGGAATCATCATGAATTTCTCATTATTTTACAATTTATGGAGCACCCCCTGTGAACAACAAAAGGGGCATTACTCCTTCACCTTTAGGGTATATGATTATATTTCCAACACAGAAAATACAACTTTGTATTTTTAATTAAAACCAAAGGTAATTGATGAGAGAATTACTCCACTGCTTTGAATTCATAATACGGTCAAACCTCGTCATCTCAAACTCAAAGGGACCGAGAAAAAACTGTAAGATATCTGAAGGTTCAGGATATTGAGGTTAAAATACAATAAGACTATAGTGCTTTGGACTGTCAAATCACTTTGACATATCCATAGTATAACTATTCGAGATGTCAGAGTTTGGGACACCAAAATTTAACTGTAGTCAAAAGTGGCACTTGGAGTAAGTTTCATTTTATTCGGAGTTTTACATTTACAGAAATATGTATGAAAATATTTTTCAATTTATTAACTTTAAATATTAAAGTACCAAAATATGATCTTCATCCCCCCTCTCCACCCAAAATCAGACCTCTTTTAAGTTGGTAGGAATATGATGGAAAGTGGCTTGTCCAAGATAAGTGTTACCCCTCCTCCCACCATCTACCCAGAAATAGGTTTTTGCATCGGGGGTGGGGTGGGGGGGTACTTTTTTTATTTAATAAATTTTTTTTGCTCAAGAAATTTGCAAGTCTGATTGAGGGTGGGGTCCTTTCCCCGAGAAAAATTCCTGGATTCCCCCATGACAAGTACCAAAATGTAGGTAGGACTTTCTCAGTTAATGTTTGAACCAAAACTGAATGTTTTAAAACCTCTAATAACTTTCTGGATTATTTTATTTAGTCAACAAAAAACAATGAAATTTCAACAAAACTGTCTCTACTATATGATCTAAGTATGAATTCCACCTGTAAAAATATTGACATTTTCAAAGTTAGTCAATGACCCTCTTTCACTAATACACCAAGGATGGTTCGAGCCCTAAATCTGACCTCTACTATTTCTTGTGTTAAGTAAGATGTGTGTATAATTAAATTATTAACATGTTATAAGGTTTTGGCAGGGTTGTGGTTAACTTTTGAAACCTTAGGGGCCATGTGGGCTCCTAACTTTTCAATTTTACAGGCCCACAATGTGATCCACGAGCCCACATTATATGTAAATTAAAAATAACAACAACAAAAATCCTAAATTTTTCTAATTGATTTTTTTATTCATAGTATCTATACATGTATGTTTGCAGCATACATGTATGAATTTTTGTCACGTTATCTCTTTTCTAAAAACTTTGATCTGATAATATGTTCATTACATTTTGTAGTATTTAACCTTATACAACTGAAGCGTCTATGGCACAGGAGTTGATATTTTTATCCATAAAGCAACCTAAACATCAACAACCACTGAGGTTAGCAAGCGAAGCAACAGGAATGCAAAATGCTCTAGGAGCGAATGGCACGCAGACCCTCATGGCAACTGATTCTTTTCGAGATGTCGTTAACGTTAGATTTAAGGGTCTAGTACAGCAATTGAGAGGGTAATCGGACCAAAAATCAGGTTAGAAACATCGACTGACATAAATTATACCGGGTGTTGTTGTTAGTTTTATTGAATAAAGCACCAGAGCAGAATCGCCAAAAACACTTTGCATTCCTGTCTCTTTGCTCCCTACGCACGCGAAGCTCACTGGTTGTTGTTTACGTTGCTTTATGGATAAAACTGCCGACACCTATGTGTATGGTTTAACAAGGGGGCATATTAAATAAAAAATTACATACATCCTGTGATGTTTGATTCAGATCTTTTATTGTGTGCATTTGACATGGTAATTCAAATTCTATCTGTAAATAACTAGTCGAATGGAGTGTGTGACAACCATAGCTGATTGTTACAATATTTCTATTAGAACAACCTCAAACATTTGCTCTCGTATCATCAGATTTAACCGAGATTTAACCGCTTTGATAAATCACCATTTTTTATCTCAATCACGTACAAGTTTGCGTAATATGCTTGTACACTACACAAATAATCTAGGTTAGTAGAGCGTTTTCTTAAAAACTGAAAGTACATAAAATATAAACATGAAATGTGATTATGCTCCGGTAAAAAATTGTTCGCCATGTGGGCGACCAGATTTTTGATATCTAGTCGCCCACAGCAAATTTTACTCACATTTGCAAGTGGGCGAGTGGTTATCCACAACCCTGGTTGGAAAGAGGAAAACACAAGGTAATACCCAACAAAAATTTTCCCCGTTTGGGTATTTTGATCAGTAAATCAGAAGGGGGGAGGAAACTGGGGGAGACAGAAATCCTTCACAATTGGATAAATTTTATTAAAATAATCCACAATGCATCTTATGAATAGGATTACAGGTCATAGCTTAAGTTCATTACATATAGCCAAAGCAGTGATCAACATGCATCATTACTTATTTACACCTGTAATTTACACCTGTTAATTTATCTGACTTACCTGGAAACTGTGGTTAATATTTTTGGTGCTACATTCTGCTACACTGAGATCTGTGAGTTCTATTTCATCAAAAATCACCGACTGAAATATAAGAAATAAAATCATTAAACTTTGGATAATTAAGTACAAAAAAAAAACAACTTATTAATGGAAGAAACAGGTAAGAGAAGTCTGTAGACAATGAATTAAGGCTTTATCATACATTGCTTAAGATCATTCACTAAGATTTCTTCATAATAAATTCTATTGCTCTCCAAGAGAAGTAACTCAAAGTTGATTCTCGCTGTTATTCTGTATTCACAGTTGTCCAACTTTGGCAATTTTTAATTTTTGTTCATCAAGACCAAGTTTTACCCTAGTGCCAGTAAAGAGTAATTACATGTATAAATTTATTAAGGTTGGTTATTTTTAAGTTTCTAAAACTTTCCAGCTATATCCTTATCCTCATTCACTGTTCAAATTTAGCAATAAAGAGATCTTCAACATTTTACCTAAGAATTTTTTTCATGCTGATTTCTTTTTGTTTATATTCAAATGCCCAAAAATGGCCCTGGCATAATGTTAACCCTTTCCATCAACCAAATGGTCAATGTCATTCCATCATATTTAATATTCCGGACCTATTTTTTTTGCTAGGCTTCTAGAAAATGAGCTGATTTTTGGTATGTTTCTTGATATTAAAGGTGCTTGGACACAGAAGTTAATATTTAGTAAGTAGTGGAAGTTAATATTTTCTCAAATTTTCTGTATAATTTCCTGACTTGTATGTTGCTATATCATTTCATACTAAAATATGACAAAAATCTTATTTTATCTCGAAGTTATTAAAACTTCGAATTTCTGGACATGTTGGATTGACACATCCTTGCACTTTCACAAATTTTAATTTTTTTCTTAATACTTAAGAAAAGTGGCAATTTTGTTGTTTATTAATGAAAAATATTAAAACTAGAACCCAGAAAATTCAGAGTAGAAATGTTCAAAATCAAAACCCACTCACAGTATTGTAAGTCCGTGCTCAGTGGTGTGTGTAGAGTTTAACAATTGAACACACCCGGTGAATTGTAAACATTAACAATAACAGAGCTCGTGCCCCGTTTACAAAAACAGTTTATGTTTCAAGGGTGTGTTCAATTTGTTAAACTCTGTACACATCACAGAGCACAGACTGACAATACTTGTGAGCTGGTTTTGCTTTCGAACATTTCTACTCTGAATTTTCTGGATTATAGATGTAATGTTTTTCATTAATACATAACAAAATCGCTTCTTTTCTTAAATATAAAGGATAAAGTTAAAATTTGTGTAAGTGCAAAGATGTGTTAATCAAAAGCGTCCCGGAATTCGTAGTTCCAATAATTTCCAGTTAAAATAAGTTTTTAATTATATTTTCGTGTGAAATGCTATTGAAATATATAAGTTGTAATATTATACAGAAAATTTGAGAAAATATTAAGTTCAAATCTGTGTCTTAGCACCTTTAATGACTTACAGATCAAGTTTGAGTCTTGTAATGATTGATTCATTTTAACTAAAGTTATGGCTTCAGCACAGATACATTCTAATAATTTTCTAGACTTTTTTTGCCATGCTTGTAGATAAAGTCTAATTTTTTTGTATGTATCTTGATATCAAATGGATGACTTACACATCAAGTTTCATGTTGATTGATAAAAATTAGCTATTTCACAGTACTTATGCATTTATTCATACAAAAGAAAACTTTTTTATAAATGTGTCCATAGAATGTGCCCTCCCTTCTTTCTGTTCATATGCCCCCAAGATTAAAGGTGGCTGGTGGGAGAGGGCCCACTGTCTTAGGTCATCTCTTTACAAATCCACAATCTTGCTCAGAATTTCAAAATAAATTTGGTGACTTCATCACTGGAACAAAGATCAATGACTGTGCCCTGTTCCTGATACAAGCTAATTAAGATCAGAGGTTCACTGGCCACAGTGCTCATCTGAGTAATCATGGTCCTGATACAAGCTAATTAAGATCAGAGGCTCATTGGCCACAGTGCTCATCTGAGTAATCTTTGTCCTGATACAAGCTAATTAAGACCAGAGACTCATGGCCACAGTGCTCATCTGAGTAATCTTGGACCTGAAACAAGCTAATTAAGACCAGAGGCTCATTGGCCACAGTTCTCATCTGAGTAATCTTTGTCCTGATAGAAGCTAATTAAGACCAGAGGCTCATTGGCCATAGTGCTCATCTGAGTAATCTTTGTCCTGATACAAGCTAATTAAGATCAGAGGTTCACTGGCCACAGTGCTCATCTGAGTAATCTTTGTCCTGATACAAGCTAATTAAGATCAGAGCTCATTGGCCACAGTGCTCATCTGAGTAATCTTAGTCCTGATACAAGCTAATTAAGATCAGAGGCTCATTGGCCACAGTGCTCATCTGAGTAACCTTTGTCCTGATACAAGCTAATTAAGATCAGAGGCTCATTGGCCACAGTGCTTATCTGAGTAATCTTTGTCCTGATACAAGCTAATTAAGACCAGAGGCTCAATGGCCACAGTGCTCATCTGAGTGACCTTGGACCTGATACAAACTAATTAAGACCAGAGGCTCATTGGCCACAGTGCTCATCTGAGTTATCTTGGACCTTATACAAGCTTATTAAGATCAGAGGCCCATTGGCCACAGTGCTCATCTGAGTAATCATGGTCCTGGAACAAGCTAATTAAGATCAGAGGCTCATTGGCCACAGTGCTCATCTGAGTAATCTTTGTCCTGATAAAGCTAATTAAGACCAGAGGCTCATTGGGCACAGTGCTCATCTGAGTAATCTTTGTCCTGATAGAAGCTAATTAAGATCAGAGGCTCATTGGCCACAGTGCTCTTCTGAGTAATCTTTGTCCTGATACAAGCTAATTAAGATCAGAGGCTCAATGGCCACAGTGCTCATCTGAGTAATCATGGTCCTGATACAAGCTAATTAAGATCAGAGGTTCACTGGCCACAGTGCTCATCTGAGTAATCATGGTCCTGATACAAGTTCATTAAGACCAGAGGCTCATTGGCCACAGTGCTTATCTGAGTAATCATTGTCCTGATACAAGCTAATTAAGACCAGAGGCTCATTGGCCACAGTGCTCATCTGAGTAATCTTTGTCCTGATACAAGCTAATTAAGATCAGAGGCTCATTGGCCACAGTGCTCATCTGAGTAATCTTTGACCTGATACAAGCTAATTAAGACCAGAGGCTCATTGGGCACAGTGCTCATCTGAGTAATCTTTGTCCTGATACAAGCTAAATGAGATCAGAGGCTCATTGGCCACAGTTCTCATCTGAGTAATCTTAGTCCTGATACAAGCTAATTAAGACCAGAGGCTCAATGGCCACAGTGCTTATCTGAGTAATCATTGTCCTGATACAAGCTAATTAAGACCAGAGGCTCAATGGCCACAGTGCTTATCTGAGTAATCATTGTCCTGATACAAGCTAATTAAGACCAGAGGCTCATTGGCCACAGTGCTCATCTGAGTAATCTTTGACCTGATACAAGCTAATTAAGACCAGAGGCTCACTGGCCACAGTGCTTATCTGAGTAATCATTGTCCTGATACAAGCTAATTAAGACCAGAGGCTCATTGGCCACAGTGCTCATCTGAGTGATCTTAGTCCTGATACAAGCTAATTAAGACCAGAGGCTCATTGGCCATAGTGCTCATCTGAGTAATCTTAGTCCTGATACAAGGTAATTAAGATCAGAGGCTCATTGGCCATAGTGCTCATCTGAGTAATCTTTGTCCTGATACAAGCTAATTAAGATCAGAGGCTCACTGGCCACAGTGCTCATCTGAGTAATCTTGGTCCTGATACAAGCTAATTAAGATCAGAGGCTCACTGGCCATAGTGCTCATCTGAGTAATCTTAGTCCTGATACAAGCTAATTAAGATCAGAGGCTCATGGCCACAGTGCTCATCTGAGTAATCTTGGACCTGAAACAAGCTAATTAAGACCAGAGGCTCATTGGCCACAGTGCTCATCTGAGTAATCTTTGTCCTGATAGAAGCTAATTAAGATCAGAGGTTCATTGGCCATAGTGCTCATCTGAGTAATCTTTGTCCTGATACAAGCTAATTAAGATCAGAGGCTCACTGGCCACAGTGCTCATCTGAGTAATCTTGGTCCTGATACAAGCTAATTAAGACCAGAGGCTCATTGGCCACAGTGCTCATCTGAGTAATCTTTGTCCTGATACAAGGTAATTAAGACCAGAGGCTCATTGGCCATAGTGCTCATCTGAGTAATCTTGGTCCTGATACAAGCTAATTAAGACAAGGGGCTCATTGGCCACAGTGCTCATCTGAGTAATCTTAGTCCTGATACAAGGTAATTAAGACCAGAGGCTCATTGGCCATAGTGCTCATCTGAGTAATCTTTGTCCTGATACAAGCTAATTAAGATCAGAGGCTCACTGGCCACAGTGCTCATCTGAGTAATCATGGTCCTGATAGAAGGTAATTAAGACCAGAGGCTCATTGGCCACAGTGCTCATCTGAGTAATCTTGGTCCTGATACAAGCTAATTAAGACCAGAGGCTCATTGGCCACAGTGCTCATCTGAGTAATCTTAGTCCTGATACAAGCTAATTAAGATCAGAGGCTCACTGGCCACAGTTCTCATCTGAGTAATCTTAGTCCTGATACAAGCTAATTAAGACCAGAGGCTCATTGGCCACAGTGCTCATCTGAGTAATCTTAGTCCTGATACAAGCTAATTAAGATCAGAGGCTCACTGGCCACAGTTCTCATCTGAGTAATCTTGGTCCTGCTTTTCTTCAAAAAAGATTTCTCCCTTCTTTATTCCCATGAAAAATTTTCTCCCCATATTGTGGTCCCTTCCAAGTCTCAAGGGTTCACAACTGAACAGAACTAGAATCCACACAGCATGGAGATGCAATTAATATTCCTAGCTCATCTGGATAAGAAGATCTGTTAAAAGCTTTCCCTCCCCCTTCATTCATGTACACTGAATTCTGTAAAATCTGATCCCCGATTTAAGCCCTATCCTGACCCCATAGTCTATAATTTGAATTTAAAAAAACAATTTGAATTAACACAATTTTAGAATAATTATATATAAATATGATTAAGTGTGCTCCTCCTACTCTTGAGATTTTTTTTTTTTAATTCCCACATCTTCTCTGACATGTAAAACTTTGTTTAAGGCCTATCCTTACTCCATTAGTAAAGATCTGAAATTTGAATCTGCACTACACTGAGATGTTTGAACACTAATCATTGCCCATTGATTCTCAAAGATTTTTCCCTCATATATTACTACAATGAAGTGCATTGAAGTGGTAAAAATTTCCGTTTGAATGGAACATTTTGAGCTTTCTTTTGAACTTTGATTGTCACATAATGACATTTCTTCAGAATGGAAAAAAAGGTCAAATGGTTCATGCGAATACCTGTAGAACAGGTATTCTATAAATACAGTAGCCAATCAGATTGGCAGTGTACATAAACATCAAGTAAACACGTGTTCGACCGGTACGTATGGTAACTTCAATAAACAGGATAAATTCATAATTATGTACACATTCATTGCACTGCTGACCCTACTGAAAATACATCATATTTTCCATTTTATTTGAAAGGAAATGGGGTTTATTGCTGCAAGACATTGTGACCGATCAACACTCCTAACTCCTCCATGGCACCTGATCCCACCTCTGATATTTTTATTGGTCCATGTTTGCTCTTCCCCAATTTGTATTGTTTCAATAGACTTTCTGAGATTGATTACTGTTCGTTATCTCCATATTTCATGTAAAACTGGTCCCCTACTATGGCCACACCTACCCCATGAAGCCATGACTTGAACAACTCAAATTTTACAGTGTTAGGGAGATTTCACATAAGCTTCATCTCTTCTGACCTAGTACTGGTTCTTGGGAGTTTTAAAAGCCCCATCCTATTTTGGCTTTTTCTTATCTCCCCTTTGAATGGGCCCATACTCTAATTGAACAATTTTGAGACCCCTTTAACCAAGGATACTCTTTTGCAAAGTTTAGCTGAAACTGGCCCAGTGGTTCAAAAGAAGATTTAGAAAACTTGGAAAATATGTCTGATGGATGTCAGATAAAGATTGATCAGAAAAATTCACTTTAGCTTATAGCTCTGGTGAGTTAATTTTATTCTATGTCCCAGTCATATAAACAGAGGACATAAAACAAGAGGTTCATGTACCACTATGCTCATCTGAGTAACCCTGGCCCTGCTAAATAAGATTTTTCTTATCTATTCTGTAGTAAAACTTTGATCCCCTATTGTGGCTAATCTTTTCCCAAGGAGGCCCTGAATCCAAACTCTAAACTATAGAGAGAACGTTGTATGTTAATGTGAGCTAAAAAAGATGCGAGAATGAAGTTCTAAATCAAGTATACAGCAAAACAAGATATTCACACAAGTCTAAAATAATACGGTTGACCAGATATTTAAAAACGTACATCTTAGAGAACCTGATCTTTACTACCTTGGTGTCTTTGGCATAATAAAGTTTTCTTCCTTTCAATTTAAAATATCTTCTTTTCCACCTCTGAAAATGAAACGAATTTTTTTTAAAATATTATATATTTATATTCCAGTTGCCTATGTATTAATTATGTCGTGAACTGCATATATTATTCATATCTGTTTAAAACCCAATATTTCAAGCTTTTTTCAATATTTCAAATACAACAAACCTCCAAAAAAAAAGTGCATTTGTACTAATTTGATTTTGTAGTTTTCTGTCCCTCTTTTTATCCAATTAATCAGCTGTTAAACTATTTTCATCAATATATCTCTGTTTTGGCAGTAGAAATAAACTGCACTTAAAAACACAGCAATATACACATGATACAGTCTTCTATCTTGTACTGGTAATAATTTTAATGTACATTCTTAAAATCTCTTCACATTTTCAGAATTAACTAGTACCTGAAAATTTGTCTGTTTCATCAAATGACCTTCTTTGGTGCATGCCTGAAAAGTAAAGGGATAAATTTTAAACGTATTTGTTTGAAATGTTTAAAATGATACATGAATAAAATTTATATTAATAACTGTCATGCATGTTTTTTTTTCTTTTGGGGGGGGGGGGGGGGATCATTTGTGTGTAATAATCAGGTAGATATACAATGGAATAAGAGCGATCTTCAGTATGTAACAGCTGGAGTCACCTTCAGTTATTAACAATTGATTTTTTTGTCACAGATCACTCACACAGTATTTATAACAGATACAAGTAGCTTCTCCCTCTTATTGTAGGCATCAAAAATCAATATGAAAAAAATCGCACCAATTCCCCACCAACTGATCACCATCCCCCTTCTGCCGTGTGATGGTTCTTCTTGTTTGTATGTTTATGCAACACTTTTTGAGGCCAACCACAAAAAATTATTTGTTTGATGTACTCCGACCAAGCCGTCAAAATTGCTTCTACCTGATCATTTTTTTTCAGTACTTAAATTTTAGAATTCTTTTTCTTTTTTCAAGGGAAATACAGATTGTCTGTATCAAATTTAAAGTTAAAGTTTTATCATTTGCCTAAGACATATTTAGATTAAACATTTTATAGCAATTAATATTAAATCTGTCTTCCTGTGTATAATGAAAACATCAATAAATTCCTATGTCTGTGATTTTTCTTATGATTATCAATGAGTAAGATAATTCAAAAACAAGAGATGTTTGTGAAACACTTATCCCCCCCCCCCCCCTTTAGACATACATTATAGGGTGCACAAGCCTTTATTAGGAGCAGAGTACATGGAAATGAAATTGACCTTTTGAACTTAAAATCAATAGGGGTCATCTACCGGTACTATCTGAGATGCATCAACCAGAAATACCCTGGTAGTCTTCTTCATCACATCTTTGGCAAAAACACGTTTCTCATGATATATCAGTCATTAATTTGTTCAATCTTTGCAGAGATAATGAAAAGCAATAAAAAGAACTTTTCTAAGTCCAAAGGGCATAACTCTTGTCAAAAATTGCTTGATTGAACCCACAACACAACTTGACCTAGATATTCTTATGATAAATCTGAATATTAAATTTCATTTCAGTATGTGCAACCTCTGCAAAGAAAACGAACAGAAACTGCAAATAATTGGAATTTTTCTAAGTCCAAGGGCATAACTCTGTCAAAAATTGCTCGATTGTACCCAAAACAGAACCTGACCTAGATATTTCTATGATAAATCTGTATACCAAATTTCATTTCAGTATGTGCAACCTCTGCAAAGAAAATGAATGGACACTGTTGGTGGACCGACAGACAGCAGCAAAGCAATATGCCCTCCCTTCTTCGAAGGAGGGCATAAAAAAAACCTACCTACCCACCTTGAAACAGGGCCCGCACACCACATTTTGGTACTGGGGCCATAGCTGTTAAAACTGTGATGGGAATTTGGGAAAAATCAATATACATTAAAGATTCATCATATTTGGGGTTTCTAGTGTTTGATATCACCTAAATTTCCATTTTGCAATATGCAAAAGCATTAGCAGCAAGTTTATTTATTGTTTATCCAAATACTGTGAAATCAATTTTCATGGGGGTTTAAGTTTTGTTGTTTTCGAGGAACGAAAATACCCATAAATTCATGTCAACCACAACATGTAAAATTTCATATACATAAACTACTCAATGCTTCCCCAACAAAGAAATAAAATACTCCCAAACCAATATTCTTCCTTCAAACCTCGAAAATTCGAACCCAATGAAAATATGTGATATTGAGGATATGCAATGTTTTGTAGATAAATATGGAATTTATTTCATGAGTAGGACAGGATTTTTTTTATATTTTCACAAGTGCGAAGCATGAGTGAAAATATAAATCAAAGTACTGAAAGTACTGAAAGCCGGGCTTTAATATGTTCGAGTGTATTGTCCAATCCTAAATTAGTACATATTTGAAAAATCTTTCTTTCTGACCATTGATATTTAACAGGTAGAGTTAGTATGATTATGATTAACAATAACCCATCTACCAATAATTAAAAGTTACGGCCAGAACCCAACGTTAAGACCCCAGGATAGGACTTGGTGATATTTTTAATGAAAATACATTTATACCTTTCTAAACATTAAGCTCACAATGGTTATGCATGGTAACAGTGCACTTTGAGTGGTTTTGCTGATTCATACAGGCACATATATAGTATCGGAGGAGCTAGGGGTGTCACCATTTTTCAAACATAAACTTTTACAATGGACAATGTACATTGAAAGGTTGATTGACTCTTCGCAATCAAATTTAAATTGGAACTTTCAACTCACTCTTCGTAATATAAACCAGGTATTTATCTCGAGCGACGAACAGATTTACTAAAAGCAAAATGGATAGTCTAATTTTGATTAGATTGTACCCATCATTTTATTGTAGCATATTAAAAGTACGGTAATTTGGTAATGAATTAATGAAATTCGAAATGTGAAAGTAAGTTGTAGCCCACCCCTACTCCTTCTCCAACGGAATAGGATTTTCGGGTTTGGACAATTCTCCTTTTTTCTGATAATGATACTACATGCCTGTATTAATCAGAAAAGAAATATTCTTTATTTTTGGTCCTCTAGGAAACCAGCTGCACGAAAATTATAATTATCTAATCTTTATGACATGAACATGAGTCTAGTTCTAGTTCCAGGTTCGGCCATAATGGTTATTGCCTGAGAAAATCATGATGTATTCAGGTCTTTATGGCTCGTACATAGATGGCTCTTCATTCTGAACAGGAAGTTTTGAAGCAAAGACTAACCAACTTTTTCTGAAAAATTATAATGTGTTGTACTTAGATAAAGACTAATGAACATTTTTATATGTTGTTTTCTTTTAATTATATATTAACATAAACGATTTTTATTTCCCAGCACCCTTGAGAGCTTGCATGTGTTTTAAGACCATTTTTTTGTTTAGAATGGGCGCGCACGCTCAATATACTGTAAAGCGCTTTGGGAGCACATGCGAGATGAATCCAAGGTGAGAAGTCTCGAACAAAATTTTCACATTCAAAACATACCATTGACTTTTCACCAAAAATTTGATCCGAATTTGTAAGCACAAAAATTTTCGACGCTAAATTGATTGTTAAATGGGTATAAATAATTTATATATTATACATAAACATATTCACATGAAATTTCTATCTTAAAGTTTACATTTTTATTTATTTATATTCCATGCTTCACAGAATATAAATCTTTATCCCAGTCATTTAAATTAATACTATTAAATTAAAATATTAACCAAATGGAATCGCATTGTTTATTTCATATTATGAAAGAAAACAAATAGTTTTGAACTTCATTTACATCACCTTTACACAAGATCTTAGTCGCTCGCGTGGCGCAGTGGTAAGAGCGTCTGCTCTAGAGTCGCGAAGTAAGAAGTTAATCCTTACGTCGCGGGTTCGAATCCCACTGTGGGACATGGAGACCAGTCCTTCCGTTGAGTCCGTATAAACCGTGGTCCCGAGTCGCAATAGGTGCTTGCATGAAAAAGATCCCTCACTGCTCAATGGCCGTAAGTGCCGAGTATAGGACAAAATTTGGAGCTCTCCACCGGCAAGTGGTAGTGTCTCCATATGAGTGAAAAAATTCTCGAGAGGGACGTTAAACAACATACAAACAAACAAACACAAGATCTTAACCATCATAAGGATTTTTGTTCGAAATTATTTATTAGAAAGGAGAAAGTTATTTTAATTGCATTCAGGGTTTTCGAAGTAATACCGTATTTTCAAACCCTTTTCTTTAAACGCATTCAAATTTTAACTTTTTTATTTGAGCAGTAATATATTGAAAACATTACAGCATTACCAGTATTACAACTGTAAGATTAATCTTCATGAATATTTACATACATACATCATTAGGCTAAAGAAAATTTGTTTGTTTCCGGTTATACCCGACTGACCTCCTACACATTTTTTTTTCAGAAAATTACGAGTATCCGTAACTGTCTCTTTGTTTTACAAATTCGTAATGGCGGCGCACTTGTTTGCTGCAAGTAGTCGGTGTTCGCTGTTATTTTATGCCGTTAATATAATCATAAAATCATCATCTTTTTGCAATTATTTTGAAAGGAAAAAATTAATAAATTGTCTCCTGTTAAGCCGTTTTCACAAGATCAACCCTGAAAATATCAGCAGGAATTAACACGGTATCGTACCAAATTACATCTGATAAATGACCACCGATGTTTTTAAAATTCATTATTACATTAAATTTCTTGCCATTCAAGACACCTTAATGCTATACTGATCTTAAAAAACAATTACAGATATCACGACATTGTTAGTGAGCTTACTGCATGTTTATACATGCATCACGGACGTAAATTCAGACTAATTATACTATAATATCAGTAAACGAACAAAAAATGTCATACATTTTTTTTTAATTCTACCAATAACATATGGCTAGTGAGGAGAATATATAAGTCATTTGTTTTATTTAATGTCACTAATTTAAACATTTAAGGTCACTAATTTTAACTTTTAAGAAAACAATTTTTTACAAAAAATGTTTGTCTGTCAATTTCCAAACTTTTTTTAAAAAGAATGTTGAACCATATGGTTTGCTGATTTTTCTTTAGATATATTTGAATTAGAATTTAATTTTTTAAAAAATTATATTCATATTGGTTTAATAATTTATGTAATTCATAGTTAAAGAAATGCACATATTTTTAGAGATATTCTTAAAGTTTCAAACAAACAGTACTTTTATCGCCGACTAGATACACCAGATACACCATGTACAATTGTCAGGTGACCTAATTCAGGCATAACGCACATTAATTAATTCTTTAAACTCCAATTTACTTATCTATTTATTTGCTGAAAGACAAAACAGAGAATATAACCACTCACATAACATCGACGAAAACGATATGAAATATAGGCAACCTGTCGAAAAGCCCGCGCTTATTGAAAATAGTTCGCTTACAATATGCATTCAGTAGCGTATGTGCACAAATTGTTATATCACGATTACCCTGATAAAGTAAATATCTAATTCCTCTTTCAATTTAATTCTCAAACAAAAATATTGATCAATTAACAAATCCGTAGATTGAGATGTAAAAAATATTTGTTTAAGTATCGTCTTTCAATGTGACTATTTTGTTTATCGGAAGCGTCTGCTTTGACGCTGTTAGGTTTTTTGTTTACTTTTCTGAACATGTGCTATTTATAGTAAGGCAGTCGATCACGATGCCTACAGCCAGGACTTTGCTTTCAGCAAAGCCCGGCTAAAAAAATCCTGTCCCACACATGAAATAATATCCATATTCATCTACAAAACATTGAATTTTCTGTTTATTACATTTTCTTAGATTTTCCCTTTGCCTCTGTCTTTTTGTAACACAGCGTCATAGGCTGTGACATCATAGCTAAGCGGTTGAGACATCATAGCAAAGCGATTGCGAGATTATAAAAAACCATTGTAAACATGGATTTTTAATGACATATTTGGAAAAACTTTGGAAGTATAACTATAAGTCTCTGTCAGGATGGCTTATTAACTCTATCCTATAACAGGCCAGGAATTTTTTTTTAAAAAAACACTCTTCGTGAAGGGAAGGAAAATTGTAAGTTTTGCCACTCTTCTGATATTCTCACACTGTGAGGAATACCATTTTGATATCCTTTCACAATGTGTCAGAATATCACTTTTATTCAGTAAATAAATTACAGTATTTCACTGTTGAAAATGTAATAATTCACAGTATATGCTCTTTAATTTTATGGGGGTAATGACTATTGGAAAAAAAAAGAAGACATTTTCATTTGGGGAAGAATGTGCCCTCTTTGAATTGGGAATGGGGCCTTTCAACAATTATAGACAACAGAGAGCCCTGTGAAAAATGTGGGTCAGAGTACATCAAACAAAATTTTCTTTAATAATGGCCTAACATATGTTTACGTCATAGTGACAACAGTGCCATGTACATTTTGGTAAAACCAGGATGACATAATCATCATTATAAAATCTCAATGGGTTTGTGACTGTGTTTATATACAGTAAAATGTACTAGGTACATTAAATATTGTTTCTTTTAAACTTTCAGTTTAAAATCCAATTTCCCCCTTCCCTCCTAATCTATTCCAATACAAGGTCACAAAGTTAAAACTAAATCTTCACGCACACCTGCAGCTTTCCCCTGGGGACAATCCAAAAGTGCAGCACTGATAGTGTTTGTAGAGTTCATGTCTATACAGTACCATGATAATCATTGATTCCTAATGCACTAGAATACACATCAGGTTGACAGGAATATTGGATCTGCACATATTCATACAAACTATAAAAATTTCATAAGCCTGAGCGGGCATGTTTACAGGAGAGATAAACATGTGATCTGATGGAGGAATAACCGTAACTAAAATAAGATCCTTAATAGCCAACATCAGTGTTTAACATTGCTGCTGATATATAGGGGAAAAAAGGTGCTGTTAATTGAACTAATTTTCTGGCGCTATTCTATACATAGAACTTTACAACAAGGAAAGTCATGAAATACATTCAATACAGTAACTATTATAGAACTAGATATTAACCAGTGAATAGAACCCATGGTCTTATAAATGGTCAAAGTTTAAACTATATATACTACACTTAAATACAAAACTGTTTATATATATATTTCTTCTCTTATATATTCAAACTTACAATTATATCAAAAAATGTATTCCATGTGGGAAAAATTATTTTCTAGCTATGCCAAAACTGACTTTGGGTGCAAACAGATAGCATTTCCTCAATTCATGTTTATTAAACAACTTAATGGCACTTGACCTTATGAGGAAACCAACCATTACATTTCATTTTTATAATGGTAATTATTATATTTCCCGGATATTTCCAATTCTTTTTTAAATTCAATCCCTAAATTGACACACCACAAAGTTATGGCTTAAATATGAAGCAAGAGAAAACAAGCAAGAAAAGAGTTTACATACCAGTGTTTCAGCATCTAGGACCTGAAAGAAGACATGCAAGGCAACCAAATAATAATCATGCAAAAAAATAGATCACACACAAAAAAAAAACACAAATTCATCATCTACAAACATTTCATAAGAGGATACAACAATTATATAATGACCAGTGTATTTACATGCAATACTGCAATCAATGAGAATTACTATAAGCAAACTATTTTTGTCATGGACCATTTACAAATCTAAGATACAACATGCTAAAATAGAATTTACTACATCAAATCAATAACAAAAATAAAGCAATCTTTTGATTTAACTTGATAAAAGGCCCATCCACCAAAAATCTTCCCAAGATGTATAAGCTTGATGTGCTAAAATAAGTTGTGTAACAACAACTATCAACATGATCAAATGTAACAAATTGCCAGACTGTTTCTATCTACTATTTATTTAAGTGCATTCTTTTAAGCCCCATGAATTTTGCTAATTTGCTACACTTGATTTCAACAGTTTCAATTTTAAAACGAACAGGCAAAATTAGACCATATTGAGAATAGGTTTTTCATCAAATGGAAAAAGAGATGTTTGATCAACCTTAAAACATTAAATGTGTGATTCAATGGGAATAAATCCTGGCAATTTAATCACATAAAATTTAAATTTCATATAATACGATGGAAATGTTTTCTTATCAAATTCCCATGCCGTGGAACATAATTTAAGCAAAATCCATGAATGTCTTGAAATAGTCTCCTACATAAAAATACAGGATATTCAGTGTTTTGAACCAAGATATGAATAAATTTCACAAATAGGACAGGAATTATATTTTTTGAGTGCAAAACAAAAGAAAATATAATATTTCAGCTGATAAATTACAGCATTTCACTATTGCAAATGTAATATTTTGATAAATAATAGAAATTTGCACATGTTTTGATTTTTTAAAATATATTCATATTTGGTGAAATTATTAATGGACCATTTATATTTACTTTATACGAAATTAAATGACTGGAAGTTAAGAACAGGTAATAGTCCATCTTATCCATTTTTATTCAATTCAGTATTGTTATTATTTATTATATGAAACATCATTACATGGATAATTCTGTTGTTTTCTGTACATTATCAATATGTTTATGACAAGACATTCTAATTCATAGACCTAATTCATATCTCACAATGCAGGTAAACACATAGCTTCTCTGCCTCCCTCGCAATCCTGTCACCAGCATCTGTCAACCTCCAATCAAGACAGACGCCGATTCAAAAAATTCAACTTACGGAGGATTTAATCTCTCTGTTGGTTGATATACGCCTGTGAAATCTCTTGGCCGGTTCAGGTTCTGTCTCGCTCTCAGAAGAGTCGTCTGCAATAGCAATTTCCACATGTTTTCCATTTTTCCGTGGAACTTCTGTCACACAAGCCGCCATCTTTATTTGCCACACTTGCCACCAGGGGTCGCGTTCGATGCTGTTCCTCTAGGGAGAATCTCGTAGCTGACTGGAGCGCCTTGCCAGTGATGTTTGCTATTTATCCCACACTAACCATGCTAACTGTAAAGTATTTCTATTTGCAGTGACACTTTTTCCATATCCATTAACCATTTATAGCTCAATTTGTTAAGTAATTTAGTATAAAAAGTATACCGACGTGAGCCGGTAATATTTTGCCTGTACATTAATCAGTTAATACATTAATCAGTTAATAAATATCCAAAGATTGACAAATAAATTAATTACGTACATTTACTTTGTCTTTTTCTTCAAATACTCCAGTGATATCGGAGGGGTGCTTTTGTTTTTGATATTCCTGTGAGGAAAGAGATTCAAAAAATACTTAAGCTTCCAATGTTTCTCCATTATGCATATATACAAGATGTGGTCTGGACATTAATTTTTTTTTTCTTTGACCATAACGCTACAGATCCCGTAATGCAAATATGGTGCAATTTTCTGAGCGCGGTTGGGGGGGGGGGGGGATTTCTCCACTTTTCAGCATTGGTCAATCAACTACCCTTCACTCCCCAATTCTGAACACATTTTTTAACCAAACTGTATATCTTATCCGATGTTTTTCCGTAAGAAAGTCACAATATCAATTTTACACTTTTTATGGTGACCTTGAACTTGTTGGAATGACCTTGGGTCACAATAGTCAAAGTCACAATACGATCTCGGGTAACAGGTGAGCAATCTTGTGTAACAGTGTAAAGAATGACTTCAATAATGTATGTGTATAATTATTGTCTTCCTGTACAAAAAAATTACCTTCAGAGTATAATAATAGCATTAAGGTTTTTTTTACAGGCAAAATAAAATTCTCAGTAGACTCCGTCGGTTAAATTACAGATAATTTACTTAATATCAAATTTAAAAAACCCTTCAATCATTTGTTTTGTTAATTTTGTAAAATGTAATTATCAGTTGGTACAGGATGGGAACAGCTGTTTACATATAAGCCTTTTCTTTTTTTGTCCCAACAACCATCGATCGTCTTTGTTGCTGTCGTCGAACTTTTGCAATTTCATTTTCCCCCAAAATCCCTGGACCAACAAACGTCATGGCACAGAGTATCCTTTGTGTTACAAGTTTGTTCAGCCTCCTTCTAAGGCAAGGCTGTCGGAACATGAATGCGTTTTGGGTGCAATTCCACCCTTTTATAACAAAATACTAAGAAATATTGCATGTATATTTAAACATAATTCATTATTTACCTGTGTTTCCAGGAAATGCTGCTACATATTGTCTATTATATTTAAACAGAATTCATTACATATACGTGTTTCCAGGAACGCTGCTACATATTGTTTATTGGAAGATACCGAGTATGTGAAAAAAAAGATACTTGTACTTCCAGATTAACTCAACAGCTAATCCGCCATAATGCCATTAATGGTACTAATTTTTGTAACAGTCTAATAAGAGGAGGAAATAGGTATTCTTCCCAGAACCCTCCACAGCACCCACAGGCACTTGTTTCGTATACGGGGCACCCCCTATACTTGTTTTCACCACTTTATTTTTACTATTTTATTTTAAAAATAAGTAGGGGGTGCCCCGTATACGAAACAAGTGCCTGTGACAACACTCCCCTTTCCAGAAACTTGGCAAAAGTCCTGCTATGGGAAAAGGGGAGGAAGAAAATACAAAATAAGATAGAGTCATTTAAGAAAAATCTTCTCAAGGGCATAGGTGATGTCACAATAGTGGATAAAAAAAACTACATGGGAATAAATATAGTCTTTAGATATCGTTTCATCGCCAGGTTGTCCGAAATTAGTTATGTTAATCTGCAAACATCTATTCCCAGGCAATGGAAATTCAAAACTGTTGATATCATTGGCCCGGGCTTAGGATGGGGCTACACGAGGGATCAAAGTTTTATAGGGGAATACATATATACATTTACATGTATATATAGAGAGAGAAAATGAGAGAGAAAGAGAGATCTTTGAAAATCTGCTTTTCAAGAGCAGCAGAACCTTGATTAATAATTATACAATCTTCCTCAGGTGGAGAGGAATCAGATTTGTTCGAATCATGGCCTCTAGGTGTAGGTTTGAGCCACTATATGAGATCAAAGTTTTACATAAGGATATGTAGGAATTTTAAAATTTCAAGCATAAAAAATTCGTTAGCAAACCTCCTACATCGTACAAAAATGTAAGCATTCCCAGGATATGTTTATGTTCGAGGATGTGTGTTCACCCCCCACCCCCCCTCTACACACACACACACACACAATTATGGACACTGGGGTTAAAATCGAGCATGAAATTTAACCTTCTTTCAAGATATTTTTAGAACATATGACCATGTTAGTTATATTAAAGCAAATCCATATTATGTGGATTGAACACTTGGGGATAGGGCGCGGCCACAAAATAGAGTCCAGAATTTTCATGTGAATAAAGATGGAAATTTTTTTTGGGGGGGGGGGGGGTGAACAGGCCGAGTCAGTGTGACTCGGGTGAGCATTGTGGCACATGGGACTCAAGTCATAGATTATGTGTACTTTTCGTTTTAAAGGGAAAAACATCATGTTTGTATCGTTATGATATTAAAACAACTAGGCCGATGGGAACCATGGAACGAAGCTAACGTACAGTTGTACCCCTCAAAATATCTGATGGCCTTTTCTTTCTTTCTTTTATTTCTTTTATTTATTTATTCATTTATTACGAACAGTGATCGAACCCGTATATCCTATAAACACTACAAATCTAATCATAGACCCTTGGAAAAAGTAGAGGTGGAATCAGATGCAAAGGCGGAGTAAGTATCCCCTATTGACTAACTATTGACTAACTACGGAGATTTGTCGGATTTTATCAGCCTAAAGCAGGCACGTAGTATCGGGAGGTCTGGTCCCCCTTTTTTCAAAACATAATTTTACCTTTGAAAATGCTCATTGAAATGAAAATTGCCCACCCACTTTTTGTTGTACATGTAGCATAATTAAATCATTGTAATTTTGCAATGTATTGATAAAATTTGGTTGTGAAAGGAAGTTGGAACCTACCCCTACCCACCCCCATTCCCCCACGAAACAGGATTTGCGAGTTTGGACAATGTTTTTTTCTGCTTGTCACAGTTTTTTCAGGTAAGTTGTCAATTTTTTTTTGTTCTAGCCCCCCCCCCTTTCCAAAACAATACTACATGCTTGTAAAGTTGAGGCTAAGCCAAAGTCCCGAGAAATTCCACATACAGCTTAGTACAGAATGCTTATGTTATTTAGAATTACAAACACATCTGGGATTGTTTAACAAAGTCTAATGTTGTATACATTATTACAAAAGGAAATGGACAAATTTAAGGTAGTCCGATCCTCAGGTTCTGAAAATCAGGCATTGAATAATTGAAAATGCTCACAAAAATGTTTCCGAATTCTCAAAGGAATTGTTCAAACTTCATCATTAAGTTATTCATATTATATAGGAAAAATTATTAAATCTCAAATGAATTTTCAGGAAATGTGAATAAAGACACCTACTATGCATTTTTTATAATTGGAAATTGATCAACAAAAAACATTTTAGGATAAAAAAAAAATTATAGGTATCCAGGCATTTGAAGAAAATTGCATGATTTTTATACTCATAGCATACAGTAGTACTTTAGTTTATTCTGTGTACTTCAATTATTTTATAATGTATAGTTTATTAAGTGTTTCCTATCATTGCAAAACACCATAAATAATTTCTAATTGATTTCATATCATGCTAAGTAGCATTGGTATCTAAGGCTAAATTAAAGGAAAAGTCGATTTCTTTAAATCAGGTATTTCTAACATACCTTTATATATAGGGTAAAAATATCAACGTTTTAAAAGACTGCCTCTAAAACTTCAAAGAACTTTGAATCACATTGAAAAATTGTTGCATGAAAAGCTTCATTTTGAGACTTTTTGAATTAAATAATAAATTAAAGAGTTATCCTTCCTGGCTGAGGATCGGATATCTTTAAAATAAAAAAGTTACTGGTCCTTTCCCTTCATAATTTAAAAATATAGACAGCATTTTTTTTTTCATTTATGGGTCACGATTAAAAAAAATGATGTATACCAGTTTCTGTGAAATGTGTATTTATTCAAAAAATATTTATGTATATATTTACTCAAAAGTACTTAAGGTCAGACGACACGTTCCTCAAATATATGTTTTGTATGGCTTGATATTATAGAAAAAATTATTCAGTGTTATCATTCTCGATTTCTAAATTGTTTTTAAAAAATAAGTACACCAAAAGTCGTGATATTCGTAATTCAAAAGATTGCCCATAAGGATTATATAAGAAATATCACCCTCTGTTAATTTGCCCAAATGCCTGGTAAGATACCTCAATTTTTTGTGAGAAAACATGTTTAAGTAGCAATACTTCAATGATAAATTCTTGGGAAAATTTATGTATTTTCGAGGAACGTGTCGTCTGACCTTAAGGAATTTACACTATAGTTCCAGTCAATTTATCACGAAGCATGCCATCAAACATTTCTTTTTGTTATAAATAAACTCTATAGAATACACAAAATAAATGTTATTATAAAGAATATGACATAATCGGATGAGGGGAAAACATTATTTTGGGGGTCATAAATTTTCTATGAAGAATACCTTTTGAAAGGGACATCACTCTTGTCAAAGAAGATGGGCGAGAAGGCGAGCGAAATGCCAATATAAAGACGAAAAATTGAATCTCAATTGTTACAAAATTTTCTTTGGTACTTCGTCTAACATTAAAGTATACTTTATGTAAAATCTCCACAATTCGCACAAATCTCACAGAGATTGAAATAATTTGCATATGAAATGGAACACAGGACAAAAAGGATCATTCTCTCATAATTTAAGGCCTTTCCAAGTTTTTTTTTCTCTGTTTAGCGTCCACCCATCTTTCAAAAACCTACCTAACTATTCGCAAAAAACACACAAGCCCAAAAATAAAACATAGGCTTAATAGCCATAAAAATGGTGTCATTTTAACGATTTGATTTCATGAATATATTTTTCTGGAAGAAAGGTACAGTACGTCTATTCTTTAGCAAGCTCAATGTATTTTAAAATGCTTAAAATACACCCAATATTACACATTATACACAAACATTTACAGAAATTGTCAGAATTCAAAGATTTCGATCCAAAATGATCCATTTCAGGACTCTTGATTTTGGTTTTTTTTTTCTGATATTGGGTGTCTGAAACCAAGGCGCATGCGGACGCTAAACAGAGAAAAAACTTGGAATGGCCTTACACAATTTTCCATATGAGTGGGTCTTCGCTTCATATTTTTGAAAGTTTATCCACAAAGTTTGCGTAAAATATACATTTTTTGGTTAACAAAAACCTTTTTTCAAAAAAAAAAACAAAGGAACATGTGTAAGTCTCAAAAGAATTGATACCTTAGGATTTATTTTGCTAGGGTTCGAAACCCAAGAATACCACATTATCTTTTTTTTTTTAAATACATGTATTGAAAAATTTTTGACGAGAAAATTTTCCTGAGAAAAGTTTTGTTTGTCACAATTTCATTTCAATAATGAGAATTTCAATCTAAATACTAGATTCACAAATTAAAATAATTTTTATCTAAAGCTATAGGTATTCTGCACTACTAGTTCGCCCATCTCCTTTACAAGTCTCACTCGATAGAAGCGCTGTCTTTGAGTCAGATTTGATGTGAACACAGTGTTAACTTCTTTACGAAGTCAGTGACGAGCCTTCTTTCTTGGCATCTTCGCAAGGCAATTGTTTTCGGTCCGCTTCACTCCCCTAAAGAACCGAAAACCCTTGGTTTGCAATCAAAGATGCTTTCTTGGGTGATGCCCCCTCCCCCAACCACAGAAAAACCCTGGGGGGTATAAGGCCATATCCAAAGCAAAGCTGATTTACAGTTGTATCCCTCATGCAATGATCATGTAGGAAAAAAGAACAAGATGAAAATAACGAACTGTGATCAATCTCCTAAATCCTGTAAAAAGAACTTAAACACCCGGCCCATACATGGATGATGGAATTCCAATTTAACATCTCTATTTATATTTCCACCCAGCAAAAATTTGTTACTCTTCCTCTGGAAATGATATTTTTCCTCCAGGAGGGTATTCATACTCCATGGCAGTATTAATTTTTTGTTTTCCTTTATATTTTTCACCAATTCAAAAATGCATTCTCATCATAAATGACACTTACTTCTGCAAGATTTTACGAATTCCTTGATCTGCTTCATCAATTCTTGATTCAGTTTCAAATCGTTAATCAATAACAAACACCAGGCTAAAATTTCAGATCCTTTATTTTTTAAAAAATCATTTTTATGTTGTATAAATCCCGATTCCTACAGTTACTATTATTAATGCCAAATCAAACACATTACTAACTATCCATTCTGACAGTTTCACTAACCATTGATAACATTTTTCATGGCAGAACAGTCAAAATGCTCACGGTCCAAAAACAAGCCTCCAGTTTAGGGACAGAGAACATGTGACAGTTTCCAAGATGGTCCACTTCATTTTCCAGTGCATAAAAATAAGAAGTCATCAGTTGGCAATTCATACTTTCAATGGAACTCGCATTTCAAAAAAAAAATATTAAAAAAATTTGCATACAGTTCTGTTAAACAAACTATCAACAAATACTTGAAACAATCAATTACACTCATCCAACTCTCTTCTCATGACATAAAGAAAAGCATCTTGCGTTCAAACATTCAAAAAGAAAAAGAAAAAAAAGGCAACATACACAAATTGTTAAAACTAAGTCATTAATGCAGAGGATGTGATGTTTACTAATGATACTAATGAACTGAGATTTCCATTTCAATACTTTTTTTTTAAAGATTATACTTATGACTTTAATCTCTGTAAAATGTATTGCAATTATGAATATTTAAATTCAAAAGGTCATATGCGAAAGCAATACTGAATTTCCTAATCATAGTGAATTTAAGCAACATGTACAAAGAAAATAATTATATTACAGATATATATACAATGTTTGTCCTGAATATATACGTTTTAGTAATAATCTTTGTAGGGGAATGTAACAAATACATCAGAGGAATAAAAAATTCTCTCCTATCTGTAATATTTAGGGTAGCTAATTAAACATCACAGATAAGACAGCCCTGTTTCTAGAACAATTAACAGAATTTGTAGTTACGAATTAAGCCCTAAATTACCATTAAATTTCAACAGATTATAGCAAATTCCTATAATTTCCTTATTTCCCAAACTGGTTCCACCCTGGTGGCCTTCTAACATTTTCCCTACAGTCTCTTCTCTCAATTACCTTCAAACATAAGGTTCCTCCCCAATAACCACATCCGTTTTATAAAAAAGCCACCCCTGCAACACTGATTGGTGTGAGAAAAAAAATTAGTTAAGTGTCCTAAAACATTTATCGGGTTAATCAACCATCAGTTCAAAGTGGACCATGCCGGCCTTCTCCAGCACATTGTGTCGGATGTTTCTGGCATAAGCTTTACATTGCACCATAATGAGAACTCCGGGCATGGGTTTAATGAATCGCGCCATCACTAACGGTGAGCGGTACACTTGCTGGTTAAGGAATGGGAAATATTTGAAGTGGAAACCACCTTGAGGATAGTATTCAATGGGTCCAATGTTGTCAACATCAGAAGGGTTCTATAAAGAAAAAAATGAATACTTCACATGCTACTGAAATGCAGAAATGGAGAGATTTCATAAATTACTTCTTATGCAACTACATATTAACCTCATATGCACTTGTCCTTGACATCTGTGACTGTGATACACTTAACTACAGATTAACCCTAGATTAACCTCTCCCCAATAAGATAGGGCTCCCAGAGATCAGCAATCTCTGGTAGATTAACCCTAGACTAACCTCTCCCTAACATATGACTGTGATAAAGATTAAAAATCTCAGGTAGATTAACACGATATCATTTGACTGTGATATGAGATTAGAAATCTCTGGTAGATTAACAGATTACTGGTAGATTAACAGATTAACACTATACTAACCTCTCCCTCACATTTGACTGTGATATGATAGGGCTCCCAAATATCAGCAATCTCTGCTGGTACTGTGTTGTTTGTGTAGGACTCAGGTTGCCAGTCAAAGATCTGAAACATTTGAAATAAACAAGAGGTTTCAAATCAACCTAGAGCATTCTGCGAGAAGATTATATTCTCTTAAGGATGAGTATAACATATCAATCTGAACTGCCACATCTAAAACACATAACCCAAAGAAACAACAGATTTCAGTACCTTGTTGAGCTTCAATAAAATACACGGCATTCCATCATCGAAGCCAAATGTCTGTTGCTTGACACAATCTGCTCCGAGATTAGCGGTCAGATCAAACCTACAAGCTTTGTCCCAGTCCTTCTCTGGACGACGTCCAGTCACAGAGTCACAGTCAGCTACAGTACCTCCATCCTGAGGACCCAAGTTCTGGTTCTCATAATCTAAAAGTTACACAGTCTCATTAATGTACAAGTTACACATTCTCATAATCTACAAGTTACACAGTCTTGTCATTACAAGTTAAACAGTCTTATAATGTACAAGTTACACAGTCTTGTCATTACAAGTTACACAGTCTCATTAATGTACAAGTTACAAAGTCTTGTCATTACAAGTTACACAGTCTAGTCACTACAAGTTACAGAGTCTCATAATGTATAACTTACACAGTCTCATAATGTATAACTTACACAGTCTCATTAATGTACAAGTTACACAGTCTCATCAATGTACAAGTTACACATTCTCCTTAATGTAAAAGTTACACAGTCTCATTAATTTACAAGTTATACAATCTCATCAATGTACAAGTAATGTACAAGATGCACAGTCTCATCAATGTATAAGTTACACAGTCTCATTAATGTACAAGTTACACAGTCTGGTCATTACATGTTACACAGTCTTATAATGTACAAGTCACACAGTCTCGTCATCACAAGTTACAGTCTCATCATTACAAGTTATACAGCCTCATTAATGTGCATGGAATATGCTAGTTTAATTAAAATTTCCTGTAGAAGTTAAAATTCAAAACTTGTTACCCATAAAACGTAATGAGTCATATGCTTATACATATATCAATTCATTACAAAGAAAAGATACCTGAACACTTTCAGATCATTAACATTAAACCTATGCAAAGCTGGAATATCACTAGCGTTTTGACCCCCCTCCTGACCTAACAAAGGACGCAGTCCTACTTACATTCCAGGTAAGCCTGTATGTGGTCTGTGTAGGGGGAATATGTAGAGGCATCAGCTTTTACGAATCGGACCAAAGTTGTCTGTACATCAGGTATAGGACGGAATCCAAGTCCTGTCAAAATTATATTACATCAACCACTTTTACTTCTCTCTCTTCACTTGTCAATGCAGGTTGTTAAATTCTATCAATTATTTGTGCTTTTAACAAGTTTTACTTATTTTTTTCATATATCAATGAATAAAACCAAGAATTATTATCATATATTCACTTCCTATCTGATCATGAATTGTTAAGTAGATATATCAGTATTTGACTTCTAATCAAGTAGTTAAATTTTACTCCTAATATGCACTTTATCTGTATATACATAAATAATGTGCAAAAACTCTAGCAATGTCTAAAACATGTCAAAGGTATTCTATTGTAACTGCTGAGGCGTAGTCATACCAGGGTTTTGTTTGAGGAGTGTGTCTGGTCCCTGGAGTCTGGGGTAGTTCCAGTCTAGTGTCTGGTAGAAGATGGCCATCATACCAGCAAAGAAAGCGGACAAACATGAGTAATAAATCAGGTAGAAGATACCAATCTGGGCTGTAAAAGACAGGAAATAATAGATAGATACAGTGTATATCATTGCTTTCATTTTCAATTATTAATTAGGCCAAAGTTTTTTTTCTGTTGGTTTACAATTCTGCCAACCCTAATTTTCACCAATCATGAAAATAAAAATAATGTCTTTGTCCTGACTTCTTTTTCAGGATTTTTCCTCAGCTGAACGATGGGTTTTAAAATTTAGAATGCATCTAAGTCAAATAAGTGCTCATCAGTATATGAGCCCTTTACAAACATTTAGATGACCGTAAATAAATGCATGTGCAAACCCAATAATTATATAGCGGTTACTGTCATAAATAAAAGGTAATTCCTCACTGAAACCAATGCCACACATTAAAAGAACTTTTTCTACATGGAAAAGTGAATCAAATCTTAGTTGCATGATGCCCTTTGCCAGATCTCTCCATTTGCAATGTCCTACTTGGCCCAATTTGAACAGGAATATTTATACTTTTAATTGTTGAACAATAATTACGTATATATTTCTTCAATATAACTTTAACTTTGAACCCTTATTTTTTGTTTGTGGGGACAATGAGGTTTGTAACCATTACATATCACCACAGAACATGCATTCATGAACCAAGCACTGATTGACAAATAAATGTCAGAACTAAATGAAAATGACATTCAGTCTATAAATTAAAAAAGGCATTAAAGGTGCTTAGACACAGATTTGAAGTTAATATTTACTCAAATTTTCTGTATAATTTCATGACTTATATGTTGCTATAGCATTTCATACAAAAATTCGATAAAAATCTTACTTTATCTGAAAGTTATTGAAACTTCGAATTTCTGGACGCATTTGATAGACACATCCTTGCACTTTCACAAATTTTAACTTTATCCTTATTGCTTTAGAAAAGTAGCAATTCTGTTGTTTATTAATGAAAAATATTAAAACTATGATGCAGAAATTTCAGAGTAGAAATGTAGAAAGCAAAATCCTCTCACCAGTATTGTCAGTCCGTGATCAGTGGTGTGTGCAGAGTTTAACAATTGAACACACCCGGTAAAACGTAAACATTAACAACAACAGAGCTCGTGCCCTGTTTACAAAAACAGTTTACGTTTAACGGGTGTATTCAATTTGTTAAACTCTGTACACTACTACACAACACTGAGCACGGGCTGACAATACTTAAGTGAGTGGGTTTTGCTTTCGCACATTTTTACTCTGAATTTTCTGGATTATAGATGTATTATTATTCATTAATACACAACAAAACTGTTACTTTTCTTAAGTATTAAGGATAAAGTTAAAAACTGTGAATGTGTTAATCAAACACATCCCAAAATTCGTAGTTTCAATAATTTCCAGATTAAATAAGTTTTTCATTTTATTTTCATGTGAAATGATATGGCAACATATAAGCTGTGATATTATACAGAAAATTTGAGAAAATATAAACTTCAAATCTGTGTCTATGCACCTTTAAGACTGAATAAAATGACTTAAGTTATCAAGAACAATAAAGCTTATAAATACAATTTCTGCATATTATTTTTATTCAAAACAGCTTTACTGCTATTTTAAAACAAATCATTTGAATCCTAAATTATTTTTATTTTTATTTTTTGACCACTCAATGCATATTTTTGAGACAGAATATCATAAACCTAAAAAAAAAAAAAAACACAAAAAAAACCCAACTGTGTCTTATAGTATATTTTTGTATTGGAGATTGTGAAGTTCATAAATCAATCTGGACCATAACCTTCTTATAATTGCTTTATATATAATGGCAAAACTCATCCAAAAAAGAGGGCTTTGATATAAGAAATGTATCATGTACAGTTTGGTCCATTTTATTATATTTCCATAATATGATTTAATGAATATAATTTTGTGTTAAAAATAAAGCTCATGAAAGGTTGAATGTAAAGAAGTACACCCTCCCAAATTAATTACTTTAGTGAATGTAAAATAGAGCTTTGTGTGTCAATTTGCATTTCATGCATCGCTGCTTCTGTTTTTAATGCAGAGAAAATTGACATAAAAAAAGAGAGAACACTCTAGTTCTTCCTATTTTGGGTCACAGATGGTTTGTTCCCAATTTTGATGATTATTTGAAACAAATTTTGTCCATTTAGTTCTAGTTTACAATAGCAGTGCTATGTACATCCCTTTATTTTTGACTTGCAAAAGTTGCAATGATAGTGGAAATTACATTCCACAGGGGATTGGGGAACCCCTTTTGTACATACCTAATGTCATTCTATAAAAGCAGTATGACAAAACAGTTACAAGAAGAGAGTTACATAATATTACAGATTATTACAGGATAACTTACAAAGGATACCTGTGGGCAGTCAGCTGGACAAATCATTGTGTCTAGCCTACTGTTTACACTGCATTTTATATCTGACTTACACACTACAAAGGTGTCTGAATAGAGGGATAAAATAAAAATTTCTTTTTTTTAAACTTCACACACTGGATATTTAATAAAATGAACTCAAATATGTTTTTACCTCATTTTTATATTTTGTCTTGTCAGTTTTGTTTTTCTTATTTGTTTGTATTTGAGTAAACAAAATAAAGCTTGGTAAATGGCATTTTTATTTAGTGTCATAAATTTAACTTCTTGGCTGAGAACATTTCCTTTACACAGATCTAAAATAGCTACACTTGTTTCACATTATCTTTGCACGCGGTGACAGTCGAAAGTGAAGGTGACCTGTAATTTATGCATAAGATATTAGACGTCTTGGTGAAATTAGCCCCAGGCCATAGTATTCCTTAAGACATATTCTGACACGGCATTCAAACGTGTTTCCCTCTACATAATCTCCTTCAACTACAATGACTTCTTTGGTTTCCATTGTTAATAAAATTCTGCTGCTTCTCCATATATCACTATGCAAACAATTTTTATCAATACTTTCATGTAAAATTCACAGACAATTAAAAAAGCTATATTGTAATATTTCAAATATCTCTTGACACCAATTCAAATAAATTTAAAGATTTATGTTACATCTTTCAAAATAAAAATCTCTGTAAATACTGTGTATGGAGATTTTTGTTATAATATGAATGTCTGAATCAAACTCGGTCAAGCAGAAAATTTCAGAACAAAATTTTAATGTTTTCAACAGCAAGGAGTTTGAAGGTCAAAAGAGTTTGAAAATACAACAACATATTTACTATAATTTCTCAATACTAACAACAAATTACACACCAGCAACACATACAGATAGAAGTATTGCGAAATGTTCACTGAGCTGACTTTAATGTACTTACTAAAGTATATACTTAATTTAAAAAATAATGCACTGAAAATGCTACAAGAACTAACTCTATAAACAAAGCGAAAACTGGGAGGACAATGTTTGCGAGAGCGGTATACAAGATCTATCTTTCACCCTTGTACACACCACCCTGTCTGTGGCCCCGTATACAGAGGACAATCAGCAAAGGTCATTTGGAGAAGACTGTATATTTCCTTGATTAAACACTATTAATTCCTCTAAACATTCCCAGATATTAAACACTTATGTACGACTTGATTAACGGAGCGTTCAATTATCACGAATTTTCTTTAAAATGCGCCGCTTCCAAATTCTTTTAAAGAACGCTAACTGCAGAGGACAAGATAACCCTGCAGAGTTCCGTTGTTGTTTAAAAACTTACCCCAGCTTTTGCCAGTTCTTCCGAGAACGCTTCCCTCCTCACTATTATACACAAAAGTACAGAAATCATTAACTCGTTGTCTGACGGTTGGATTTTGAGGTGGAACCGTTGTAGCCGTTTCTACACCTGTGCTAGCGGTGGACGCCATTTTTCCTGCTGAAGGTAATGAGAGAGTGGAAGAGAAGCCCGGATGTAACACTATTATAGACATAAGATCACGTGACTATGACGTTCGCATATGTACATATATATGTAAATAGTATTTGGTTTGAATATAGAATTCTTTTAAGTTTATGATGTTTATAAAAGAGAAGAGATGGAAAATATCTTCTCTTTATATAGTGGAAGATAAATTAGTAGAAAGCGAATATCCTTTGCAAAAATATTAAATTAAAGTCCTGTCCATTTTCACACCTGTCTGTTGTTGAATTTATCTTTTTTTTTTAAGTTGTAGGTAAAAACAAAATAAAATAAATGCATAAACGAAGGAACGAATGAATAACTCAATCAATGAAAGAAAAGATAAATAAATCATTCAGTAATTAAATAAATAAATATTTTAATAAAATGTTGACGAGGAAAAAAAATGATATGACGAGTTGTGGAAGTTCTGGAAAAAAATTGACTGTAAATAAATAAATAAATAAAACCTAGTTCTAAGGCCATCATTAAGAATATTTTTGTTTGATGTACTCCGACCCACAGTTTTCAAAGTGGGTAGGTAAGTAGGTAGTTTTATTTATTTATTCATTTTTTTGATAATTGTCATAAAAATCACAGAATCAGAAATTTATTGATGTTTTCATTACACACTGGATAGCTAGACAGATTTAATGTTTATTTCTATAAAAACTTTCAATCGAAAAAGCATTCTAGAGAAATTACATACATGTACTTTAGCTTTAAAAATAAAGAAACAAAATTAAAAATTCAAAGCGCTGAAAAAAATGATTGGGTAGGGGCGATTTTGACGGGTCGGTCGGAGTACATCAAATAAATCATTTTTTGTTGTTGGCCTAACTGTAAAGGGGACTGTTACAGTTGTTCCCCAAACACTCTCCTTCTCCCCCCCCCTTTTTTTTTTGCTAATTCACTTTCTTTTAGCTTCAGTAAATTAGGCCAAATCTTTTTATTACAGACTTGCAACTTATTTTCCAAAGTTTATTGGGGACAACAACTCAGATATAGGAAAATGAGTTGAAGCTAATCAGATTTCAGTGCAAGTACATGGACGTAATTGTTTCCAAAAATCGCCATATACATCATCTTATATATAGCATCTCAAGTATCTCATAATAAAGAACTATACATTTTAGATTTCAAAGATTTTCACTAAAATCGAGGAAAGTTACAGCAATCGGAATATAAACCAATCAGCACATATAGCACAAATGCATGCTTGTCCTCGTATTTTTTTTCTGAACGATATAGTAATATGTAGGGACATACAATATTTACAAACACTCTGAATTTCGTCTTGTTTTGGTAAAAACGTATTTAAGAAAGTAACGACTTATACAATCAGGTTTCAGTACATGTGCATGTGTGTCAGTATTTTCATATCTATTCTCTTACAGTATCTCTTACTACATGTACATACCTATGTACCCTCACCCCTGGAATTTTCAGAATTTATTATATATTTGTAAAAAATAACGACAAAAATTACCTTTGACCCCCCCCCCTCCCTGTAAACACGGACACCTCTTAAAACGGTAAGGAGAGTCATTTATCTGAAGAAAATTAACTTAGAAAAGTGCCTCCCCCTTCCCCGAAACAGAATTTTCAGGTTTTGACAAGCTCTCCTCCTCCTGCAAAAATATCATGGATCCGCCCCTGCTTAGTGATATTTAATTCTTCGGATGTAAGTAGTTGTAGAATATGACTGCACCTACGATGGAAATCTTGACTTTTAACCATGAAAGTTGCTGAAGGTCAAAGGTCAATGTAAACGTAAAGAAATTACTATTGACAATGATATATGAGCATGTGACCTTGACTTTCTTTGACCTTAAGGTCACAAGTCTTTTCAAATCAGCTTTGATTTTTCCTAAAGGTTATAATTGTTATATTTATGTATCTATCAACTAACCTTACCCTACCCCTCTCCCCCAATTCTTTCCCAGTGCAATGTAGGATATTTTAACTTCAAACCAAATCTCGGATCGACACAAAATTTTGGGATACTGTTGTCAAGACTTCATAGAAACTTTCTGCAAAGTTTGATTGTCATTGTTTCTCTAGTACCTAGAGACCATAACCATTTACCAGCTGTTAGCTCTCTTTGTATGCTCCAATGTTAGGTATATGCAAAGATAACAAGATAAAATTGAATTCCATCTGCATGATAACCAACTGACATTTTTTTCATGTACTCTTGGGTGTTTCGCAAAAAGCTTAATTTGGATTTTAAATTAATTCGATTCATAACCTATAGATAAAACCAAAGTTGTGAACTTTAATTATAATTAATGATATAATATTTCTATATTATGAATATATTGATAGTACAATGATATATCAATTCTAAAAATATTAATTCCAGGCCGTGGGGGAGGGCTAAAGGTGTCTTTTTTTCTTCAAGTAGTAAGGAGATGTTCATGTTCCCACTTACCAACACAGATTTACCTGTATTTTACCTGTATTTTTTTTCAAAATGTTGACTATAAGAAGACACCGTTGACACTTGTTGGTGAAACCTCGCCAAGGTATTGTATTAAAAAAATTAATTAGCTGACAATGTGTTTGAACCTCCCCCTTTCCCTCCCCCACTAAACTGGTTTATCGAGTTTGAGCAATTTTTGTTTGAGAGAGAGAGAGTAATCCGGAATTGTGTCTTCCAACCGGAAGTGACAGTAGTTGAAAGAAAACAGAGACAGCCATGTTTACGAAGTCAAAGTCGATCATATCAGTCAAAAATTATGTAAACAGTTGAAAGAAAACACGCAATATAGGATATTTTTTGTTAAATTCAGGTAAATTGAAGGTTAAAGTAATTTAACATCTAGATATCCTGTGGTAATATGGATGAAATTAGGATGACAGTTTTAGGAGTATCAGGGACCTAATTATATACTAGTATATAGGTCCCTGGGAGTATCGATGGCAATTTCAGTTCTTTTATCTTACTGGGTCTCTTAATATAATCCCCAGTACCACAACCCCTTACATATATATGGTGCAGTTATATAGATTTTTTTGCTAAGAAATATGATTATGTAAGAGATAGATAAGTAAAGGGACAGGCACTTGTTTCTGTAATATTTTTTTTAATCAATAGTATCTAACTCCGAATGACATGGAGTACCCCCTTCCCAGATTTACAGTCATTTACACTTTCAGAGGAAATGCATTGGCATTCTGTTTATTACCATTGTCTTCTACGATAATTTTTCTACATAAACCATATATGGCATGATTCCACTCAAAATTCCACTTGCGTGAACTACAGATTAGTACATACCTTTTCATGGTGTGATTGGAATTTTCTAGTTGGCGAGCTGAGTTTTGATCTATTTTTGGAGATAAAAGAAAATAAAGACAAGCATGCAATATATGGTTGTGTAGAAAAATTATCGTGAAAGACTGGTAATGAAAGTTTGTCAGAGATTCCAGAGTTTCAGAAAACCATCTATCCTACTGTCAAAACCGATATAAAATTGAAAAGTCTGATACAATTCGCTATTTCACTGGTCCACATGACTAATTTCTGCGTTAAATCCATTGTTTTTGGAAGTTTTTGTTGTACCAGTAAAGTTTTGTCTTTTTATAGTTAAATCAAAAAAGCCTTTAGTGAGTTACTTTCTGGCAATGCACCAAAATAAACAGGGGCAGATAATTCTAATTTACACTACTACAAATAATTTAGATAGTTCTGAATTTCAACAAGGGTGTATATTTGAAGTGAGAAAAAACATTGAGAAAATGAGTTGGATTTTTGTCTTTATATAGGTTATATATTAGGATAAAAAACATATACAAGCTCAAGAAGGTTTTGTTAGGATTAGGCCAAAAAAAATTAATAGTTTCACAGGCACCTCCGCATCAGGTCAAACACTGTCGCATTGATCAATTTTATTGACATATTGAAAAGGGAAATAACTAAATTTTCTATTTTTCCAAGTTTAAAAAGAAAATTGAGTTATTCCCCTTTTCATAAATGCTAATAGATGGACATTTTTATGAGATAAACAATACATTTCTTGTTAATACAGTATTTTATGAACTAATTTTGTTTGGAATAACACTATTTAAAGTTAAATACATATTATACATACATATTAGAGAACAAAAAACTAAGAGTCAGTTGATATCATGATCATTTTGTTGAATAACTGACATAAAAAAAAAAGGTATAACATCTGCTTCAAAAAAAAGAAAAGAACCTGCCTGCCGCATTGAATTTTGAAATGTTTGGCCTGAGAAAATATTAATTAATTGGCCTTAATTAAGTATTTATTTCTAGTGCAACTTTTGTTAAGTTGTATTCCTCAAACTCATTTAGGAGCGTATCCGATCCTATTTACTACATTGCATTTATCGATATATGGGATGTATTCTAACTGTGCTTATCTCGAGTCACAGTTAGATTAGTTTACTCTAATTAATTGTACTCAGATCTATTGCATTGTCTCACAATTGGTGTTGTTATGATCCACAAAATCATTTACACGCTCAATCTGAGTTCTTTCAAGGTCCAATTAGGTTGGCATTGATGTTCTGCAGCAATTTGATGTATACTTTCAGGTGAAATGGACCAGTCCCAATCAATATCATTCTCTTTTTGAATTACATCATGAATTATACTAGAATTTATTTGGACTTAAAGAATTTGCTTCGGACTGGTAGAACACATTAAGTCATCAATCTGAATGACTGATAGAAATATTTGGTTTTCGGAAACTCTGGGATTCAAGTTTGTTCAAATGGAGGGCTATGCCCTCTTTCAAGGAGGGTTAATTCAAAGTTAGATGATTAATTAATGGCATCTTTCAAAAATCTTCTCAAAAACAAATTGGTCAGAAAAGAAACTTATGTGAAAGCTTCATTACATAGTGTGGATTTAAATTTGCTCAAACCATGAATCCCGGGGGTAGGATGGGGCCAAAACAGGGGATCAAAGTTATACACAGGAACATCTTTATAAATCTTCTTCTCTAGAACTTCAAAGGCATGATTTGTAAATTTGATAAAGAAGCATCTTCAGGTACTGTAAAAACAGATTTATTTAAATCATGACCCTTTGGGGTAGGATAGGGTCATAACAGGGAATCAAAGTTATATATAAACATATATAGGAAATATATCTTTATAAATCTTCTTCTCAAGAACAGCAAAGCAATGAGTAATCATATTAATACAGAGGCATCCTCAGGTAGTGTAGATTCAAGTTTATACAAATCATGACCCCTGAAGTAGGGTGGGGCCACAAAAGGGGATCAAAGTTTTACATGGGAATATATTGTGAAAAATCTCTAAAAATCTTCTTTTCAAGAACAGCGAAGCCATGATTAATAATATTAATATGGATGCATTGTTGTTCAAATCATCACCCCCACCCCTGTGGTGATATGGTGGGAGTACTTAAATATTAAAACTTTTTAGTACTGAACTGATTATTGCTTATATCTATCTAAAGTGCTCAGGTGAGCTATGTGGCCTATGGTCTTTTTGTTGTAAAATCTTCTTATAAAAGGTGTAATTAATCTTGCATTTGTTTTATAATGAGATAAATTTAAAAAGTGAACATTAATAAGTGTAAACATTAATTTTACACTTATTTGCAAAATTTGCAAAAAGGAAGCCATTTGTTATCTTGATATTAGTAGCCCTTTGTAAATGATTCACAACAAAATGAGATCATCTTTTTGTTAAAGGTTAATTGTAAAGACTGAAGTCCCATCTCCTCACAAGGAAGATGTGATGAATAAAATTATTTTCTGCAAATTGATATATGAAATAAAATGGATATTGGAAATATATATCTCAGTTGGTTATTGTTTGATATAAAAAAAAGTCAGGGGAAAAATCACTTGAAATTTAATTTCAGAAAATTTGTGAAAGAACAAGGTACGGTTTCAATACAAATCTTGCCCTGTGTTTTTCTTAAAAATAAAAGTGATGTAAAAAATTAAAACTCATGCTTTTTGAATTATTGAAATTCCATGCAGAAAGATCATACAAATCTTTTTTCTCACATGACCTTCCAAATGCTAATTGTGACGTCATAAACTTGTGCATTTTCCCGTATTTTCTTAAAAAGTTGCAGAAGACATCAATTTTCAATGGAATTTTCTTTCAGATAATATTGTCCACAGGCATCGCCCACAAAGATTTTGAGATATGTGATTTTTCAAAGAATTTTACACAACATATCTAAAAATTAACGTGGGCGACGGCTGTGGACACTATTTTCTTAAGGAAAATAACCCTTGAAATGGGTCATTTTGAGGCTTTTTCTGTTTAAAATAGAGAAATGCATCAAATTAATGACGTCATATATCCAGAATGGTACTCCATCATGCTATATTCTTTCCTGATTTATTACAGTCATATACTCAACTAATATTTAAGCCAGTTTCAAAACTTTTTGAAAACATTAATTTTTTAGGGCACAATAAAGCTAAAACCATACCTTCTTCTTTGATAAAGATGTGACACTTGTATTAGGTCAGTAAAGTTAATTACACATCTGTCATCTAATTTAATGGAAGATCTTAAGCAGGATAAATGTTTTAATCCACAGCTGTAAGTGATATTGTACATTGTTTAGTAACAACTGCATGTGTAGCCATTTTGAATACATCAATTTATAGGCCCTCTAAAATGGGGAGGGGGGGGGGGGGGGGGAGTAGTGATAGGTTGGATACCATTAATGATGAAACAGTATTTTTGACTGATACAGTACTTTATCTTGATCTTTCAATGTACAGTGTATTTTTGAAAACAAATTTGGTTTCAGAACATGTTTATTAATGAATTCTTAATGAATTCTTAGGTTCTGTTTTTATTTAAGCCCTGTTAAAAGAAATTAAAAACAAATTTAGAAAATTACAGGTATATGTAATCATTAAAAATAAAGTACAGTTTGACTTGCTTCACAGTCCTGACAGAGTGACATAAAACTGCTTCATGCTTCATATTTATGATGACATTTTAAGATGAAGCTACAAAGTGTACAGGAAAAACTGTAGTGATCGATTTCATCATAAAGCATTCTAGAATTGGATTAAAATCTGTAATTGTTGTTAAAATATGACAGGGCTTAGCTAATGATGTCAATGTACACATTCTTGAGAATTATTAATTGAAAAGTTAAAGAACTCATGAAGCAAGGCCAGATATGCCTATTTCATTTACTAGCATAACTTTATAACACAGGTAATTTTCGAAAAAATTCAAACAATTCAATTTTGATAGATCAACTTAAATGCATTACATGTAAAAATAAACAAAAGAGGATTAAACATGAATATTGGTACCTGTTTTGAATGAAACAGTATTTGACTGGTAATTTTGAAATAAATATTCGGTATTGTATGAATGCTGAGTACCAGTGTTTAATCCTGCCCTCTTTTAATGTATGCATATCAAGAAATATGATTCATTCTCCTGTGTATGTGAATGTGATCTTGATTCATTTAAAAACCTCTGATTCTTTGATCATTTTGTTTAAGCCTTATTTTTTTGTCAGAAATGGAATATTAAAATTTTTGTTTTGTATGGAAATAAATATAGAGTTTGTTTTTATTAAATATGTCAAAAATAATATATGCCTCTATTAGCAGAAGTTTGTAATTGATCTGTAATGAATGAGGTCTTGGTATTTTATGTAGGAGGATGCCTATTGATTGCCCCATACCCCAGCATGTGACCGGGCTCTATGTGTTTGCCGTCATCAACTTGATTTGTTTATTTCATGCCTCCACGGTCTCCTGTGATATAGAAGTGGTAAGTTTCTACACTATGTGGCTAGTAAATATGCATTGCTATAAATAAGTAAGCAAATCAACATCATAAGTGGTAAAATCCTTAAATTGGTAAGAATGTACATGAAGGTCACCATGAAAAAGTCAGTGGATACAGGTAAGTGTAAGCACAGGTAAGTATAAGTACAGGTAAGTATAAGTACAGATAAGTATAAGTACAGATAAGTATAAGTACAGTGTAAGACTAAGTACAGTTAAGTATAAGTACAGTTAAGTATAAATACAGGTAACTATAAGTACAGTGTAAGTCTAAGTACAGGTAAGTATAAGTAGTAAGTATAAGTACAGGTAAGTGTAAGTACAGGTAAGTATAAGTACAGGTAAGTATAAATACAAGTAAGTATAAGTATAGGGAAGGATAAGTACAGGTAAGTATAAGTACAGGTAAGTAAAAGTACAGGTAAGTATAAGTACAGGTAAGTGTAAGTACTTGTAAGTATAAATACAGGTTAGTATAAGTACAGGTAAGTATAAGTTTACCTGTTAAGTGTAAGTTTACCTGGTAAGCACATGTGAGTATTAATAAGGTAAGTGTAAATAAAGGTCTGTGTTAAGTACAGGTCTGTGTTAAGTACAGGTAAGTATAAATACAGGTATATGTTAAGTACAGGTGTGTGTTAAGTACAGGTCTGTGTTAAGTACAGGTATGTGTAAGTGTTTAGAGCTAGGTTACTTTTCAGATTTAGTAGACTAGCCATATTAAAGTCCTTAGATTCAGATTACTTTTAAATAAGATGAAGTCTATAATGTATTATTTTTTTATTTGATAATTTTTCACCATTGAGTTTTAGAGAATTCTGACAAAATTGTTATTGTTAACATGATTAGGACCATCTGCTATAAACATGATAAAAACTAGTTACTGTAATTACTGTTTGTTCACATGTTAAGAGAAAAATTTTACTTACAGTAATTCCAGACCAGTGAATTATGATATTATTTTTTTTTTTCAGAGAAGAACTTCGACCAATGACACAATCAATGCATTTCAAGATCATTTAGCAAGCTTTGGGCCGAACCTCCCGGACAAGGGGCTTTATGTAAGATTAAAAACATGTTCCATACACTGTACTTCTTATATTGCGAGTCATTTATTTCTTTGTTTATCTTCTTCTGTTCAAGAAATAATGAATGAATTTAACGATAATTTTAAATAGCTGGTATGAGTGTTTGACCTGTATTTGATGAAGTATATTGAGTCTGTACTGTCGAGCAGCTTTGATACAAATCTAAGTTGAAATTTTTTATTTATATCTGTTGAAGGGATTTGTAATGGGTGTGGAAATAGAATTGATCATTTAGATATTTATAGTAGGAGTTTACGATGGCAATATAAATTGAAATGAGTTACAGTTGAACCTTGTTATTTTGAGTTAGATTGGATCAAGAAATTAACTCGGAGATATCCCAGGATTCCATTGAGGTTAAAATACATAAAAATGAGTGATTCCAGCCCCCATTTGTATATCAAGGGCGTTTGAGATGTCCATGATTGAGATGCTGAAGTTCAACTGAAATTTGATATCTTTTGTAGGATTTTGAAGTAGTGGTTTAAGTTGAATTAATTGTTTTGATATTTTTAGTAGGGTTTTATAATGGAGGAATAAATTAAATTGATTGTATAGATATCTATAGTAGCCAGTAGGATTTTATAATTGTGGTGTAAGTTGATATAGTTTTGATATCTGTTGTCTGGGATATGTTGATATCTGTTGTAGGGATATGTTGATATCTGTTGTAAGGGATATGTTGATATTTGTTGTCAGGGATATGTTGATATCTGTTGTAGGGATATGTTGATATCTGTTGTAAGGGATATGTTGATATCTGTTGTAAGGGATATGTTGATATCTGTTGTCAGGGATGTGTTGATATCTGTTGTCAGGGATATATTGATATTTGTTGTCAGGGATATGTTGATATCTGTTGTCAGGGATATGTTGATATCTGTTGTCAGGGATATGTTGATATCTGAAAAAAAATTCTCAACAATTTTTTTTTTCAAAAGTATCGAAAGTTCATACATTTGTTACCAATTATTAAAAAGGGCAAAGTTCTTGAAGCTAAACTGTTGTCAGGGATATGTTTATATCTATTGTAGGGATATGTTGGTATCTGTTATCAGGGATATGTTGATATCTGTTGTAGGGATATGTTTTTATCTGTTGTGAAGGATTTGTTGATATCTGTCGTCAGGGATATGTTGATATTTGTTGTCAGGGATATGTTGATATCTGTTGTAGAGATATGTTAATATCTGTTGTCAGGGATATGTTGATATCTGTTGTGAAGGAGTTGTTGATATCTGTTGTGAAGGAGTTGTTGATATCTGTTGTCAGGTATATGTTGATATCAATTGTGAAGGAAATGGCAATATTTGTTGTAGGGATATGTCATGGTTGTGGAGCCAGACAACGGAACAACAAAATGCACCCAGTATCAACCACACATTCCACCAGCCAATATATCAGAGAAAATGACTTGGATAGCCCTAATGCAAAGAAATGGATGCAAATTTGATGATATGGTAATTATTTAAAAGAGCTATTTATTAGTATTAGAATTTTTTTATGTCCAACAGAAATCTTTACAGTACTCAGAATGCATTAAGTCTCACTGACCCTCTCATTAGAGGGATAATTCTCAGTGACAAGTAGTCCTTTATCAAATTGTCAAGTTTAAAGGTCATATCTTCAAATTTTGTACAGCGTGATATGAAGAAATATAAATATTATTGCACATAATTACAGTACACATGACTTCTTAAGTTTTAAGGTATTGCTTGGCAAGTCTAATTCTAATGCAACTGTTTTGTAAAATGCATTTTGATTGGCTAATACACTGATGTTTGAGGCAGTTAAATGAGCATTGACGAGAGTAAGAGCATTGACGAGAGTAAAAGCTTTTGATTGTGACGTCGTAATAGAACGACACAAAAACAGAATAGTTCATCACGTTTTTCATGTAACAAACTCAAATGCTGATTTAACACTCACAAACATCCAGTTCACTGGCTATGCTGATGTTTTGCTGGTAAACTCAGTTCGGACCTTCAAGTTAAAGTTCCACTTCAGTTTATTCACCCAAACCAAAATATAAGTACGTGGGGTACTTTAATAACATATATACTGTATATACTCGCCTATAAGTTGGTTTTATCATTTTAGGTTATTTTGGAGGAATTCGCCATTGACCCGCCTATAATTCGGTACAACATTTTGTCAGAATCAGACAATTTCAGATCAATGTTCTAAATTAATGTTTTTACATGTGTTTTAAATAATATGTTATTAATTAATCTTAAATCCACGCAAATCAATTTCATATCAGTATCTAAACTGTATTTACCTGTGTTCTGGGTTATGACACAGATATTAAAAATCCTTTATTCCCAACAAGTGAACATCATACGGTAATCGTCGGAGTTGTTTAAAAAAAAAACAACTCTAAATTTCGTGGTCTAGAAATACCCAATATTTATAGGTTTTGCCTATAAGTAGGACATAGAGTTTTAGACCAAAATCTTACTCCCAAAAAAACGACTTATAGGCGAGTATATACCGTACATTATGATATACAAACTGGTCAGAGGTACATATACAAAACAAAAGCATGACAGAAGAAGAGAAAAAAAAAATAAATAAGAGAGGGTGAAAAAATCAAGGAGGACAGACAGCATCATAAATTTTTAGGATAACATACATAGTTTTTAAGCATTTTTTTGTTTTGAGTTGACATTAGTTCCATGAACTTAACATTTGGTCTGTGGGAATGATAATTGCCCAGGTAATTTTTTCTAGTATTAACTAAAGTTATACATTCTAAGATGTAATAAAATTCATAAGCGGTTTGAGTATTTACTATTATTACAAAGTATACAGATTCTATACCTTTAAATCAGCATTAACAGTCGCAAATAACAAATGAGAAGACAGTTATTCACTAAATCAATCCTGTTATTTTTAGGTGTACAGTGCTCAGACTCTTGGCTATGGAGCTGTGATTGTGTATAACTATGATGGAGATGATGATATCATATCAATGGGAGGAGGCAAAGGTTTGAGTTTATATCAGAATTCTTGTGTCATATCAATGGGAGGAGGCAAAGGTTTGAGTTTATATCAGAATTCTTGTATCATATCAATGGGAGGAGGCAAAGGTTTGAGTTTATATCAGAATTCTTGTATCATATCAATGGGAGGAGACAAAGGTTTGAGTTTATATCAGAATTCTTGTATCATATCAATGGGGGGAGGCAAAGGTTTGAGTATATATCAGAATTCTTGTATCATATCAATGGGAGGAGGCAAAGGTTTGAGTTTATATCAGAATTCTTGTATCATATCAATGGGAGGAGGCAAAGGTTTGAGTTTATATCAGAATTCTTGTATCATATCAATGGGAGGAGGCAAAGGTTTGAGTTTATATCAGAATTCTTGTGTCATATCAATGGGGGAAGGTAAAGGTTTGAGTTTATATCAGAATTCTTGTATCATATCAATGGGGGGAGGCAAAGGTTTGAGTATATATCAGAATTCTTGTATCATATCAATGGGAGGAGGCAAAGGTTTGAGTTTATATCAGAATTCTTGTATCATATCAATGGGAGGAGGCAAAGGTTTGAGTTTATATCAGAATTCTTGTATCATATCAATGGGAGGAGGCAAAGGTTTGAGTTTATATCAGAATTCTTGTGTCATATCAATGGGGGAAGGTAAAGGTTTGAGTTTATATCAGAATTCTTGTATCATATCAATGGGGGGAGGCAAAGGTTTGAGTTTATCAGAATTCTTGTACATGGTCAGCCCTGGCTGTCACAATTTTAAAGTATCTGGTACAAAGTACAAATGCCACTTTGTAGGTCATGTTGTGTGAAGAAAGCTAAAACACAACTTTTAATTTTGGTTACGGTTGATTATTCTTTGTCCTTTGAAATAATCAATTTCAAACTGACATATATTTCTTTTTTGCTAAAAAGTGTTGTCTATGCATTTTGTTAGTGATAAAGTCATACATTAGTGAAATCTCACAGCATTATTTTCAGATGCAGGAAGAGTGTCCATTCCATCAGTTTTCGTTGGATTTACTGCAGGGAGTATCATAAAAAACAACTTTCAGTTTGATGTCAATAAAACGTAAGTCTTAATATTAGATGTAAATAAATCACTATAAAGTCTTAAGTTTTGTTATTTGCATAATAATCTTCAATCTAAAATGACCACTGTAGTGGACATAAAGGGTTGAATAGTAATTCTGTAACTTGAGTCTTTCATTCCTACAGGTTTTATATAAAGATAGAAAAAGATGATTTTTTTGACAAGCCTTATCTGATCTGGCCCTTTGCTGTGGTTGTGGGCACGTGCTTCGTCCTAATGCTTTTATTTATGGCAAGTTATCATATTTATCAAGTTATTTAATATAAAAAATAGACTGTTGATGTTTTAAAAAAATTAACTGATTGTATATACATGTAAATGTGATTATATCGAAGATGGAATGTACATGTAAGGTCTTTTATTGTGGATTATAAATGATAAGTTGAAGAATGTTGCATGATATATTGAGATATAGGTAGGCTAATATCAGAACAATAATGAAAAATAACCAAGAAATCCTCTCTCTGTTTCAGCTGTTTAAGTGGATTAGGGATTGTCAAAAGAGGCGAAAATCACGACTGTCAACAAAACACTTAAAAAAGATTCCAGTTAAAAAGTTTAAGAAAGGTAAAACACTACAATAGATCTGTGATAAGGAGGATAGGAGGTCTGACAGGGTTAAATCTCCGAGCTAAGAGGCTTACAAGGCCGCTCCTTATACCAGGTTTTTCTGCTGCTAAGGGACTCTCCTTGGACGGGACACAAGTTCATCACAAGTTAACCTCCAGCGAAAGTTGGTACCCATTTCAGCTGGGTGGACTAAGAAAACCCAAATAAAGTGTGTTTTCTAAGGACACCACACACAGCATCAAGTGCCCTTTGTGGGGTTTGAACCAGCGATCTTTGGGTTGTCTTTTGTAACACTGCAGGAATACTCTACATCATTCAAATAAAATTGTTTTTATATTTATTAGTATACATTTCTGCTCTTTATGCGGTTGAGAATTACACATTAAAATTAAATCCTGCAGACCCACTATTATTTGCAACCATTTATTTGGATATGTCAGTTTTAAATTTATTTGTGACTGTGAAATTTTTGTAAAAGACAAAACCCTCTACATAAATACAAAATTTAATAAATGGTTCATATGGATAAATACATGTATTGATGAGTAAAAGAAAGTCTTGAGTAAAAGAAAAACATTTCTTGCATGTAAATAAAAGTTGGTTTACAGTAGCATTATTGTAAGGAAGCAAACTCATGTGCAACTGATAATCATTATTTACATACGTCCTGTTATTTGTAGGGGATAATTATGAGACGTGTGCGATTTGCCTAGACGACTATCAGAATGGCGACAAACTAAGAGTTCTGCCCTGTGCCCACGGTAAGTGTACACTACTATCAGAATGGTGACAAACTAAGAGTTCTGCCCTGTGCCCACAGTAAGTGTACAATACTATCAGAATGGTGACAAACTAAGAGTTCTGCCCTGTGCCCACGGTAAGTGTACAAGACTATCAGAATGGTGACAAACTAAGAGTTCTGCCCTGTGCCCACGGTAAGTGTACACGACTATCAGAATGGTGACAAACTAAGAGTTTTACCCTGTACCCATGGTAAGTGTACACGACTGTCAGAATGGTGACAAACTAAGAGTTCTGCCCTGTGCCCACGTTAAGTGTACACTGTAGATGACATCTATTTTGATCATGTACTTCTGTGGAATGCCCCTTCTGTGAAAATTACTGCAGATGATATACTTGGATCATGTTCTACAGGGTTTTTAACCAAATACTTTATTTATATTATTTACAAATACATCAATCTTTGTCATTTGATCCACAGTGTAAAAAAAATCCCGAATGAGATGGACAGATTCTAAAATTACTTGATATTTTATTATGGTATTTCTTAAACTACATGTAATTTAAGAGCCTAAAATGTGTATTTTTAACCTCTGAAATTGTTACTTATGGAAAAATAACCGTTTGATTCTAGCTTACCACTGTAAATGTATTGATCCATGGCTTACAAAGAGGAAGAAGACATGTCCTGTATGTAAGCGGAAGGTGATCCCTGGAGCAAATCCGGACTCCGATTCCGAATCCTCCGAGGATGAGGGACCAAGCAACAGTGAACGCACACCATTGCTGGCTGGGAATAACAATACACGTCGATCCACATTTGATAATTCTGGTAAAAGAGACCGTTTCCTTTAAACATGAAACATTCTAATATTAAAATAAGATATGGAGAAGTTAGACAGAAATGAAAAGTAGATTTTGAAGAAAAATGTGGAACTTTATTTTAGATATTTGAAAAGTGAATTTCACAATGAGGCAGTAGGTGTCTTTCTGTATGAGTGCTTTTTTTTTTTTGCAGGCCTGCCTGAAGTAGTGAGAACGGAGGTCCAGAGAGTACAAATTAGACGACAATCACAGTCTAGTATCTCAGACTCATCCGAGGATGAAGTGGATACCGTAGAGGCAGACATAACCATGGAAACCTCATCTGAGGAGGAGGACAACAGGATTCCTGAAGAGACAAGGGCTGGACCCTCTGGAATTAACAATGCAGCTTTCACAGGAGCAGATTCAGCTTCTCATACATCTGTAGGAGTGGATCCAACTTCTACAAGCCAGGTAGAGGTGGAGGTGGCAGTGAAACAGACAGGGGAGGATAAAGCCCCCAATCACATTGTTTAGACGAGCCATGTGACTTATGTGTGTCATGTGATGTTTGATTTTGAATCTCTGAAAAAGGAGATATTATCACTAGCTATTACTTGAATATAAAGAGGCTTTTAAAATTATTCATGCTCAGGTTACAAGAGTGCTATATGTTGACTTGTTTTTCATGGTTGCTGGGCATTACTTTTGAATTTTTAGTGCTATGTTATTACTCTATTAAGTATAACTTAATATTTTTGTCAAATCAGTTAAATGTATTCAATTTAAATATGAAAAAAAAATTAGATAGATTCAAATGACAAAAATAGATATAAGGACAGGTACATGTATTTTCAATTGTGTGAAATATTTGGAGAGAAGATAAATACATATTAACAATTTTTAAAAATTGAGAATTTGGTTGATTACTGTATTGTGCTGTTGTTCTAGTAAATTTGGATGGTTAAATGGCGATTTTTATACGCCTGTCTTTAAATGGCAATTTTTCACTACTGGTTTATTTAACAATTGTGGTTATGATGACTGTTTACTAATAAGGATTTTTCCTGATATTGTATTGGGTTAAAATAGATGGAATTTTACATAGATGCTTGCAATGAAATTTTTGTCTTGTTTAAGAATTAAAACAGCACTCTTCTGGAGCACACAATGTTACATGGTTAATAAAAAAATGCAGAACTTTCTTCAAGTGAAAGTTGATCAAGATTTTTTTTATATGGTCTGTTCCTGCTTGTTACATTGCATGTGAGGGATGTATAAATATTCTGCTACAGTTGAATCAATGCACTGTAAATCACATATTTCATTAGACTTTAACATTGTAATTAAACAAAATTGCATTTATTTACGAGACATAATTTTAAACATACTTCCACACAATATGTAATACCGGTAAAAGTTATTTCCCTTTTTACACAACTCATTTTCAATTCCAGTCAGTCTTTGCATGAGGATAAAGTTTCTTGTGCCTAAGATATGATTTGTAAAGAATTCATCAATGCTTATGGAGTTTTGCTTGCTAAATTCATATTATGTCTTATTTGGAAAAATAAAGAGCATGCTGAAGAAGCTCAAATGTGTGTGTATACTAATATGCAAGTATACATTTATACCATGATCAGTGTGTGCAGAGAACAACCAGCACAATTTAAAGGTTGCATCCTTGTATTAATTCTGTATTTTATTTGAAGATGCATATGTATTGTAAATATATTATACATGTGCCATTTTATATATGTATATATTTCCATTTCTATTTGTTTTCTCTGTGATAACTCTTTGAAAATTAGGAGAGTTGATTTCTTGATCATTCTAACGGAATGCAAATTTTGCCAAGCGAAAGGTCAGTAGCTAAGAAGGCAAAATATGCATGTAATTCTCGTGCGGCTGTCTTTGTGTCTGACTCTAAGGAGGCCTAATATGCATGTAATTCTCGTGCGGCTGTCTTTGTGTTTGACGTCAGTGGGCGGGGACTATTGAAATTGACATGTGAGGCCTTGAGTAATTTAAATCTATTAGTCTACATTTTTAAAATCTAAATTTACAATTTTATTTCAAAATGAAATGGAAATATAAGGAATCACTGTCTAGTTAGTAGAGTATGCCAGGGACATCGACGATAGTTGGAAACGTTGAATAATTTACGCATAACGGGCTTTGCCCGTTATGCAAATTATCCCACGTTTCCAACTATCGTTGATGCCCTGGCATACTCTACTAACTAGACAGTGATTCCTTAAATAAGACATTTTTCTATTGATACTGTGATAGATTGGGCAGTTTCAGTTTCTGGAAATGCCTTGGTCGACCAGAAAATGAGATCAATGTATTGTTTATCTTCTGGGATATTCCATTGTTTATTATAAATTACTAGGTGTGTCTAGAGTGTAATCCAAAAAGTACTTAAAAATGTTTAACCTCTTAGTTTTCTTCCAATTTATTGGATGGAATGAAAACTTTACAGGTAATCACTTGCCCTCAAAAAGTATTTTCAGTTATGATAGTGGTTTTATGTTTTCACCACCAGAACTTTTGGCAACTTCCATTGTAGAAATCAATTGACAGACAAACTATCATGCTTCACTTCTGTGTCATTTGTATAAATTTCATAATTCCCACTTTTATAATATGCTCATAAACAGATTTTATACATTATGTATTTCAGTTGAACATTTTGCTGCATTACAGTGAAGCTGAATCTTTGCTTTTTAAGAAAAAGATTGAAAACCCATGTCATTGATTTTATGATGTCATAAAAGCATTCACTCTGTTATAATGTGTAAATGATAAAAAGTCAATAAAAATCCCAAACCAGATGTTCTTTACATTTTTTGAGTAAGGCAGGCCAATATACTAGTTCTGTAGGAGTCTGTAAACTCATTGGACTGTGGAAAACATGAGTAACTCATGCAAGATATGCTAGATTTGTAAGATTCTGTTTCAGTAAACTTTGGACTGGGGGAAAAGTGTAACGCTTGTAATCATGCGAGATGCATCTCTTTATACATGCATGTATTTTAATGCCCTGCCATGAATGTGGTCGGGGCATATAGTGTTTGTCATATATGTCCTTCCGTCACACTTTACATTTAGCTCAAAGAAACTAAAGATATTTTTATCAAACCTTGTATGCTGGTATGTACTGGTGAGAGCTAATCGATTGCATATACCGGTATCTTTTTTTATACCTTGCCTTTCCTTTGACCTCAGTTTTTCTAAAGAGGGTGTTGCAGTTCTTTTGTTATTTTCCCTAAAGTTGTAGCAGTTTAAAAGAAAAATTTTAAGTAAAAGAAAACGGTCTTAAATTTTTTCAGATACAACGCTATATACAGCACAGCGTAGAACAATATTTAGAAACTGCATATCGTCTTCCAATTTGCCATTAAATGAAATGTATATTAATCACATAGCAAAATAAGTCAAGTTTTCTGTTTTTCAAATAGGGAATCCCCATTGTTCTGAAAAATTGCCTCCTTGAAACAGAATGAATTTGATATACACATAAAGAGACAGGATTTTTCTTCAAAACTGCCATTTCTGATTTTTGTTTCTCAGAGGCATATTTCTGAAAATCACAAAAATCAATTAAAAATTATTATCCATCCGAAATACAAAATGTTCACATAAAATAGCACATTATATTTCACTGTCGGAGCTGATCTAGTGGTTAAGCGTGTGGGCTCTATGCAAAGATTATTTTTCCTGGGAATGGGGGTTCAAATCCTGGAATGGCTGGTATATACATGCAAATTTTTTTTTCTTATATAATGGAAGTATAATGTAACATCTCTCTTGAGAGAGAAAGAGAGAGGGAGAGAATGTCAGAAAATTAATGGATAATATTTTAAATGCATGCAGAATTAAATTGTTTTCCTTGATATTGTGATCTAAATCTAATAAGACATATATTTAATGTTATTATTTAGTGGTGGTGTCTTAAAAAGTAAAGTACTATCATTTTAAATAATTTAATTTTTTTCATACGCATTTCGTTTCATAATTGTTCTGTTAATTAGTGGCTCAGATTTGACTTGAAACAACTAACTTGAAATGACTCAATGGAATTTCTTGGATATTGCTTTAACAGCGTGATAAGTGGAGACATTTTTATATATTGAAAAATATTAAAGCATGCTATCTACAGTACATCTTTCAAAATGATGTGCAAGGTGCACTTGCATGCCATTAATTGTGTTTTTATCATTCTAACTTTTCTCGTGCAATATGGCGACAGTGACCATAGATGTGAAAAAAAAGTTTACTTACAAGTCGCCAGTCTATGTAAGGAAAAAACTATGCATGAAATAAACGTAAAATGTTAAATGTTTTGTTATAACAAGCTGGACATACCCGTCGTATAAATAAAGTCATCTACGTAGCATTATCTATATTTAGACATAACTCGTCGTGGGTATTTAAATGTCCTTCTCGATATAAGGAATAATCAGGAGTTTCTGCAACACCCTCTTTGTGTTTAGCAGTTTTTAAGAAACTATTCAAGATCTTTTTAACATATTTCATATGCTGATACATATTGAGAGTTATTCAACTGCATCAACATTTTTGGATCTTGACCTTCGACCTCACTTTTCTTTCTTAATTTGTGTTAAGTTAAAATTCTGAGAACTATTCAATATTTGTATCTGAAGTTTGATAAATACATCTTGAATAGTTTCTTTGAAACTGAGCTAAATGCAAATTTTTAGAAAAGTGGGGTCAGGTTTACAGGGAAGGCCAAGGACTAAATTTTTTGTGCCATTGAATAGCTTTCACTAAAATTTGTCGGCATTGATACATCTTTGACTCTTTTCTTCTTGTTCAGTCACTAAAAAACATGTAATTGATTCTACTTATCATTCTATTTGTTGTTATTGATGTACAATGGTAATTATACTGAAACGCAAAAGAAACACAACAAGCAGTAATCTACAAATATTTGAATTTTTATCTAATGATTTTCGGAAATGAATACAGTAAGGTAAAACTCGATTTAAAAACATCAGAGATTTAATAAAAATGTTAAATGATTATATTTTAACTTAAGAAAGTAATACGACTGTTAAAACACCCCCACCCCTGCCATTCAATTACAGCGTGCAAGACTGTCTTGCACAACAGTTGCAGCTTGATTTCTACGATGCAATAGGTTCATCAATCTCGAGATCTTTGCCATTTTTAAATGCCTGTTTGTCAGATGATGTCGAATTTTCTCTAGCCAAGCGCAGTGTAGTAACCCTTGGAATTCCGGTGTAAGGACTGTCATTCATGCGAATGATATGTAAGAGCCTGTTGAGGCGTGATATGGTGCATATTTGCATCTGCAACTCTCCATCACCTTTATTTTGAGATTTTCCAGCTAGAGCAATGGAAATGCATACTTATGTCATTTTCAGGAATCCTTGGCATCGCTTACGGAAAAGAAAGGAGAATTTACTTTTCGGAACATTGCTGTATTACTTATGATGAACAGATATTTACCAAGTTCAAGATGTCCTTACTTTTTAGATACAAAATTATATCCTATATGTAATATTTTCCCCTAAAATAGGATGTTGCATTTCTTTTGCGTTTCAGTATATATAAAAACCTCAATTTTTTTTCCAAGGGCGAAAGCATTCAGACAAGATATTTTTTTGGCTTGGGACTTTTATGTTCAACACCCAGGGTGTAGAAAACTTAAAAAACTTTGAACATGAATAACAAAACATGAGAAAATATTGACAATGTCTCTGTATTTGACAATTGAAACACCCTAGTACATACATGATCTACAATAACAAAGATCCTGATGTAGAGTGAGCTCCCTTGTCAGGACCACCACAAGTTTGTATTAAATACTAATTTCTACAGACCATAACATGAAGCTTGGCACAGATTTAACAAACAATGGCTACGTAAGTTTATCCAAATTAATATTCTCATTTCCTAAAAGCAATATTCATAGCCTTTTCTTTTTGTTTATATAAGATAAACTGTATGAACTATAACATTTCCATCAAATTGCACACGAGTAGTATTTTTGAATTCACCTTTCAATATAAATATGTAAAAGTGGCTTCAGAAATTGTAAAACTTGTTCTGATTTTACAGCACTATGCAAAATAATTGTTATCTTTGACATTTCGTATAGTATTCTTGGTACAAGGATGACTACACACACATAGAATTCTAATGACATAGCTGCCATCTCATTAAAACCCAATGATCTCATGAAATGCGGATTTGGACTGGAACATCTATACATCTAATTGTTATTTCACAATATTAAAAGTGGGAAGAAAATAAATGAACAAAATTTCCTGAATCAAAACCATACAGATGGAAAATGGTTGTGTTGTAAATTTTACACAACAAAAAATTCCAATACAATCAGTTTGACATTTTATTCATCATTATTGTTAAGGGTCAATGAGTTACTTTAAGAAAAAACAAAAAAAATTTCTAACATTAAAAATATTTTTTTAAAGATTTTCACAAATTAAATAAAAAATAGCACTTTCTGTGAGAATTTGAAAGATGACAACATTCAAATCATGACATATACACCAACACACACACACCTGAGATCAGTACTTAACAAATTCTTCAATGAAAACTAATATTAACCTATTAGTATATTTACACACATAAAATAAACTGTGAACAATTTGTTAATCCCTAGCACAATCATCCCCTCTGGTCTGCCTGGGACAAATCTGGCTAGCTGGTGAACTTCACAGCTGGGGGGAGGGGATCTGTGATGATGTGGGAGGGGCTGTAAGTGCCGCGGCTCTGGAGACCTGTCGTATGAGGGCAGGACAATATGGTTCATTGACTGCACACCATCAACACTTATCACAGACAAACAATATTGAAATCAAGTCAACCTTGACGTTTATTTGGGATTATCATTTTCGCAAGTCCAGAACAAACACCTGAAACGAAAAATTCCCATACAATTAAAATGCTTTCATACAAGTTTAATTTTTTTTTTTTCAAATTTATCTTTAAAGACATTTTCCCTATACAAAAGTGTATCATCACCAGTTATCAATGAAGTAAAAATCTCTTCTTTTTTCTGAATAAACCATGGTAACCTGACAACTTACAGATCCGTCTGATGCGCTGGCTCCCACTTTGTCTCCACGGTGATTCCAACACACCTCAAATATCCCTCCCGTTCCCTTATAACTGTGCACCAACTGACCACTCTGTTTAAATGACAGAATTCAAATGGGCCAATTCAAATATTAATAAATTTTTTTTTCTTCTAAAGATAAGATATGTACTTACAATGTAAATAATGACAAAATGCTAATTAATTTGGCATGTCATAAACTGGATATTTAACAAGTTTGGAAGAAGAAAGACAGGTGCCCCTTTTTTATCCCATGTATAATGTAAAAACATAGAAAAGTGTGTGTGGGAAAAAGTGTGCATGTGTCCAACACCTCAATCTAACCTGGATTGTGTACATTTATATCTGACAATCATTTACCTGTACATTCCAGATGTGAACACACTTGTCAAAGGAGCCACTGGCTAGGTATTTGCCGTCGGGACTGAAGGCTACACTATACACGGGTTCCTGATGTTTTGTTAGTGTATGAAGACACCTTCCTTGTTCTACCTCCCATAACCTGACAGTGGAGTCAAAAGATGCACTGGAAAAGAACAAAATATGGTGTATAGAAATGCATAATTTCTGATATTGGAAATTTCCATGAAACAGGCAAAATGTAATTTGTAAACTTATTGTAAGAGATTCAAATTTCTAAAACTACACTCCATCTTAGATAGTACCTGGAAAGCACCAGAGCCATGGCTCATATTCCCATAAAAATAACTAAAAGTGAATTCAAAATAAGACTTTTAAAAAAAATGCTCTTTAGTAATGAATTTATCTTCCCCATGCGTCTGAAGAGTTTTAACAACATTTATTTTTAAATAAGTCAATCTAATATTTCTGACTTAAAATGACATCAAGTACAAAAGGGTTATCCGGACGGTATGAGTACATCAGAAAGTTACCTGGATGTATGAGAGGTACAATCATTTTACCAGTAACGAATCGGTTTGTTGTTATGTCTTACATGCTACTTACATGTTCAAATTTCCAAATTGGTTGTTGTTTAATTTGTATTTCTAACCTTTTCATGTAAGTGGTACCAAAATTCCAAATATGAATGGTACAAGTACAGAGATGTCAAAACCCCCCCCCCCCCATTTTCCTAGTTTTAAATTGATTTTTCAGTATCAAATCAAGTGCCCTCTATTGTTGCTGACTTAATAAATGAAATCACCTGAGCGAAATTATTGTAGAAATTTGCCTTCAAGTAATTTCTAAATAAAGTATATAAGCAATACTTGTTGATTTAAATGATTTTTTCCCTAAAACTAAACAATATGAAAAATGTTGCATTTTATGAGAAATTTTTTGTGATGTGCTTTATTAAAATTAAATCAACCATCTCTGAGACATAATTTTCATGGAATATCGTTGCTTGTAATTTGTTTTAAAGTATCTTCACTTCTCTCAGCTTTTCCGGTTTTTGCATACCGGCATTTTTTGTTCTTCAAAAATTCATGATTCGTAACTAAGAAAACAATATGTGGTTAGTTTGGATGTTAAAATTTCATTTAAAAGTATATTATTGTTTAATTTATTATTTTAACATGTAATATTTATACTAAATATAGATTACATAATCTGGATCGACAACATACTGAAAATTTTGATTTAGATGCATTTGTTTACACACTTTCATTTTCTTTGACTTGCACTTGTGCATGTTCAAATCTATGTCATTGTTTCAAATTGGAAATACTGTTGAAAATAACCACGCAAATATTGCAAAAACACAACAAAGGAGTAGAATATTCATCTTTTTATTGTATTTACCTAGTAAGATTTTTTTTCAAACTCTCACTATATTTTTCTAGAATATTTAAATAAAAAAATATTCGATACTGCAATATATTCGATACAGGTAAAACGACTGTATACATAAGGGATTTACCTTGACAGTATGAGAGGTACATTTGGGTTGTTTGTGCCTGGCCCTGTGGGACTCCATTTAATTGTGTATATTTCTTTACTGTGAGCCTGCAGGTCGTGCACACATGGATCCTGTCTCATACTCCATATCTAAACATTCAAATGAACAGCCATATCAGAAAGTTCTAGCCCAAAGATTTGTGTAAATTACAGTAATGATTACATATTCATGGTATATTAAAAAGAAAACAAAAACCAATCCTCCAATCTAACAATTCATCAACAGCGTTTGAAACTCGCTGTAAAATCAGGTGGACATGCAGGGCTGACTGCTCGTAAAAGTTGTCAGCCCTGATAAAGATCTACTACCTCGAGAAAATAATGTCAAGTTTGTGTGACTGGGACCAGGTTACCATAACTTCGATCCCAAACTACAGACTGATGATATCTGCCCTTAGTTTGTTACACTTTGCTACTAATACTAATTGTTGATTTGTGACAGATTTATGAAATATATGAATTTTAATCAACTGAAATTTTAACACATCTAGTTTGGTGTCAATACATGCAAATTTGTTTGCCCGGCACAAAATTTATGCATCTCAGGTGGTTGGACGCATGGTTATTTCGAAGACCGTCTTCAATCAGTGTTTTTCTCAACCCAAAATCCCAGGGCTGCATTCAAGATCGTAGCAGCTAACCTAGCAGCTAGATGTTAGATATCTAATCCCTACTGAACGGACAGCTAGCTTGCAGCTAAGTGTCAGATTTCGAATAAAAATATTTCTTTAAAAACTTATTTTTTGGAACAAAAAGAGTTTATTCCAAGTGAAAATGTACATGTAAATTTACATTTATTTCCCTAGGATGTAGAAAACAAAACCCTATTATATTAAATTCCTATGTGTTGCAAAGTTGTAACTAAGGAGGCCATCTTGAATTTGGAACTTAGCATTAAATATTTAAGCTATCTCTCCCTACGTAGCGGCTAGGTTAGCTCTCCGTTCAAGAGCGTAGCTTTATGTAGTGGCTACGTAGCAGCTACGCTGTTGAATACACCCCAGATGAATGGAGTAAGTTTCTCCTAGGAAATGTGGTTGCTTTTTCCCCAAATTAACTATTTTCTCAACTGTTTCTAAGATTCTTCCAAGAATGGATGAAAAAGGCTGCATTTACAATATGGGTGAAAAACATTATCACTACAAAATAAAAGAACAGGATACTTAATTAATATAATTCCTTACTTTTAAGGTCATATCATCTGAGCAAGAGGCAAGAAGTTGTCCTTGAGGATCCCATTTAATGGCATTGACCTCGTTCTGTAAGACAATATAAACATACTGTAGCTAGCTTTAGTACTGAGGGAACAGAAAGAAACCTGATTTGTCAACACTATCACTATTCATATTATACAATCAACAGATACTGTACATATACAAAAACAGAATGTCATGATATCATGAAACAAAAGAAATTATTAGTTGTTGAGACTCAATGAAGGTTTTATGTAGATTTACCCTAGGTTGTATTCCATAGATGCATTGTGATGTCACATTATACAAGTACATTGATTGAATAAACACAATGCATAAGAAATCTATACAGGTGGCTTGAAAAACTGGCTCTAACTAGTTTACTGACATTTACTGATTGATAAAAGAAGTGGTTTTCATAAGAAACCTCAGTGGATGTAACTACAATGGTGTAAAATCCTAATGAATGTAAGTTAAATGCTGGGATAAAATAAAATTTTCTGTTGAAAATCAGATAGTAACTTACAGGAACATTTTTTTTATTCCATACAGACGAAAACTAGACTTTGATACACTATACAAATGAAAACTAGACTTTGATACACTATACAGATGAAAACTAGACTTTGATACACTATACAGATGAAAACTAGACTTTGATACACTATACAGATGAAAACAAGACTTTGTCAGATGAAAACTAGACTTTGATACACTATACAGATGAAAACTAGACTTTGACAGATGAAAACTAGACTTTGATACACTATAAAGATGAAAACAAGACTTTGACAGATGAAAACTAGACTTTGATAAACTATACAGATGAAAACTAAACTTTGATACACTATATAGATGAAAACTAGACTTTGTCAGATGAAAACTAGACTTTGATACACTACACAGATGAAAACTAGACTTTGATACACTATACAGATGAAAACTAGACTTTGATACACTATACAAATGAAAACTAGACTTTGATACACTATATAGATGAAAACTAGACTTTGACAGATGAAAACTAGACTTTGATACACTATACAGATGAAAACTAGACTTTGAAAACTAGACTTTGATACAGCAGATGAAAACTAGACTTTGATACACTATACAAATGAAAACTAGACTTTGATACACTATACAGATGAAAACTAGACTTTGATACACTATACAGATGAAAACTAGACTTTGACAGATGAAAACTAGACTTTGATACACTACACAGATGAAAACTAGACTTTGATACACTACACAGATGAAAACTAGACTTTGATACACTATATAGATGAAAACTAGGCCAGAGCTCCCACTGGAGCAAAAGTATTTTTCGCCACTTTTCGCGATGAAAGGAATCACAGTTTTACATCTCGTCTCGACATGTGTACAGTGTTATAAACACTCCACTAATAGCACTATTTCAATTTGTTTATATCACAGGCATTGTTTTAAAATTGTAAAATTTAAAGTTGTATCCACTTACAAAACTGATATAGGAATTATTTCTACATTTATACAATTAATTTGATACTGATATTAGCCAACTCTTGACAGTAGATGTCCTCTTGTTCATAACTTTTTAGCCTGGGGAGGGGGGTTACAGACTTAGTAAAGATAAATGACATTTTTTTTAAAAATGAAAAAATAATATAATAGGCGAAAATTTTAATCATATCAACAATTTATTGTGAAAAGAAGTAATTAAAATCAGGTTTAAAACTTGGCTTAATTTAACAACTTGGACACTGGGTGTATATGCATGTAAATTCATATAACTGAAAATAATTCAGCGTAATTGACAAAAGTATTGTTTTGTTTCCAAGCCAGTATCTCTTTCACTCTTTGTCAGTTTATGGTATAATGAAAACACTATTTTGTCTTTAATCAGGTAAAATTAGCAGCCATGCTCTGCAATTTTCGTCATGTTTTCCTACTTTCGGTTTAAAAAAAACAATCTATATAGATCCAGATTTTATTGATTAAAATCTTTTATTAACTAACTTCATCTCCCAAAAACACTTCGTCTTTCCTTGTTTAATCCATCTTATATTATTTCAAGTAATTTTGTATCCCCTTACTGCTCCAGGCTAAAGTTACCTACTAAATCAGCTGTGTGCGTTCAAGCGAGACGTGATTTCCTACATGTACATTGCTTTGTTAGTTTCATGGAGTTTTCACACCCTGAATTCACATGTCTACTTGGATTAAATAAACAAAGGGGCTAATCTGTATACATTGAATTAAACAAAGGAGATAGCCAGGAGTACACACACTTTTGTATGGTATATCTAAAAAAGTTCATTTTCGCCACTTTTGAATTTCTTTTCGCCACTTTTGGAAAAAATTCGCAATTGGCGCAAATGGCGAATCACAGCTCGAGCCCTGAACTAGGCTTTGATACATTATACAGATGAAAACTAGACTTTGATACACTATACAAATGAAAACTAGACTTTGATACAGCAGATGAAAACTAGACTTTGATACACTATACAGATGAAAACTAGACTTTGATACACTATACAGATGAAAACTAGGCTTTGATACAGCAGATGAAAACAAGACTTTGATACACTATACAGATGAAAACTAGACTTTGATACACTATACAGATGAAAACTAGACTTTGATACACTATACAGATGAAAACTAGACTTTGACAGATGAAAACTAGACTTTGATGCACTATACAGGTGAAAACTAGACTTTGACAGATGAAAACTAGACTTTGATACACTATACAGATGAAAACTAGACTTTGATACACTATATAGATGAAAACTAGACTTTGACAGATGAAAACTAGACTTTGATACACTATACAGATGAAAACTAGACTTTGATACACTATACAGATGAAACCTAGACTTTGATACACTATACAGATAAAAACTAGACTTTGATACACTACTCAGATGAAAACTAGACTTTGATACACTATACAGATGAAAACTAGGCTTTGATACATTATACAGATGAAAACTAGACTTTGATACACTATACAAATGAAAACTAGACTTTGATGCAGCAGATGAAAACTAGACTTTGATACACGATACAGATGAAAACTAGACTTTGATACACTATACAGATGAAAACTAGGCTTTGATACAGCAGATGAAAACTAGACTTTGATACACTATACAGATGAAAACTAGACTTTGATACACTATACAGATGAAAACTAGACTTTGACAGATGAAAACTAGACTTTGATGCACTATACAGATGAAAACTAGACTTTGATACACTATACAGATGAAAACTAGACTTTGATACACTATACAGATGAAAACTAGACTTTGATAGATGAAAACTAGACTTTGATACAGCAGATGAAAACTAGACTTTGCTACATTATACATACTGTATGTCCCTGGAATGTTTTCATTGGCCGCTCCATGCCGAGCCTACACACATGGATGCACTGATCGGTAGAACAAGAAGCAAACGTAGCATTACTCTGCCAGTCCACATCCAGCGCTGGAGCTATGTAATCAAAAGGAACTCATTATATCCATGCTTTAAGTTTTACCGATTTTATAAGTAGGGCTATATTATATCATTAATATGTATGTTATCAAAAGCACATCATTATTTTCATCCATGTATTAAGTTTCACTGATTTCATAAGTATTGCTGTATTATATGTCATGTTTTAAAGTCCTATATGGCTTATTTTTTATAAGTTCAGACTAAAATTAAAAAGATCTTTTTCTTTTATTACTTTAGATAAAGATAGGACTTTCCTGTAAATTATTCAATTCAAATTAATCACGTTACAAAGATATTAGAACTTTAAAACAATAACCGATTTATTTATCGACTCTGCATTTAAATAAGAGACGCAGTTTAAAATCAATTTAACTATGGAAACATGAGGTTATTCAAGTTCAAAATCGGTAAAAATTTGAATTTGAACATAAATAACATATATGTTTATATACACTCAATCTCGTATTTTTATTTTTTTAGCTCAGATACGTCATATACAGCTTTAATTTACGTTTGACTGATTTGATGTTTTACAGGTTTTATATGTATTGCTGTCTATACTTCCTGGTGGAATGCACTGCTCACCTGAGTGAAATGCAAATTGCTGTGTACAATTTCCAGAGCTGGCATCCCATATTATTGTCGTCTAAAACAAAAATATCAATATGATGAGCATTTATTTATATCAAGACTGGATGATCTGTCCAGGGCTACAGAAATGTGTATATATATTGTAATTAATTTTCTAAGTCTCATCAGAGTATGTGTATAATTATACTAATTCTGGAAAAACCAATATTGCAATAGCAAGAGATTAAACACAAGTCTTCACATTAGATGTTATGTGAACATATTTTACAAGTTGTATACTTCAGTAATACCTTGTCAACTCCTGCACTCAGAATATAATTCCCTCTCTTGTTCCACTTTAGGGCAAATATTGGTCCTTTGTGTTGCCCCAATGTGTTCACTAATCTGCCTGTAACACAAAAATAGGAACAAATTATATACAAAATTTTTATTATTGAAAGTACATTATGCAGTAAAACATGCTTATAGCAAACACTCTTATAATGATATTGACACTTATAGCAAAGTGATTTTCATTCCCTTTGACTTTAAAATACAGTTGAACTTTGGTATCTCGAATACCATGGATATGTCAAAGTGATTAGGAGGTCCCAAGAATTTTTTCTTTAAGTATTTTACCCTCAATATCTAAAATCCTCGGATATTTCAAAGTTTTTTCTAGGTCCCATCAGTTCGAGATGATGAGGTTTGACTATATATTGTAAACTTAACAGATATAATGAATTACACTTATAACAAAGCAAAATCATCCGTCCCTGGCACTTCAGCCATATTTTTATCTCTGAAAAATGTTGTTGCACTTTTTGTTTTGTTTTGAAAAGTTCAACATTTTCAAATGTTGGCAGGTATTTCCTATTGATTCTACAATTTTTAGCAATCATGGCATTATCTTTACTAATGTAGTCTAACATTGGGAGGAAAAGGACTTTGAAAGGTTTTCATACATTATTCTACTTTTAGTAATCCCAATGGCACCATAGATGATCTATGATAGATCATCAACAGAAAAAAAAAATCTTAGGTTGTGTATCTGTGTTCTTACTTTCAATGAATCACACCAAAACTATAGGAGAGGGAATTAAATAAAATATCCCATGGAATTTCAATTTTAAGTAACCATGGTAACACTGTTCCTCCAAATTAAAGAATTATGTCTTCATTAGGTCTACTTTTGTACAAAGTTTTATCAAATTTGGACCAAAGCTATAGAAGAATTTGAAGTAGCATTTACAAAATTGTTTCCAGGGAAACATGCAAAAGACAAATGATAGACACTCCACCAATACATAAGCTGCTCTGGTCTTCTAATTTTAAATCTAAGACTGGAGAAAAACATCAATTATACCATTCTCTAGAGTACCCTCTAAACTTTCAAATTAAAAATTCTTCCAGTAATACGACAAAGCATCTAATTAATTAATTTCATGTACTTTAAATTTCTTTTTAGTTCATTTAACAATAAGACATTTACAAGGAAATAACAGAAGTTTCTCATTAACACTATTATCACTTCGTATATGTGATGTTTATATTAAAGATAAACTCTTCTAAGTGTTAATAGTTAAATTAATGTGATAATTATGTAAAAGACTGATGTATTGGCTTACCCTCTGTACTCCATATCCTGGCATAGCCATCATAAGACCCTGTAGCTAATAAAGTTCCTTCACACTGTAAAATATTTCATGAAATATCAATCTGGTTTCCACAGAAACACCTGTTTAAAATTTAAGAATATAGACCCCACAGAGACATAACTAAATGCCACTCAAATTAAATTACCATATTCTATGTAATTCACACATTCTAAAACTTAATATCAAATATAATCAATGAAAAACATGTAATGCCAAGTTGTTGATAACCCTGGAATTTTTTTTCTTCTAAAGATATGATAATTCACACATTCTAAAACTTTATATCAAAATTAAGATGTACATGCAAAATTGTTGGTATCCTTGGGTATTTTTTTTTTCAAGATATGATAAATGAAAAAAAAATTGTACATGTAGTTGTATCTTTGAACACAAATTATTCCATATGATAAACTAGAAGTCATTGGCCCACAACATTACCTTTGATAAACTTCTCTGACAAATCAATATCAAAATGAACCCCCTTACTTCATTAATACAAAGCCCAGCTCTACCTCTGGCTCAGTTTTTGTATGATAAAGTTTTTTCTGGTTCAGGAAATCTAAAGCTACAATTAAGGGGAAGAAGGACCTTGAGCTGAAAAAATACCTGTCATTCAATTCTTTTCATATTTTGTATATTTCTTATTAAGTATGCCCCACATATCTTAAAGCAGTTATATCATTAGGTTTCTTACCTTATTTTAGAGATATTGATTGACAAATACTATGCCCTACAGTATCTATGTAGAGTTTTAGTTCTCCATATTTCCGGGCCCATTTCTCTGTCCATAATGGGATTTTTTAAGCAAAGATAAAAAATATGTAAGTGGACATGTTTCATAGTATGAATAGGGTTTAAAATTCGAAAAAGCAAGTTTCTTCTATCACACTGCATCTGGATAGCGAAAATTACGTACTTTTTAAGACAACTTTAACAACAAAAAACGTAATTTACCAAAAATTCTATCATTCAATATTTTTAAATTTACGTTGAAATGTAAGTCCTTCAAATCATTGATTAACTGTAAAAATTTCGAATGGTGAAGCTGACCTCAATATTGCACAGGACATCGTTAAAGAGGACATAAGCATGACAAAAACATGTCATGTTTACATTTCTTGAGTACGGGAAAAACCAACTATGACGTCACATGTAAGCTAAATAAGCGAAAGAAGATATACCTACATAAGATTTCCGTCATCAGCCATGCAAAAATAATTTTTGTATTCCCTGTGTCTCAGAATATTTAATCATATACTGATTAAGACCTGTTTCAACAAAGTAACACCGCTCCCGTATTCACTGAGTATGATCTTGCTGTACTAACAGATCGTGTATGACATCACCGACTTGCTGGATGCGCAGTTTAGGGAAACAGAGGAGTGGATCAATCTTTTTTATAATTTGTTAATGTTTACAAGAATTTTAAAACTTTTTATTTTTTTCATATAAGATGGTTATTAAAGTTAAAAAAATGTCAAAAAATTATACAAGAACTGATGCTTTACACGCTTTGCTCTTATATAAACGGAGACTATGACGTAGTTAAACAGAGTCATGTGACCATCTGTCCTTCTCCTCCTTAAGTGCTTATTTGTATATGTTTGCTATATAAAAATCAATCTATATCATATTACATATAATCTCTTTACATATACCCACCCAGAGTACAGTATCCATAAGAAGCATTTGACAATTACCATACCTACTCAGTAAGCCCGAATTCTTTATATGATATAAGAAAGTCCTGACCTCTAAATGCCTGGGGACACACCCTTAATCTACACGTTGGGCACTAATCCTCATTTATCATTGTTGTATGAACTTTGTGTACTCTGAACACAGACCTTCTATTGCTATCTGATATATATACAATTATACATATACCGGTACATGCATGTGTATGTACTTACATTTAAGTCCATGGACGTGACAACTTTGTTACTGGGTACTTCAGTACCGCCTTTCTGTATACAGTACCTGAGGACTAACTGATGTATGTATGTATGTATACTTACATTCCAGTCCAGGGATGTGACGTCTTTGTTACTGGGAACCTCAGTGCCATCTTTCTGTATACAATGCCTGAAGCTAACTGATGTATGTATGTATGTATACTTACATTCCAGTCCAGAGGTGTGACATCTTTGTTACTGGAAACCTCAGTACCCCCTTTCTGTATACAATGCCTAAGGACTAACTGATGTATGTTTGTATTATGTATACTTACATTCCAGTCCAGGGATGTGACATCTTTGTTACTGGGTACCTCAGTACCGCCTTTCTGTATACAGTGTCTGAGGAATAACTGATGTATGTATGTTTTATGTATACTTAATTCCAGTCCAGGGATGTGACGTCTTTGTTACTGGGAACCTCAGTACCCCCTTGCTGTATACAATGCCTGAGGACTAACTGATGTATGTATGTTTTATGTATACTTACATTCCAGTCCAGGGATGTGACATCTTTGTTACTGGGTACCTCATTACGCCTTTCTGTATACAGTATCTGAGGACTGACTGATGTATGTATGTTTTATGTATATTTACATTGCAGTCCAGGGATGTGACGTCTTTGTTACTGGGTACCTCAGTGCCACCTTTCTGTATACAGTGCCCGAGGACAAACTGGTGTATGTATGTATACTTGCATTCCAGTCCAGGGATGTGACGTCTTTGTTACTGGGTACCTCAGTACCACCTTTCTGTATACAGTGCCTGAGGACTAATGTATGTATGTATACTTACATTCCAATCCAGGGATGTGACGTCTTTGTTACTGGGTACCTCAGTGCCATCTTTCTGTATACAGTACCTGAGGACTAACTGATGCATGTATGTATGTATACTTACATTCCAGTCCAGGGATGTGACGTCTTTGTTACTGGGAACCTCAGTGCCACCTTTCTGTATACAGTGCCTGAGGACTAACTGGTTGGCACTGTAACAACTGTTGTCATTCATGTTCCAAATCCTGGCTGTGGAATCTCCAGACCTGTCACAAATCAAAGAAATTCAAAAAATATTGCATTACCTGTAATTCCAGAAGGTGAATGGTTCAATGTCTTTAAGTTAGATTTGATTTTAAAGATAATAGTAATGGTAAGGGTTGTCCTTAAGAATTGAAATAGCAGGGGACATTTAAAAAATAGAAGATGGAAACAAAAGGAGCTAGTCTAAGAATACATTTTTTGCATGCAATATATACAATTTATAAAAAAAAAATACTTTTGCTACTTTTTAATTTTTTAATCACTACTTTGGGAACAAGAGGCCCATGGGCCACAACACTTACCTGAGTAACTTTGGCCCTGGTGTTCACCAGATATCCCCCTTGTAATACTCATTGTGGCCTAGCTGCAATAATGTAGCCCTCTCCCGATTTTTTTTTTTTTTTTTTTTTTTTTTTTTTTTTGGGAGAGGGCTACAACTCCTTAGGATCTCCGTAATGGTGCAAGTGCGGGAGTGATTCACCACGCGAGAACTGTCATGGCTTCTGATGAGAGCGACTGGTAAACAAGCAGATTTATTTTATCTGGTTTTCGCGTTTAACGGGCTATGTTGTTGACAGTGAATAAAAATTTCGCCTTTTTAGAAGTAAGTTGAATGTAAAAACAATTTATTTTGCCTGCAGTCGCCCGTATATAAATCAAAAGCCTGAAAGGCTTCAATGACGTCGAAGAAGAAAAACAATTTCAAAAGATCATTTTGAATTTGAAGATAGCAATAAGTCAAGTGAGTGACTCAGGAGACATAATAAAAAAATAGTTTTAAACAAAATATCACAATTACAGTCTGGGGCCTTATGTCATGGTCCGAATGGAGCAGGGTTTGAATTGACCAGACACCGTCGAACATGTTCATGCTAAATTCTTATCAGTCAGTTGAAGAACTATGAAGGATTTCATGAATTTATATAATATTTTTTCTAATTGCCAATGTCAAAGCGTTGTATTAGTGATTGCATCTAAACTACAACCAAGACTCTTCTGTTACAATTGCGATTGAGTTACGATCGGGCGTGGTATACGGTATACTGGGAAATGGAGGAAATGGAGAAATACAGTAATACTGGTCAATATCATCGGCTTTTAGGATAGAATTGGTTAGAAGATTTTATAAGTAAAGCTAAGATTTAGAAATTCAATCTTTTTAGTCTTGTAGTATTCGTGTTTATGTAATTTTGTAATTATTTTACCTCCTGTTGTGTTGTTTATGTTACACGGTTATCGTTCCGAAATGTTATTCATGTCATTCCACGCACCCTTTCTGTAGAAATTCATCCGCAACAACCATCACATTTTTCTTGTGTGAGAATAAAACATAATATTGTTGTTTTGCAATAGAATTATTTGCAGATATAGTTGATGCAATTTTATTTTCAAGCTATTTTTCATTTTGAGCGTTTTCAAAGAAATGGTTTATAGCTATTGCTATTTTCTATTGCGGATGCATCGACTGACACATTCGGTCGCATACATATCCGGTCGCGATTTCAACTGGGCGCTTGCTAGATGACGTTCGAGCTCCAAGAGCTCGACGTCATAAAAACATATTTGCACCATTACAGAGATGCTGTGGAATTGTAGCCCTCTCCAGAAAATATCAGATAAAAAAAAATCGGAGAGGGCTACATTATTGCAGCTAATTGTGGCCCTACACTACCCCAGGGGGCCATGATTTGAACAATTTAGAATCTACCCTACCTCAGGATGCTTCCGTGTAAGTTTCAGCTTTTTTTTGGCTTTTCGCCTTGAAAAGAAGATTTTTTAATGACTCAACCCTATTTTTGTCTTTTCTTGATTATCTCCCCTTGGAATGGGGCTTGGCCCTTCATTTTAACAATACATATTCCCCTTCACCCAAGGATGATTTGTACCAACTTTGGTTAAAATTGGACAGGTGGTTCTTGAGAAGACGATAAAAATGTGAAAAGTTTACAGATGGATGGACGGACAGACGGACGGATGGATGGACAACAGGTGATCAGAAAAGTTCACATTGTGCTTTCAGCTCAGGTGAGCTAAAAAAAAAGTCATTAGAAAAGGAGGCTCAAGAACTGACTGTATGCATTTTTCTGTTTTAAAGTTTTGATATCTTCGTACCCTGAAGCCAGTAAATCATTGGTGGGATTCCATGCACAGATGAAAACCTCAGACTCATGCCCTCGTAGAACTGTAGCTTTGTTTGTGGGAATTTCCTGACCACCATCCACTTCCATTGAATCTGTGTGATTGGCTAAAAAAAGTATGTGCTTAATTAATACAAGTAAAAATTTTTTTTTTATCCTAAGAGAACAAAATTATTTACATGAAAAGTCTACATTTCAAAAAGAAATTAGTCAGAAACGGTTATGTCCCTTTTGATCTTTGCACAAAAGATTATGCTTATACCTTTATGAAAAAGACTATAAGTGTACAAAGGGAGAGGATAGATGATTGAAACAGACTATAATCACCCAACCAATCTTTCGCAAGTTTCAATAAACCCTACAAATTCTGAAACAGACTATATTTGTTGGCTGGAAGAATCTGCCCCATGTGTAGGTGTCACAACCAGTTCAACAACCTGTCATCCCCATATCTGATTTTCTCATAGACTCTTCCAAACAGAAACAACACAACCTAAACTCCCCCATGCAAACAGAAAATAGAATAGGCTTCACATCTGAAGGAAAAAGTTGGAAATTTGCCAATATTAATCTATTATTCTGAAATACCACAGTGCAATTGAACTCTATCGTGTTTATGGTGTATATTTAGGCGTGATTAAAATAGATCAAGTGTTACTAGCGGGAAGTTGTTTTTCCAGATCACACAGGAATGTAGGGTAATTTCTTGCCACACGTTTTTTCCCCTCTGGATAATAGCCAACAGAAAGATCGACAGATAATTTTAAAAACCAAACGCATACGAATTTATGAATTTTTTAAAGAACAGGGTCAAAGGTTCAATCCAAGTAGATTATGGCAATTCAGTTTTTTTTCTGCATGATTTTAACAATACTATAGATCACAAGTATACACCTTAAATAAAGTTGGCAGATTACTGAAGCTAATCAGTGGCATTATCTGTAATATGATAAATAGACAATTCATGTGATATTCCCTTGAACACACCTTCTGCACTCAAAATGAGACATCCTGGTTTGATCGATGAAATCAGGAAACCAACAAATATTAACCCTGATCACACCAATCTGATTTCTTGCTGTTTTTAACTTGGACGACATGAATTGCATAGAGTACAAGCCCATGCTAGATCAAGCAATATTGATTTTCCTTTCTGTGTGTGAAGGACGAGTCTGAGCATTGACGTCAACAGTGATCTTTAATAATATATTCTAGAACCTCTTAGAAACCCATCTCCTATGAAAATAGGAAGTGATCAGCCAAGACGAGACTCATCCAAAATACAACATTACAGCTTGGTTAGCATGCTTGAGGAGGTTATCCCTGGGTCAACAGCTGCTTTTAGAGTGCATTGCTCTCGCTTTAACAGTTTATTTGTTCTACAGCTTGTATTTATCTTTTTCCTTTCTTGGTTTATCTTTTGAATCAACATCTCCAAATTTTTTTCCCTAGGTCAACATTTTCAAAATTTGAGAGTCCCAACATGGACTGATCCGTGTCAGTTATCTGTAGCTGTGACCCCCCAGAGAATGAGTCAGACCTAGGCAGTCAGATGTTATCAGATCAGGCCTGGATGGATTTATTATGACTTGTTAGATGCCAGGTTGGCAAATCAATACACCACAAATAAGTGACCTTCACCTTGCTTCAATTGATTAAAAAGAAAAACCCCAAAGGCACAAGTTGCAATAAAGAGCTTCATTTTCCTGTGTGTCATTCAGTGTGAAGATTATATGTTTGCATAACAAAGTCATGTGGCCATTATGTGGGCTGATTTATAAGCCTGCATAGACAGATTCACAAGAGTTATGCAGTACAGATCATTCGGCAATTAGGTCACTGTAAAATATCCTTAAGTAATACTATTTTCATATTCTTTCCTTTTAAATCTAGATCAGCCTGAAATGTCAGATTAGCTTGATGCTACTAATTAAACTGTTTTCCATGCCTGGTAGGTGTACTTTGTTCACTTCTCAGCTATCCATATATATTCTTGAATGTGCATTATTCCATTTCTATAGGTGCAGATTTTTTGAGTATGCATTACCAATTTTTGTAGGTGCAGATTCTTTAAGGACCCTCTCTACACGGCACCCTATTTTCAGGGCACTTTTGTGTAATTAGACTGACCCACCATTTGACATATAGGTAAAATAAATTGTAATCTGAATTGTATCACATAATTTAAAATAAATCCAAGTATTCCAAACATTATATTAGACCAAGATAGAGTATTTGAAAACTTTATTTGCATGTATTTTATCCATTTGAGTAAGCAAAGGCAATTTTTCTTTTCTATTACTTCAATGTCTTTGAAGATTTTTCCTAAATAAAAAAGGCATGCTCCCTATATTGAAAATGAGTCAGTTAATTTCAAAATATCTTCCTTTATGTTAAATAATTTCCTCAAAGTCCAAAAAATATTTTTCATCAGTGTATAGAGGGTCCTTAAGTGTGCAACAATTACAAATTTCTGTAGGTGCATTTTCTTTGAATGGGCATTAAAACCAGTTTCTGTATATGTAGATTCTTTGATTGTGCATTAACTAACAATTTCTCTAGGTGCACTTGTGCATTAAGTACCTATTTCTTTATGTGCATTTGAGTGTGCATCATTTACCTATTTCTGTATGTGCATTTGAGTGTGCATTAATTACCTATTCCTGAATATGCATTGAGTGTGAATCATTTATTTATTTCTGAATGTGTGTTTGAGAGTGCATCATTTACTTATTTTTTATATGTGTGTTTGAGTGTGCATTAAATACCTATTTCTGTATTGCATTTGTGTGTGCATCATTTACCTATATTAGTATGTGCACTAAATGCCATTAATTACCAATTTCTGCAGGTGCAGCCTCCTCCCCATTGGTGCTGGCGGGTTCTGTCTTGATCTTAGGAGCTGGTTGTGCTGCCTGTTTCTTAGACTCCACAACGTCAGGCATTACAGCATCAATCAGGGTCAAAGCTTCAATGTTCTTGGCCTGTGCACCATCCTACAAATATTTTACAAATATTGTCAAACATCCTTCAACCAGCTGCACAGTTGTACATTAGTACAGTAGTGTATTCCCTTCCCAAGGTGCCATTTGAAGAAATTTTGATCTTTAAATACAAGAATTATTAGTAAGTGGTAATACCATTTGGTCAACAATTTCTAGAATGTTGTATTTCCCAATCAATACCCAAGCCATCCCTCTTCATATATTGGAATTTGACACCCCGCCCCACCCCCTTCTATTATCTAGACATCTTTAATGAGCCATCTCTCCGATTTCAGCACAACATCTGTATATCTATCCATAGGATTATTATTTGTGTGCCTAGAACTCACCTTCAGTTGGATTCTACATACCTCTAGAAACAAGAAGCATATTCAATACTTTGATAAATCTCTGATAGATACAGTATTCTGAATTTATATTAAAAGAGAAAGCAAAATTCCATTTGTTAAGTCAGACATGATTTGATACTTCAGGTTAAAATAAATGATTTTTGTATGTTTAACTAATGAATAAATCTGATAATGAAAAAACTTGTTATACAATTAACTTTTCCATCTGTGACTTAATATTATCTCTGGTATGCCTAAAGTGTATGCATCATTGAAGAACACATAATTATGTTACTACATGCTCAACCTGAGTTTAAAATCACTCAATATCGCATTTGTCTTGTAAAATTCAGTATACCTTAAGCGGAAAAATAATATAATTTTGTACATTGTTGAACTTGTTTTCTACACATCATAATTTATTAAAATGGATCTAGAATATGTGCCTTTTCTCAATTTTCCAATTATGCTGAGCAATTATTGTGGCCAATAATGATAACAAGTCTATTTACTTGATAAGCTGACAGATTCAAACACATTTCAAATTTTACTTAACCCTTAAATGCAGGTAATATTGTGGGACATCGATTATTTTGATTGTATCACATACACTAAGAGTCAATTCTTGTGCAAAGCTCCAATACTTCAATATGTGCATAAAATAAGCCTGAAAAAGGGTTGCTCAATGCATGACATCCTAGACCCATAAATTTTCTTTCAAAGGTCAAATAATTAATCTGATTTCAGTTCTATCGTGAAATGCCATCAGTGTTAGCCTCAGACGACTAAGTGAATGGTATAAATGTCTGACATAGAGATCATGTCTTTTGTATTAAGTAGGATATATACGTATGGGTGGGGGGAAGCGAAGGTGAAAGGCTGACACTCAAGCACTAGTCTTATCGGTGACTAACACTGCAGGTTATCTAACCAGGACTTTTTCATGTGTATTCCAGGGCAGGCTGGGGGGAATTCTTATCTCTGTGAACTTTCAGTGCTACCAGATCATATTTTTCACATCTAATCTTAAGCATATTTTATTGAAATAGACCGTTACAGAGAACTTGATTACCCCTTTTTTTCCAATCATAAATATTTTCATAAAGACAGCTTTACGCAGAGCAATTCTAGAACATATTTTAAAAAACATGCCTGGAGCCTTACTTTGTCAGATCTTACTTTCCTTAACATCTGTATGACCTTACAGGAATTTTTAACCTACATAAATTGATAACTTTTGAACTTGGATCTTTAACATACAATACATACCGATAATAACTTAATGTTGTAAATAAGAAAGCATGATCAAATACTAAGTTCTAGTCACAATCTAATTTAAGAACTGTAACTAAACCTGGTCATTTAGAGAAATTCAATATTTCATGTCTTTGGCTCAACCTTTTGTATACTACTTCACAAACTATGCTGAAATATATCAATATTTGAAACACTGATACAATACAGATTCATGATTGCAACAGTCAATGTTTTCGTTTTTGTTTTAAATTTTAGAAGTGGTAGTATTAGTATGTGTATACCTCCCCAATGCTGATTTCCGCCTCTGTATACTGTAGGCCTTTCATTATGATGTTGAGGAGAGCAGCAGGAGGAACTAGTGCCCCATTGATATTTGACTGGCTGATGTGACTCTCTATTCCAAAAGTGTACGCTGAGTGTACAAAACCTATAAAATTGAAAATAAAAATTTACATAAATGACCAAAAAAAAAAAAAACCTTCAAGTGTTCCCTTAAGTGCACTCTTTTCCATGAAAGTTAGATTAAGTATAAATCTTTCAAGATTTTTGGGTACAAATTTTGAAAGTAACAAAACAAGATATACAATTTTTTTTTTTCAGAGTGATCAATGCCTCATTTTATACTACCATTCCCTTATGTCATACATGTATTTCCTTTTATGGAAGAATTCCCAGCTACAATGTGTCTATTGTTACAACACTGTCTTCAACCTGAATGCTTCTCCAACACCAAAGAGTTCCTTAGTACATCATTAAAAAGGTTCTTTTGATTCTGTCCAAAGGTTACTTTTTCTATAAATGCTTCCAAAATGAACTTAAAAAATCTTTTTGTCACTCATCTTTTTGTAATATTTTAATTTAGCAATCTAGGAACAGACATAAGTTTATTCAAACAATGACCTCCTGATGTTAAAAGTGAAATGACTTGAGTTGACAGCAGACATGCCACTTTAAACCTGAGTGGTTGCTGCTATACCAATGTTCATTGTGACAAGTATTTCCTGCAGTGCATTAACTGAGGTCAATGAACTTCTGATTCCCTGATCATGCACATTTATCATTATGAAACAAATGTGTTATCTATGTCCCAGTGATTTGTTCACTGTGTTCTGTCCTTCATTAACTATAAACTTTATTTTATTGATATGTTACCCATACCAACCAATGTGGAATACAAACCAACACTGTAGAGTTCCATAAGTACTTGTTAGACCAAGCAATTCACAATACATAGGTATTATAACAGTAGTTAAGTTTTAATGAACTTTATATAAAAAGAATTTCATATCTTGAGGATGAATTCTGTATCAATTCTACAAATTTATTTACGTAAACCTACAATTTATGCATTACAGTAACCAGGAGTAAATGCTATATTTAGAAGACTGTACAACCATTGATTTTTTTTTTTATTATGAGCATGAACACAGTGAAACTTTCTTGTTGGAAGCTTAAATCAAGAGGCCTACAGGCCTTTACAGTCACCTGAGAAACAATGTAATATATATCTACAGTATCCACCTGTACCACAAATTTTAAAATTACTCTGCTGAAATTATATAGCCCAAATAAATTTCATTATCATTATTTTCTGTCAACAGTGAATGTTTCTCTGTTGCTATTTCATAATCTTAAGAATTACTTGTTTTGTTTTCCAATAACCTTCACCTTGTCTTCTTTTTTTCTTTTTTAGCTTATTCCTGTGACAAAACCTTGATTTATAGTCATCCTCATAATAGTCATTGGTTTAAATAATGTGAGTCTCTTAAGTTTCTTTCTACATTTTCTTAGTGATCACCAAGTAAATGTCTGCAATTTAGACAGAAATAGTGATTTATACATCAACAAAAGAAATTTCAGGTATAATGATGGATCGACAATGCTAAGACTGAACCTTAGATCTAGAGGTCATGATTTCCATAACAGACGACATTGTGCTAAGTAGTACCATGCACACAGGTGCATGTAAAAACAAATTATGTCTTAAACCACAAAACATTATTGTCATGACAACAACCCAACCCTGAGACTGAATCCTGCACTCTGTATAATCATACAGTTATTATGTTTACATTTGGGATGTGCAGAAAAAAAGAGGAGTGTGCTCAAAGTTAAGCTACATCTCCAATAAATGGTCATTTAAGGTCAAAATTAAAATTTTGTAGCTTATGTGAAGAAGTTATTACTCATTATATACTTGGCAAATATTATGACTTCTTTGTGTCCAATGGGAAAAGAGATTTTCAAATATTTCTCATTTCAAATAGAATTACATACACGTAATTAATAATGCATTAACTTGTACAATTAATGGAACTCATCTGTAACACTCTGCATCTTGGGGTCAAAAGTTTTGGAATTTAGAGAACAGATTTATTTGCTCTTCATAATGCGGTTTGCCTTCTAGGTGTCCATAATGTATTCAAAAATAGCAATGATTCTGATTGTTTTTTATCACACTCCTCAGACTGGCCCACTGGGGTTTTCACAAAAACCACTTCATCTTAAATATACCTATTAAATGGGTTGAGCCATTTCAGAGAAGTTGAAAATATTAATATCAAATTTACAATCTATTGTTAATGAATAAAAAACAACAGACAAAAACACTTAACAGACATCAAATGAGTGACACCATAAACATCTGAACAAATAATTATTTTCCTTACAATCAAAGTAATAAAATATCCTTTCTTATTAATACATTCAAAATGTGCTAATTTAATTCATGATTCTACTGGACAAGGCTAAGCATAGAAATCATTGTGTAAGCAAAACAATTACAGACTAAAGAGCAACAAAGAATTTTACAGCCATATTTGTCGTCTCCAAGCCTACCCTCTGGTATCAAAGGTATCTGATGAGACTGTAGCTCTACTGCTCTGTTATACAATCTATTAGGAAAACTGTAGAAAATTGGCAGCTGTAGAATTTTCCTTTTCGGGACTAGGGCTAGGGCCATAAAAATTGGGAAAACAAGGGGTCTTTTGGGGAATTTTGGGAAAAATATTTTACATAAAAATCATTATATATGGGGTTCCTGGTGTTTGTTTTCCATCATTTCTATTTTGCAATACAAATGAAATGTGAGAAACAAGTTTAAATATTATATATATCTAACAATACATTCTTTAATATTGAGGAGAAATGACTTTTGGAAAATTTAACACATTCAACTGGGAAAAAATGTACCTTTTTTGGAACTAGGAATGGGGCTTTGAACTGCCCTAGTTATAGACATTTGAGAGTCCTGAGCTGGACTTGAAGCACTCTTTCCAGTTTCCCCACCTATCACGTGAAATGCTGCTGTTTTCTAATCAAAACCTGAAGTCGAAACTGTAGGGGGAGCAGTGATTGGGATAAGCACGCGCCCTATGCCATAGTCGCATTAAATTAAATATTGGCACATTGCTATTTAAAAGGCTGAGCCGTTATGGCGCATATCATCATCACACATACTTTTAAACTTTGAACATTTGGTGTCATATTTACGCTTGAAAAATTAAAGTAACCATGGTAACTGCTGTCCAGTAAAGCATAACGATGACTTACATTTCTTCAGTATCTTATCAAACTCTTAAATGTTTTCTGATTGCATGGTTAATACCATAAGTTGACATTCAGGGATCGAAATTAACTTTTTTCACCACAGGCTAATTTTAGCCTGTACATATAAAATTCACAGGCTAAAACGAAGATCTACAAGCTAAAATTAAAAGAGTAATCAAATGCCTTTTCATGCTTTATTTTAATCAATAACAATACAGGGCCCACTATAGTGGGTCAGTCAGGGCTCGACATTAATGCTTGTCCGGTACCAATGAAAAAAAATTACGGACAAGTGAATATTGCTGGGCACTTGTCCGATTGGACAAGTGTATTTTAATGTAAAGGAGTCTCTAAATAATAAAAAGAACGACTGTTGAAAGTTAATCGGTAGTTTCAAGACGGAAGCTGTTACAGTACATAAAAACTGGACTTCAATCTCGATAGGGATCGCTATATTAATTGAGTTCACATTCGATCGGGATCGAAGTTCACTAATTGCATACTACTGAAAAGGCATGGAACTTACGAACTTAACGAAGTATGATTCACTTGTGGACATTTATGTTGTTGTCAGACCAGAAAGACTAGATAAAATTTCGTTTTATGTGTTTGTTGTATTTATCAATAACATCACAAATCAATCAAGCACAAGTCATGTGTAATGGACTTTATTTTAGTTTTCCAGTTGACAGTATTAGATATTTACTGAAAATTTTTCGGACAAGTGAAGTTGAAGTTCGGACAAGTAAATGTCTTGGTCACTTGTCCGAATGGACAAGTAGGAAAAAAAGTTAATGTCGAGCCCTGTCAGTACAGAATTATGATCTGGTCATGGATCATCAATGTTTTTACGTTTAAAAAATAGTAATCAGGCCTAAAAAAATGTTTGTTTCCTGTAACATTCCCCAAAAAATCAAGGTCCAGTAGGTTGGGATTTTTTTTTTCGCTAATGAACATTAGGGTCAAACATCCCAGACTGAATTAACCAGGTGTGATATTTACAGCAGGCACCCAACATGGCTGTCAACTGTCTAGTGGCGGAAAACAAACTTCAAAAAAGTTTCGGGAGAAATGCTTGATGTTACAATAGTGATTACTTTTTATTTAAGGTAAATGTTGACTAGGTAAACGTATTTTATATCTCAAATAAAGCTACAATTAAAAATTTTTGTATAAATTGAATCAGCTGATTGAGATTTGGCAGAAAAAAAATCCACCCAGGGGTAGGGTTACAGGAAACAAACTTAATTTTGTTTCTGTGGCCTTTAAAACCTTTGTTTGATTCTGATTTTCTAAATGGATATAATAGAAAAAGAAGGATAAATGGCTGCTTACCGAAAAAATAAGGATACGAGACAATCGAGGTCGAAAATCACCACACGCTAAAAATTTTGAGTGTCTACTATTTTTACTTGCTTTTTTAAAAATTGACTCGCATTTTGCGAGTATTTTCTGCTAATTTCTATCCCTGTTTATTGAAAATTTTGGAGAGATATTGCTTGAAAAATTCCTAGGAATGGGTGTTTTTACTAATATTATGGCCAAACTATTCACTAAAATCGAAAAAAAAAACTCATATCCAGAATTAAGTATCTTAGTGCAGTCTACTTGTGTATCGAATTTTACTGAAATAGGACTGATTATGTAAATTGAATAGCACTTTTAAAAAACTTCAGAAAATTCATTTTTTCAATATCCTTCCAAATTTATTGCAGCTGAAGTACAATACCTATTTTATGTCAAACTAAAGTCTTTGTATTTATACACACCTGACTCCTGAAGGTATCTGTACACCAAGAAGTTGACCTCATCACTTGTGAAACTCATGATTACGGGTTTCAGAAACCAAAAATTTTCATTGCATAGGCTGTTTTCACAGCCTGGCTGAAAAAGAAAAAGAAAAAAATTAAAATGCATGATCAAATAGGGTGAGTTCATCATGCATCGGACACCCTCGTTCTTCAATAAGTTCTAACAATATCGTTACCCGACCGAATATTATCAAAATGAAGATTAACATCTAAAATGTGATTAGTATATGAAATTGGGACACAACTTTTTGCTATTTATTGAGAAAATATCATTAAAACAACTATTGTTTTGGAATGACCCAGAATTCACCATGGATCGGCCAATATTCGCCATGCATCAGACAAACAGGTTAGTCAACCAAAAAATGTCCTAACTTTATCATGGTGGTCTTAACAATATAAGAAATGCTTATAAATTAGTGACATAAAAATATTTGTATGTTTCATTTAAAAATTAACTCTATTTGAATTTGATTTACTATATCGATCCAAAAATGTGGAGAGATTTCAGTTGCATCACATCACCTTAGATAGGCCTTGCAATGCCTCGTAATATGTGGGAACTTGCTCCTTGGTCTCGGGTGTTATCATAGATCTTCTAGTTTAAAAATTAAGAGAGCCCTCTGCTAGTTGTCATATATCAAAAACCTTGTACTTTCACAAGAATATGTTGAGTTTATATTTCTTTATTTCTGCAAAAACAGATGTCAGTTTGGAATTTTATGTGTATCTCTATACCAAGAAGGAAGAAATTAATTGTTTGATGCATGTCAATCTGTGTCCAGTGCACAGTGAAATGAACATACTAATAAAAAAAACAACTCTAAGAAAATTAATACAAACTTTGAATTGAAATTTCTTAAAATTTACTATAAAATTATCAATCATTAAGAAGATTCACCCACACTATCGCATTGCCTTGAAGTCTAATAAAAAAAAGAAAGAGAAGAGTCTAAACATTTGCAAAATCATAAAATTCTGGTTACTTCACTTTGATGATGTCAAATATGACGTCACTTCAAGGCCATAATTATGGTATTCATAGCACAACATGATATTAAAAACTTGAAAAGTTTAAATCATCAGCTTTAAGACAGAAACAAGTCAAAACATGGAGATATTCAGGTTTGATGGGGTTTGATGCAAGTTTCTGCTTAAAGCTTCCAAAGCAAGGCATGTGGCCAATGCATGGTGAACTCAGCTATGTTCAATATAGATGAACACTCTTCTATTCTGGAATCGATTTCATTGACTCTTCTATTTATATGAATTGCACAATTTCTGAGACAGGCATTAATCTTGAGTATATGCAAACCAAATACACCAGGAGAAATTTAAATGACTTGCAATGCTTGAATGCCCACCAAATATTAACAGAAAATAGGAATAGACTATAGCATCACGTGAACTGGGGTAACTGAAACAGACTATACTCTAATTAATGCTGGCTTCGCCCTCTTTCGAAAACACACTATAAAGAAAAACCCAGAAATGAACGCAATGTAAAAAATATGTTAAATAAGCAAACCGATATATTACAACTGTGAAACATATGGGACAGAAAGACCATCTTCAATTAGGCCTATTGAACATATTCTTTGAACAATTTCAAAATTCAATAAATATATATCTCGTCTAGGAGAAACAATGCCCATATATGTTTTGCTTTACATCACTTTTAAAATTCTTCAATCTTCCTCTAAACATTCATTTGAAAATCCAACTTACCAAATATAGTTATGGATCCAATTTAAAAAAAAAAATCGATTGAAAAACTCTAAAACAGACTATAACAACACCATTAATCGAAACTATTAGCAAAATAGTCGTTAGAAAACGTATCCGTTGAAACAAACAGCTTTGTTTTAACAAATTGACACAAAGGATCCAATTTATGAACACTCTGATTCAGGAAAACACTGTATTTTGCACATGCGTTCCAATTTTTTCCACAGTATATTCCCCCCGACAGATCGTCCTCCTTGTCTGTTCAATGGCGGAAGGTATAATAAATGTGCACTATGTTTTTCACGCGCATCTATATCTAAGCCTTTTAGTTGTGTGATTAACCTCAGCAATTATGGTTTTCTTAACAAAATATGTTCCTTAAATGATAAACATCAATCATAATTCACTTCTTTGTCATGCTTTTCATTGCTTTCAAACTGTATTAATGCGCATCGATACACGAAAGAAGTTCCCTGAAATCGCCTGTGTAGCAAAAATGACGTCAGACAAGTGGTTTTCACAACATTTCACAAATACAACGAAAAGAAAATTAATTTCTTGTTCAAGTTATAGATACACATTATTTTTTATTATATACATGTAAAATTACGTTGATTTCTCCCCTTTATTTAGAGAGACCTGTGAAACATTGACTAAGACAGTTCCACTATTTAGGGGATGTGCGAATCATAAAAAGTGTTCCATGCTAAAAGATAAATACAAGATTTAGAAAAACATGGATGTATGATCAATTTTGCAAAACACGTGTTGAAATGTGAACATTTTATACGAAGTTTACCTGGAAATATTCAACTAGAGTCATCAAATATCTAGCTCTTTTTACCTTGACACCTATAAAATCGACCATTCCAGTTTGACATACATATTTTCGAAGGTCCACGGCGGGGAATTCGTTATAACATTGCAGCGTTAGAACAATACTTAAAAAGTGTTTACGATTTACTGCATGCAAATTATTTCATAGAATTATGCTACTCACTAGATCTATCACTGTAAAGGTGTCCAGATGAATGATTTATTTAATGTGTTTTGCTGAGAAAAAATGTATCTTGCCAAATGTATAATCATGCACGTGTGGGGTGTAGTTGTTAATCGTAAATAATTCGGTCAGTTTGCAGCATGGTCTGGATTGCATGTGATGGACGAGAAGTTGTCATGTAAAACCTGTCGAGAATAACACAGAGTGAGACCGTGTCGGAGACATTCGAGAGCTCAGCCATCCCCCCAATTAAAAAAAATGCATAAAATATTGAAAGGGATTCTTCATTTTGCTCTACAGGCCAGCCTCTCTAGAGATCCACCATGGTCGTATAGGAGCCGGGGGGGGGGGGGCAGTGAACTGAATATATCCCCCCCCCCCAACTGATATTGTTTCCTGTGGGCCTGTCCACAACCCCAGCTAATTATTTACAGTGCATGTATGTTTTCAAGCTTTCTTGAAAGTTGATCAATCGATATGCAATGAAAGGGAGAAACTAAGATAAATTACTAAATTAAAAATGGGTGGCAAATAAATAAATAACAAATCACTGAAATGATTTTTAAAAATATGAATGAATTAAAAAAAATTCAATTCAATTCAATTCAATTCACTTTATTGACAATTACCATGTCGGCATACAGTCATGACATAAAACGAATTAACAAGAATAATACATACATATACAAAGTGACAAATGCGAGTTGAACAAAATAATGTAGAGTATATTCACATATTTCTAAGTATTCATTGCTGACTTTCTTTTCTGGTGTCAAAGCACTTTTTCAAAAAAAAGTTATAATGTGTTTGTTTTCTCCAGAGAGTTATGGTTACTCCACGAGTATTCCGGGCCTGTAATTTTAAACGTTCCACTGAGATCATTGTCAGCTGGACTTGAGTCGGTATATGTTGTATGTTCTAGGTAAAGAGTAGTCAATACAAATATTATACTCTTATCTGACCTCATACAGTTTGGACAATGTAACCTACGTGGCCCTATAAAAGATTTCCTAATCAGGTGACACGTAGAAATCATCCAAATACAAAAGTAAGATTTGTGGAGGTAAACATACAACTATAATGGACATCCAGTGATATTTACGAAGAACTTATTTATGGAAACTTCCTAAATCCTTTGTCTTGATATGTATATCATTATCATACTCAACATGGTCTGACAATGGACACGTATGTATATATGAATTTGTGTATGTATGTCAAAAAGGGGGGTGGGGTGGGGTTACAATGAAGAATACACACAATGACTTGAAATGATTATTAGAGATATTCTAAATATTTCTTTAGACTTGATGACTGTATGACATCCAGAACAGGTACCCGGCGGTGCATCTTCTAGAAACAGGAAGGCAATGGAATCTTAAGATACACCCCGAACTTGGTTGATGAAATTAACGTAAGGATCATGATGGAAATTAAAGGACATATTAAACAACTAATTTATTTTGTAGTTTGTGAAAAGAAATGATTCAAAATTTAAAAAAAAAAGATCTGTCAAATGCACTCTCTAAGAAATGCACATTTGACAGTTAAACATTTTTTATGTATATAAGTATCTTCATGTTAATATATTTACATCCTTTGAATATTATTTCCTTTATTTCTTAAGAAACCCATTGCCGTTTATCAATGAGTAAACAACACTAAGCAAGCCACCTGCATAGATTTCTTGAGCAACGGCTGTTCCATCAATTATACATACAATGACATACACATCTATAACACAATATTTAACATGTTTAATTTTACTTTGAATGTATTTTATACAGATATAAATATAAACAATAAAATGACTTTCTTTGTTTGTTAGTACGGGAATTATTGTCGCAGCCATTGCAGAAAAAAATTTACATAACCCGCTTACGCGGGTTATGTATTTTTTCTGCAATAGCTGCGACATTAATTCCCGTACTAACAACCAAAGAAAGCATTTTATTGTTTAAATGATCACATCTAATACTGTAATATTTGTTGAGTTATACGAGTATCTGTCAATTTTTTCTTTATCCGCGCAATGCTGAGTAATGAGATCATCCATGGGTATCCGACGATGATGCATATAAATTGCATTGCACGATAATCGCCCTATTCCAGCGGCAGATGGTTTTTTATAAACAGGAAAGAAAAATAAAATTTACAGATTTAATTTTGACAAGTTATCAATGTGCTTGAAGATTGCTCTCATCATGACATGTACGTGAAGGCAAAAATGTTCAGAAAAATGCAGTGTTCCGTATGATTTCAAATTCGATTTGAACGTGAGGGTGAGATGCTCCTAGAACGTAATGTGACTTGACGTTACGTGAAAGGCTCGCCCGAATTTTACAGCTGTCCATGTTAAGAATGCTCAGTGTGACCTTAATGGCAATTAGAATGTGGTGAAATTTTCCAGTATTGTTGGATAATGGGTCTATTTTATAGATATGTGTTTTGTTTGCTTTAATCAAGTCACACTAAAATTTTAGAAAGAAATTCCACGAACTTTTGGATCAAGCCTCGTATACAGGAATTCGGATTGATTTTATTTTCATTGTTAAATCTAGGCCGCATCACAAATTCATTTGGTAACTAAACGAATGATTTATTTTGTATTCTATGGAAAGCCATAGTACTAGTTGTCCCTTTTTAATGCTGATTTTTTAAGCACATGCATTATGAACTGAAAGATTTTGATATGTTTGAAAAAAGAATCAACTTTGAATTACTTTTAAGAAACGCACTATATTACTTTTAGGCGGAAGATTCTTCACATTGTGCGTGTTACCTAAAATATCTTTTTTCTGCGTATAATCTTTTAAAGATAACGGTCTTTGAGAACCGTTGGAGCATGCTGCTTGTCTGTCAAATGGCATTGCACACAAGAGGTGTGTTCTATAGAATGTCTACCTGTGCAGAATAAATTATTACACAACTCAGTCAAGTTAGAGCACCGAAAGCAGCTGTATACTATAGCCTGTTTATGGAAGAAGTCTGCGACTGCCATGGCTTTTAGTTGCTCAACATATTATCCTGAAAAAGCCAGACCATGCATGAACAGCAGTTCTGAAAAAAAAAAAGTGATCAAATGAGAAATGATTATGACCTGAGCGATCTATCATGGACCGACCTTTTAACTATTTGTAAAATACAAAATAATAAATTAATGATGAATAGATTGTCATGTATAAGAAACATTTCCAAATGAATTGATAGAACGAAAAAAAGGGGGAGAAAAAGAATTGGGTTCCGCTATATTGGACGGGCTACCCACCGGCGCCTATTCACGGGCGCGATCCCACTACTGCTCAACACGGGAACTTTTGTCTGCTGTGTTTCCACCCTGGACCAGTACGTCCCTCCTTAGACAACCTGGTGAGTCTAGGCTCCCCCGAACCCACCATATTGATGCTGAGCTTAGTGCGGACGCCCGATCGACATAGAACACCGATGGACAGAACCCCCGCCCTCAAACAGTCCACCAACTCTAGCCTCCAAGTAGCTGGATTACAGGAGCACGCCACAACTCCCAGCTGAGTTATCAAGCGATTTCACTTCCCTTTAAATCTCACAAAAAAAATTAAATTTCTCTACGATTTTTTTTACAATATATTTTTTAGCTAATTTTGTAAATCTTGCTGCAAATGCAGTATATCATAAATTTTTCTATATTTATAATGAAAACAAAAACATTGAACATGCCACGTCGCAACATGAAGCGACACCTGCAGTCGACCTATATTGCACAAGATACGTAACTCTAATTTCCGTCTAGCCCAAACAGTTATAGAACATGAGTTATATTTCTTTACAAATCGCTGTAATAACTTCTATAAAAATCCATTGGATGATAAATCTGATGATGTATTTAGTATTTTAAACAAACTCTCAGTAGTAAAAGTTTGTTTACCAATCAATGCCCTCAGGGGGCATGTATGACTTAAACAATATACACCACGACACAATATCAGTAAACCTGACATTTTTACAATGTGATTGAATATTGAAGGTGTAGAATATGTATTTCATTAAAAAACAAAACAAAAACAAATGTCATACTTAAATGTCCAAGCAGAGTTATTTGTGTCATTCTTTGATTCATATATGTGGTAAAATTTAATCTATGGGCGATGTAATTTTTACGTTATCAATACATGTATTTGCTATAGACAACTATCAAAATTTCTACGTTTAAAATCTGTTAATTTTCAAATACAATAATGTTTTTATTTTAATTAACCAAATTACAGTATTTACTTTCTGTAGTTTTAATATCATTATTTTGAAATTATTTGTTACGATATCTATG